AGCGGCGACCCGGTGGGGATTAAATTACTGTCATTGTAAGTGGCAAATGAAACAACTCCCAATTCACTCGATACTCCCGGACAGCCATCATTTATTCAGAAACTTTTGCATCAAATTGAATTTGCCTTCCGATTTAATTACCGCAAGCCCAAAGCCGAGTGCATTACGAAATGATTTCGAAACTGTGGCAGCCAACTCTTTTGCATTTGGGGCACATAATTTTAATTGCATGCTGCGGCAGGTGGAGCAGCGAAGGGGGAGGGGGGAATCTATCTAAACTTTGCCTGCATTTGTTATTGTTGCAGTGCTTGGAAAACTTTTCCGTGCCCAAAGTTTTCAACCTCCTTTTTTTCCGCCCACGACGACAAAAAGACGCTCGAAAGGGGGAAAAACTTTCTGCGGGCGGCGGCAAGAAGCTGAAAATCAAATGAAAGTTGCTGGCCAACGACTTAGAGCTAGCTTAAAGCACTTTAAGTTGCCAAATGTCAAAGATTGCGTATACGCAGTGCTGGCCAAGGCACATTGGAGGTTAAATGTCAAGTTCATTGCAACCACATCCGCTTCGAACTAGGCTTTTAGTCAAGTAAGGAGTATATCCTCGCAAGTAAGTACTTTAATACCAGTCATTATTAATTAAAAAATAATACAAATTTATTTTGGTTACACCATTTTGGTCTTACCTTAAAGATTGAAGTATTAAAGCAAGTGCTAAAAAATTGTTGAACGAAATTTGTTGCCACAAGCTCATATGGCTAAATCCATAGCATTTATCGAAATGTTTTCGCTAATTTGCCTATGCGAAAATCCCGGGAAGTAAGCACAAAAAAAGAAATTCTGATTAAAATTGTGTTTTTATGATCCATTTGGGCGTGACTGGGGCCGCTGGAGGCATTAAATGAAGGCCTCCCCGGTCCTAACGTATAAATTAGCACGCCACGCGATGCTGGCAATAAAACGTTTTCGCGGGCATACGTTGCGTATACGCTATGTGAAGCAGGAATGCGAGCTCAGCCTAAAAGTAGGCTACAAAATGACACGCGCCAGGGAAAGATTTAGATTGGTGTGGCCGAGAAGGAAGAAGGGAAAAAGGAAAAAATAATAAGGAAGATTGTGTGTAAGCTGAAACTGCGGGAATTTGTGGAAAGTCGTAAAGCAAAATAAACACTGGCAGGCGTAAAAGTTATAAAAATGCCAAAATATAGCCAAAGTTGAGCCAAGCGAGGAGCATAAGGTAGCTGCGAAAACTTTGTCGGCCAACTGTTGATAGTTGCCAGTGCTTAGAAGGCGTGGCAGTGGCAAACCCACAAAAAAAAGATGAGAAACGATGCCAGCGATGCAGCAAATTCGCTTTAGCCGTCTATCCAGCCATTCAGCTATCTATCCATCCATCAATCAATCAAAACCATCAGAAAGTGAGCGGGCCTAAGCCAGTCAACGTCAATGGCCCTGTCCTAATGGGAATCGACCTCTTTCAGATCGCTTTGGCAATCGACATGCAATTTATGCGAAATGTTGACATTCATCGCTTGACTTTTTCGGCTCCGGATTCAAGTTTAACACTCAGCAAACAGGGCAAATCCGAGCAGATGTACAAACAGATTTTAAAGCTGGTCTTAAAGGATTGCCAATTGAATATATGACATACATTATGTATACATGGGATTAGCCAGATGGCTGCCTAAAGGATTGCTGGCAAAGTAATGTTCCAAGGACAGACAGGCGAAATAAAATATTGAAAAGGGCTGGAAATCTTACAAGAGAGAGCAAAACAAAATAAACATACATTTGTGGCCATTGAGTTCGGTAACCTAATCTAAAAGTCAAACAATTTTCAATTTAAAAGTTTACCTTAAACATTCGATTGAGGCCAAATATTTGCTTAATGCCCATTTAAGTTATTTTTAAATTGAACGCGTTCATTTAAGTGCGTTTTTTCAACTGCTTGCACAATCAATTTAATGGATTGTATCTGTTATTGACATGAATTTGTATTTTTTCTTTGAATGCAATTTTTTGTTTCTTTTAATTGAATTGCAAAAGCAATTACGCGAAATCAGTTTATTTAAGCAGCAAATAGACACAAAAGAAGTCAAGACTTTCAAGTAAATGAGGAAATTTTCTTCTCGACTAGTGTAGTGAGTTTTTTGTGGAACGATTATGCTAATGAAAGGGCATGTTCAGCTTGGCTTGGCTTACTGTGGTCCTCTTTTCCAAGAATCTCGACGCAGACAATAACACTTTTTCATGCTGGTCACGTAGGCTTCTAACATGAATCTGGCTAATACAATTAGAAGCAGACAGCCGGAGGCAGCAAAAACCAACAGAAATACAGGCTAACAATCGAGTTTCAGGCTGTCAAATGTTTCAATTAAAACTCGCGAATACCAAGCCCCTGAAAAAAGCGTTGGCCTTTGAAAGTTGGAGGCTAGGAAAGGATTTTCATGATTGGAGGACAAAAGGAATCATGGAAAGCAATAATCAGAATCACCAAATTGCTTCCAGCAAATCAAAGATGAATAAAGGGAAGAAACTGGGAGAAGGACATAAAGAAGAGGAGTTGCGAAGTGGCACGAACAGGAAGTTCTATAACGAGAAAGCATAACAAAAGCAAAGCTTCCGGGCATTATCTTAATTATGCAAAGCCAAAGCGAAAGAGTTGTGGCAAAAGTCTTAACCCATTGCTGCTTAAAGAATATAAACTGCTTAAGTAAAGTGTCAATCATTTTCTTTGTAGGCTTATTTAAAAATTTATTTTACCGTAACTGAAATGGCTTTATTCTCTTTGCGACCGCATCTCTTTAAAAATTCTCTTGTGGCTGTTGAAGATTAATTGATGATTTATTTCAATCAATATTGGCCATATATAATATTTGGACAATAATGGGTTAAGGCTTATGGTCGCGGCACGCACATTTATCATGGGCTATCCATTTTTTTCGAGGGTTTAGGGCACGACAAATTCCAAAGTCAAAGTCAATGGCTGTGCCCCAAATAAACCCAAATGGAATGTGGCTTTTGGGGGATGGCGAGTGGGTGGTGAGGCGGTTTGGGGGCAAGGCCACTTCGTGTGTGCCATAAAGCACTCAATGCCCAAATTTCAAGCCTTTACTCAACGAAGAACCTGCGACACGTGCGAATTCGTTGGTGGAGTTGAAGTTGAATTGATTGCGTGCCAGTTGTGGCAATGACGATTTCCAGGCGATGGGCGTTGAGCGTTGGGCGGTGCAGAGGGCGTGGCCCTCAATAACAAAAATGCCGTTTCGCTTTTGTTCCGAGTATCGTAATTAAAATGACGATAGCAGCGGCAAAGTTTTAATAAACTGCCAAAATAAATACGAAAAGGAGAGCGCGTGAAAGGGAATCGAATAAACAAAGACTGAAAAAGTTGTAAGCGAATTGCCTGGGATAGGAGGGGCAAAAAATGGGGCAGGCAGCATAAGTACTTTGTATTAATAACAGAACCGAGAAAGACTGGGGCAAGAGTTGTGGCATCCGCAAATAACTGGAATTGAAACTCGAGTGCCGAGGGGGAAAACAGCTCAGAAACTGAGTCACACAGAGAAAAATCTTTATATTTTATATTTCGTATACCTAAATAATCCCTTTTCATCTTTCCAAAAATTATTACTCAAATAATAATAGTGTTGATATCTTACCCACTACCCTTATCAAAACTAAGCCCATTCCGATAAGTAATAAGCAATACAAAAATTTAAAGCAGAAAACGGAAGTTCTCAAATTTTCAACAATATAATGTTTAATTAATCCCCAGATCATGTGAATAGGATAAATCACTTAGCAAAAGATTTCTGTCTGATAAATTGTTTATTTTATTATCTTGATTTTATGCCTTTGTCAGACCTAATAAATTTTATATTTTTTCACCGTGCCAGCATAATTTTTCATTGTGGCGTGAAGAGCAAACTGTTTACATTTGTTTTCCCCACTGACTGAGATCCGGGATCTGGGACACAAGACAAGATTCCCGAAGGGGCAGGAAAATGGTGCCAGGGGCAACATGTTCATTATGCCGTCAGCTGATAGCTGTGTTTTCGCAGGTGCGGCTCATTAAATCACGCGGTAATCAGAGTACCCAAAAGGTTTCTCGGGTTAACCTTTCGACTCGCTGGTATTGTTTTGTGTTTGGCGGTGTCAATCACAGTTGGCCTAATTAACAATGTGGAACAGATTTCAACGCATAAATTCAAATCAGTCTGCAAAGTTTGGTCGTAAAAACTTGCCATCATCGTGGCACTCTAACTAAACATAATATTTATTGTAAAACTGGGAGTCGAGGTTTTACAGCTTTTGTGCTGTGCCCGTAATAATAACAACAATAATCATTTGCCTGATTTACGAGTGCAGCTGGCAGCCCTGTTCGTTCAATGGCCATAAATTCTCATCAATAAATCAAATGTAGAGCTGCTCCAATATGAGGGCGCCGCGATGTATGCAGCGTTTTCCTCATTTTTTCCATGAGTTTGAGTGGCTTGTTTGTGTGCGTAAATGTTTGTTTGTGTGTGTGAGTGAGAAGTGTGGCAAGTGACATGTGTCACTCCATAATAATCGCATTTGCATGGAGAGCAACCGCCATGAATATCCAAACAGAAACTTAACTAGAAGCTCTTAGGTGCCGGGTTGAAGATCTTAGACCTAATCACGTTTTGGGTTGGATTTTGGGTTTTGTTTTCTCTTATTTCTTTTTGGATTTACAGCTAGATACTAGTGCGATTAAGTATACGCATAGTTGATTGCTTAGTCTCTGGGACGCGCCAATAATACTTACAGGTTTCCATATCCAGTGGATCAGGGTAGAGGGCTGGGTCTGGGACTGGGATGTTTGCCTACGATTTAAGCTGTGAGACATCGAGTTGTTGGTTGTAGGAACCCAGTTGGCGGTCTAGAGCAGCTCCGTCTCCATCTGCGCAGACTCCACGGTCTCCACAATGGTGGCCGTGGCCACCGTGACCGAATCTCATGGAACATACCGCGTGGTCAGCGCCCCATCGTCATCGTCGTCCACGCGGAGTCCGCCGCATCCGCAGGGCAGCCAGGTGGTGACGCCTCCTCCACCGCCGGAGAGATTCAGACAGCCTTTTGGTCAAATCGCAGACACCTGCTCCAGCTCGGCACTGGAGCGGCCAGAGTTCATCACCACCACATTCTTGGCGGCATAGTCCGTGATGAAGCGGTCGCTGTTCCGCGGATGAATGTTGCCCACATCCTGGGCGCAACACCATGGATTGCGCATGGTCAGGATGCGCTTGAAGGCGTCGCGGAACTCCTTGTTGAAGATCGAGTAGATTATGGGGTTGAACGCCGAGTTCGAGTAGCCCAGCCAGGTGAGGATCTTGAAGGTCTGTCCGCCGATGCAGGTCTTGCAGAAGGCGGCCGTGATGTTGACGCAGAAGAAGGGCACCCAACAGATGAGGAACACGCCCATGATGACGCCCACCGTGACGGCCGCCTTGTGGTCGGACACATGGTACGGCGAGCTGTGGGTGTGCAGGTTGCGCACCTTGAACTTCTTGGGCTGGTTCTTCGGACGCCGGATGCTCTTGTAGCGCTGCTTCTCGGCCACCTCGCCGGGTCGAGTCACCGCCTTGATGGACTTCACGTGCTTCTGGGCGTAGCAGTATAACCTGGACGAGAAATGGTGAAAACAAAGTGGTATTGACAGTTCAAAGAAAAGGTTTCTCATGGCTTAATAGGTGGCTTATTGAAATCCCATTCATTTTTTAAAACGAACACAATATTATCTATTCTCCAATTACTTAAAATAGCAAGGGGTTTTCAAAACACTAAATTTAAATATTCTGGTTTCGTTTTTAAATTTTAATAAGGGAAGCATTGTATTCATTTGCACATGTTGTTCAGATGACTTTGAAATACAACTTAAAACACAAAGTTAAGAGCTATTAAGTAATTAAAAAGCCATTTAATAATAAACAAAATTAAATGACTCTGAACAGATTCATAATAACAGTTGTATTACACTTAAATGATTGCTATATTATTGTTGTTTCTTGTAAGCATGATATTATCAATTATTCGTCGCCTAATGAATGACTGGGCAGAAAATCTGCTTACTTTGCCACTGGCGACAGGTTGTGTAATAACTGGCTACAGCCTGTAATGGATATGATAATTATTCACGTGAGCCCCATGGCATGTCAATTAAATGAAGGCCGACAACAATGTTTCTGTCCACATCAATAACCAAAGGAAACACACTGCGTATACGCAATGTCTGACTATCATAACCAATCTTCCACTTGAGTCGTCCCTAAGCTGTTTCACTCCTTCCCCCGCTTCTCCTCATCTGCCATATCTTCCATATCCAACAAATAAACAAGCATATGTGTCTGGCCGTGTGAGTGTTTACTCGTTGGCTAGTGGCCACATAAAAAGGATAACAGGACAGGATCAGGCCAGGCACAAATTATGGCGATAAAAGTATATTTATTCTGCAATTTAACCGAAATTTGATAGAAAATTCCAATGTCAGCCAACATGGGATCCATTTGATGAGAGGACCAAGGATATGGGAGGCAAAGTCCTGGCCAATGGCTGCAAATCTCGTTAAGCTAAAATGGCAACGTGCCGCTGGCCAAAACGTTGATGAGCAGCTATCGCTGGCCTGCTCCTGTGCACCCGCCATGGTGTGAGTGTGTCCTTGTCTAGTCCTTTTGCACACGCCCCAGTCTTTTGCCAGCTCCTGGGGATTACTTAGACGGACACTAATGCGTGCGCTTATTTGTTCAACCCAAAACCCCTTGCCCGCAATCATTTTCCCGCATTTCTCTCGTGCCTGGAGGCCATCAGGGGCGCAAGTCCTTGCGGCATTTTTCTGATATATTCAGCAATGCGATAGCAGCAAACTTTGCCAGTTTTTACAGCATTTTATTATTTACTTTTTACTACTTCTGACTCGACTTCCCCTTTGTTAAGCTTACAGCTTTAATATGCCTTTGCAAAGGGTATTCTTAATGTGGCCATGTGTTGAAAAATTACGCTTTTCTTGAATTTATATTCTAAATACTAAATATTTATAATCCTAATTTCTGTAATGGTCGAATTAAATAAATAAATAAAATATTTTAAGGCCTATAATTTATTTAATTGAGTAATCCGGCCAAGAATTTCACTGAATGAGTCATTTAAATTTAAAATTAAAAGTAAAAATAATTAGTCAAATAAAATATGTAATTTATAATTTAATTGTTGATAAATATGAACATACTCAACTTATTTAAACTTCCACTATAGAAAGGGTATAAGCGGGGCTATGTTTAGATTGCCTCTAGTGATTTTTAAGCTCATAAAAATATTTGAGTTCTCGCTTTGCTTTCATTTGGAGAGATTTTGGCAAAACTTTCCTTTGCCAGTGGAAGTTTTGTTGTTTTGTTGTTCTGAGCAAAACCCTGGGCCATTCATATCTGCATAATTGCAGCTGAAGGCGTCTGAAAATATCTTATTTTATGCATTTCATGTTTTATGCACGGACAACTTTTGTTCCAATCTCTATGAAAAATGCCATTTCAGGCTGGTTTTTGTGACTTACCGACAGTAGATGCCAATCATGACCACACAGGGGAAGTAGAAACTGATACAGCTGGACACGACGGCGTAGGTGGGCGTGAGGTCCAGGGCGCATGTTGGGTACTTTTTGCCATTGTCCTCGAAAATCAGCGGCTGGTCGGGGCGATGTATGCCCAGTGAGATGGGCACAAACGAGACGAACGCGGCCAGCAGCCAAATGGCCGCGATGGTGATGACAGCCACGCGTCGTGTCACCCAGCGGCCATATCTGCAAAAGAGGAGTGGCGGAGAGGTCAAAGGGTTGCATCAATTTGCGGCAAAGGAAGCGGAAATACACGCGCCATGCCTGCTGCTTTCTGGTCCACAAACCCCCCTCCTCTGCCCCTGCTGCTCCTGGCGTTTCTCTTTTTGTCCTTTTGCCCTTGTGGTGAGCAGCGGCAAAGGGTTAACACACTGCGACAGCCACACTCTGCAAAAGTTTCGGGCTTTAAAACTCTTGTTTAATTAAACGGAAAGTTTTTCTGCTAAGCCCTATTACAAAAATTTACATTCTACAAAGTTGTTGGCAAAAAATCAAATCACTGGCTGATAGAAACTCTTTTCACGGAGTAAACATAACAAAAAACACTACTTTAAAACAAATATTCAATTGGAAAAGTTTAAGTATGATTTTTATGAATCTTAGTACGATTTTTTATAATCAAAAAATTGTGTATATATTAAAAAGCGTTATTTTCTTTTACATAATTCTTAGAATTTTTAGTTTTATTTTACAACTTATTTGGATGAGTAATAAGTAAGACCTCGAAATAAAATTAAAATCAACATCAGTATCGTCCCCAATATACATATGTAAAAACTGAATTATTACAAATATTCTAAATCAAACTGTTTATTATGAGTATTAAACCTTAAAAAACCTTTTTCCTTAAATTGTACTTAATATAATTGAAACAGCACAAAGTTGTAAAGAGTAAATAAATTGTAAAATCCTTGCAGATTTGAAACTTTAAAAACACTTTGTTCAAGGATTTTGATATTTTAAGTGCCATAAGTGTGGTGTTATTTTTTAAGTGTACGGCAGCTGGAGCAACAAGTGGGCAGAGCGGAATCAGGGGCGTGGACAACACGAGCATGGACCATGTCTTGATGTCCTGATTGTGGCTTTGCATGTTCCTGGCAATCCCTCAGCGCCCAGTCGCCATTAGACAACATCATTTTCGGGTGTGCGCGACAAGTGTTGGCACGGGCCCAAAAGTGGAATTCCCAGACTCAGGTTTGGATTAGGGATTTCGCATCAGGTGCTGGGGTCCATCCGCATGTCATTAATTACAAGCCCTGGCCGGGCGACAAATCGCCCAAAGCCCGAAGACAAACCGCAACCCACATAGCGGGGAATGGCATATGCAAATCATTCTCGAAGGCCTCCCCTTTTCAACCACTTCGATTTCGCTTTTACAGCAGGAAATAAGCAGTCTGCAGCGAACGCAAAAACCAAAACCCAAAACCAAGCCCGAAATTCACAAGGCAGAGTGTGGGTTTTGGATCTGGTGCCATATGCCGCATCGTTTTGGCTTGTGCAGGAAATCAAACAGAATAATTCGATTTCAATACAAAGACGCACTCACTCACACACACTCACCCTCAAGGACGATGACGGAGCGGAAACGGAAGTTTATGTAATTGTATTCACATACAAATTCAATTTCGTTTTCGGCACGAAAATTGATTTCCATGTGACGAAAGCCCGCAGCTCGAGCCCACTCACCATCTATCCACTAACCTGTGAACAGTGGTGGCAAAGGTACCAAGTTTTATTTACCTAGGTAAGGTACAATATACACTGGAGCAATTACCAGCTGGAAAACATATTTTTTAGTTCATCAAAACATTTAAGAAACAAAATTTAAATGGTACAATGGAAATTATTGTTTCAGAAACCCTTTTGGTTTACCTTCAAAAGCATATTAAGCTAAATTCTGATTAGATACAATGTACAAAGCTAAAATGCTTAAATTTTTAAATGAAAGTAATACATTTTTGGAATCAAAGATATAATAACTATAATTTGTGTAGATCAAATAAAGATTTTGATAGCATAAACTTGATATAAAAGTTGATGCCAAATGGTCACCAGTGTATATCCAGATGGAATATATATATTTATGTAATTCAAGATTTTATTGCCTGTCCCTCAGTCGCCCCTTTCCTGTTCCATTTACCTGCACTAATTCCGTATCTTGGAGTGGCTGAGGTAGCGCTTTGATATATGCACATAAACCTGCAGCCATTAGGTGACACACGATTTGGCCCTCAGTTGGGAAGTGAAGGAGCCAATCAGCCATCGATGGGCTAATTGAAATCGTGTGTGAGAGTGTTCCAGGTCTGCCGTGTGGGAGGATATGTGTTTGGGTGCCAGGAGCAGGCTGCTCCGACCAAAGGACATTTGCATTTAACGCTCGTATTGAAGCTGCTGGCTTGACTGGCTGCGTGGCATGCGGTGGCTTTTGTGTTTGTCCCACATGCACTCAAGAAATTACCGCAAGGCACGCACAACGATCCTTCCGCCCCAGGACATCATCCCCTGCCTTTTGAGCCGTCATTTGCATAGTTTGAGTCGCTCCTTTTCCTCCTTTTACAGGTCCAGCCACGTCAGCTTGGCCGCTTTTGTTTTGGCATGGAAAATTTGATGACTCTTTATAAGCGTTTTCGAAACTGTCATTGCTAGCACGTGCCCACTGCACTGTGGGCCAATAGGCTAAGAAATCTTGAAATAGTGTTCTTTTAGCTAGTTTTAAGGACTTAAGTATCAGTTTCGACTTTTGTAGATATTATTCAGATACATGTATATACCCTGGTTTACTTTGAGATAATATAATTACAAATATTCACGGGATAACATGCAGAAAATGTTGAGAAAAACTTTTCCTGTATGATTTGGAAAAATATCACTGAACTAAAGCCTTATTCCAAAATAAATTGTTCTGATTTGGAAAGGATTTTAAATAGGCATTGGAAGAACTTGTTTTTATATAGGGTAATATACTATTTTTGGGCTTCCTTTGGTTTAATAATTTTTAATAAAGATTACTTTCGAACACAATTTTTTGGATGTTACATATTTGGTCACTAAATTCATAAAGTATCTTTGAAGATTGTTAGATATTTTGGAAAATGATCAACAATTAAAATTGTATATCATCCTGGGGAAATGAATAATGCTTGTAAATCATTGATTTATCAATACCCCATCAATTTTCATTCTTTTTCAACAAAAGTCCCATTGGAGTTTTAGGGTACAGCCCCATAGTTCGGTATAACATTACCTTAACCACGACGAAGACAAGTGTAAAAATACAATTACAAAAAGTTCCCAGGTGCGTCATTGTTGCTGGAACAGGTTTTGCGGTGTGCGTTTAAGTGTTGTGCCTTCGGTTGTTGGCCAAAACCCTTAAACCTCCCACAAAAAATCGCTGTATGAAAGCACCTCCCCCACACAAGACCCTTTGCCTGCGGCAAACTTTCATTGTTCTTTCAGTTTTTATTGCAGTTTAAAATGAATTTCACATATGCGCCTGACAGTTACGATGATGACAGGCGCCAAAGTCAACGGCAATGCCAACAAAAAGCGAAAAAAGACAAAAAGAAAAAGCGGCAGTGGCATCAAATTGTCACATAAAATAAGAAAATTTCTCATTTTCGTTATTTTGGCCTTGGGTGAAAAGGAAGGGGGACGCTTCATCTTCACTTTGTCTGCTACTAATTAAATTTGCACGCGCTTTTTATCCAAATTGTTTTTGCCAATTTCCCGGCTCGGAAAATCCAGGCGAGCGCAATTAAATTAAACGCCTGCAATTATTCTAAAACGCTAAGAAAACACGCTGAATCAGCGATTCCTTCTGTCAGCCGAGGGACAGGTCCTAGATGAATGGTCCTAAAAGAGGGCTGGTGGCTCTCGACTTCTAATGAGACGCCGGCGCGTGAACTTTGCCCCTGTTCAGGGGTGAAAAAAATGCCCTGCTGCCTCCACTTTGACATGCAAATAAATCAGATTTACATAAAGAGGGGCTCGGGAGCCAAAGTCTGGGCAGAGCAATGTATATGCCAGGCACATCCCAAGGATCCCAGTAACCATTTCTCAGTCACAAAAGCTGGCGACTGTGCACTGCGCTGAGTTTTCCATGCAATTTTTCCGTTGCCAGTTGAGTTCTGCTCCTTGAGATTCAGACTCAGAATCAGATTCAGATTCACAGAGAGTGGTGTGAGCGACGTCTTGACATCTGAAGTGTAAAATGTCTCGGGTACCTGAACAGTCTAGGTGGGCGGTGGAATCTGCGAGCTTTGTGCCAGGTGCGATTGCAAACCGAATCCAGGTGGCTAAACTCAATTTCAAGGCGCTGGCAGAACTTGGCCAGCAGGCACAACGTCGGGGGCTCTATGCAAATGTCATTAACCCAAGGGCTCAAATTAATATCGGACAACATCAGGCGGCCTTAATCAGCGTTTGAAGGGCAAAATTTACATCAAGGAAACATTTATCATTGTGTAATTTTGTGTAGCTGGAAATTTTAAAGGGAGGTTGTTTTAGGATTTAGCACCCAAATCAGTTTGAACACCTAAGAGAATAAAACTAAAACGTAATTTCTTAACAACATGTTATCTAAAAACTAAATTAAGTTTTTAAATATGCACTAACAATTTGTAAGTTAATTAATGCCTTACAAATATTATTATAATTTTTTGGCATTAGTTGTCGTTAAAATGTTTAAATAGTTAAACCTCCTAACATACAATTTCATGCAGTTTAACCATTTAGTCATGTAAGCAAATATTCAATGCAAAGCAGAGCAGGACGAATACATCAAGATCAATCGAGCGATTTGTGTCGTTCACCCATCATCAACCATTTGATGTCGAGCATGAAAAGTTCTCCTCCTGCGGAAAATGTATCTCTTCGCTGTGCTTAATTTCACTTTCAATTCCATTTATCTGTACCTTTCCCACTCCCAAAGGACAAACGGAATTCGAAATCAGGAAAAATGTTCCATGAAAATTGTCATTTGCTAGCCAAGACCACCCAAATCCACCCACACCAACCCCCTTTGGCCACCCGGTTCGAGCTCATTTAAATCCTTTTGCCGTGGCATACAAAATTTGCAATCTGAATTTTCAGCTCGCCTCGACATCAACTTGCCACATCAATGAAGCGTTATATGCTCGCAAACTCGTTACGTGAACTCGGCTACACAAAAGATGCACAGATAGATGGAAAATGGGGGAAATTCAGCAGGTGGGGCAGCTGCTGGCACACCAATACAAATGTCGTGTCGTTTTCCATAAGCGAATAAGCTTACCCCAGGTGGCAACTGAAACAACAAAAGCAACAGCCACCGGGCGGTGTAGAAAAAATATTTTTCTACTTTTGGCTTTTGGCTGAAAATAGCATCAAAGGATTTATTATGGCTCTTTCATGACATGGCGCTGTGGGTTAGGGTTTGGGCTGGCAACTGTCTCGATTTTCTGTAGTTGCCCCCTGTTGTCCATTTTCCCTTTCGTTTTCACGCCCTCCAACGATTCCCCTTCCCACAAGGTACACTGCAATCATTTCGTCGGGTTGCTCGCTTTGAGCCAACTCCCCGCTCTGCGTCTGTCAGCGACTTGACCAACGTCATTTTTAACACAACTTTTATGCACTGAGAAAAGCATGTATACCATTAAGTTTGTCTATAACTAAGACTAAGATTTTAATACGCCTATAAATCCGACTTAGAGTCATCGTGAAATTACGCTCTGAACTATATTTGTTTTAGACTTATTTAAAATAATTTAAACTGTAGAACACAATTCATTATTTTAAAGGCTATGAATATATATTTTTGGAACACTTAATAGTTGAGAGAGAAATAAAAAAGAATTTTATTTGGCAGTTGTTTAGAGTTAATACAAATAAAAAAATTTTGTTTCAGTGCGCACACATCATGAAATAAAATAGAAAAGAACGCAGACAAAGGTTCACTCACTCAAAACCCACATTTGAAGGAATTCAGTTGTGGCTGCTGACACATAATAAATTTGTGCGTTTGTTCTTGGCCGCAAATGTAATATTCCTATGCCAAAAAACCGTTTGTTGGATTGCACTTGTGGGGTTCGAGGCATTGTTGAAAATTTAATTAACACACAATTGTTGTGGTCCAGCCGAAAAATGAGGGGGCGCTTAGGAGGTGGAGGTACTTGATGGACTAGTTTCAAGTTTACCGAGCTGACTTTCGACTGACTGCTTTTGTGCGATTTGTTAGCCACTGGAAATCAATTTCAACAGCTGACTACTGACTACTGACCAACACGACTGACTGGCAGCGTTTTAGGCCACGACGACAGCTGGACAAGCTCATTGTCATTGCCGTAGTCGGCACACAGAAACATAGATACACACCCACACCAGAGCACACAGTACACAAGGACACCCAGCACCTGAGGCAGCAGAATTTGATTGTCTCTGGGGCTTCCTGCTGGGATGGAGCTACTGGGGCAACGTGCCGGATATACAAGGTAGATTGAACTGCGATAATGGAACATTCGGGCAGCATTCAGCCCGCTGACAGATGAAGTCATTTCCAGCGGGTGTGACAATATACGGAATGTAGGCCAGCTGGCCAAAGGTTAAAATACTTTAGAAGCGGGCAAGTTGAAGTAAAGGAATTTTAAAGGAATGTATTTGGACTTAACTAGCTCAAAATATAAATTTTCTATGAGATATATAATATCAGTAAAGCAGGAATCTCTATTTTAAAGTTTCCACATATAAAAATGTAATTTTCAGCTGGGAGTGCCTATTAATTGCAATTTTATAACTAATTTAACATTATGTCCCAGGGTTTAGTTAAGAAGCCCGATGACCGACTTAAAATTTATATGGAATGTATAAGGGCATTTCCGTTCAGTGTTCGTTTTTAATCTTTTCAATTTGCTTATAGTATCCAAAACTCGACATATTTCTTATAACAACTTTGTCATGGGCGAAACCCCACCAAACTGCCACTTTCGCACTTTCACCAGCTGGTAATGACACTTCTTTTGTTACTCATTGTTGGCCTGGCCCAGAGAACCAAGGAGAATGACTTGGCCGAACTTAGTTGGCCCCGGCAAAACCCCAGCTGAAACGATGATCCGAAAGTGCTTAGCCAACTTCAAGATGAAGTTTGCTGGAGATGGGCGAAAGCCTTCGTAATTCGCCATAAATCTGTTACTAATGAAACAATTATGAGCGTCGATTAATGAGCACCAGTGCCATAAAGAACTCGAGTGCTGAAACAGTGAAAATAAGGAGCAGCAGTAGCACAAAAACGTGACAGGCATGACAACGCGGCGTATGAGTAACGCGCATATAAAGCACCTGCAATCGCCTGACATTAATGAATCGATTCGGGTCCGGAGCTCCTCCACCGAACTCCGACAGCCCGGACAATTAGTTATGGATTGGATGTTATATGCATGTGACAGAATCCTGACAATCACTCACCTCAGTGGATCCTTGATGTGGATGTAGCGGTCCATCGAGATGGCGCACAGGTTCAGAATTGACGCCGTCGAGCACATGACATCAAAGGCCACCCAAGTATCACAAAATTGCGCTCCGAAGATCCAATATCCTGCGAAAAGGGGAAAGAGGAGAGCGGGGTAAGCGAGTGTTTGATTGCTTGTTTAAAATACTTAATAAGTACTTTCTGTCTGGACGCGCCGGAAATTGCCATGTTGCGGCCGAAGGATAAAAAAGTTATTTCATTTGCACGGCGCCAGCAACAAATGCAGTCGGGAAAAGCGGAAAGGCAACAGAAAATGCAAAGGCAACCAGTGTCACAGCCACCAGATTCTTGTTTTATTTATTCATGACGTAAATTGAGTTTAAATGATTTCATAAATTCATTTCCGCTTCCTGTCCTTCCATTTCCCTCACACAAACACACATAAGGGTCTCGTTTGGGCCTGCGCTATTTAAATTTCATTCGCCCGGCAAAAAGTGAAAACAAATAATTTATTTTTTTGGGCGCTTGGCAATTTCATAAGTGTGTTGCAATTACGTCGTTGTCGATTGATGTTCCGTGCGTAACCAGAAACGGATGTCCTTTGAGTTCTGGGAAAGTAGCATTCGCCACACGGAAAAAAACGCAGAGATACACCAACGATATACACATGAATTCAATAACAGGTTTGCCACACATTAAGCTTATTTATTCGTGCTGTGGCTTTCGACCGATGATTTGGAGCGATAAGAATATGCATATCATGCTCGTTACAGCTTTCATGCCAGTTAATCAAGCGTACTGCAGGATACGGCTCGTAAATGCCACAGGAAGTGCCGACGCAACTGGTCAAAGCAAAGCCGATTCGATCCGACCCTGCTCAGCCTTCAGCTATCAGGATATCAAAGACGAGGATATCAGGATATTAAAAGTTGGCCCACCTAGTCAGCAGTAATGACTTTCACTTAATAGAGTTTAATAGAGTGGTTTGAAATGTGTTAATTGTCTGTAGTATCCTCTTTTTAAAAATATATACAAATCTACATTTATTTAATTATTAAATATCTTGTAATTTAAAGAAATTCCAGAAATCTTTAGATATTATGCAATATGTAAATGATGTAGAACAGCTATTAAGCTAAAAGGTAAACTGCTAATTGATAATTGATTCAAAGGACATAAATATTCCCATTTCCAAATAAACTCGAATTCCCTTGTTAGTAGCTAACAATTTGAATTGCTAAGCAAATGCATCAAGCCAACTGTCAAAATCCTGTCGATGGTCTTTTCGGAGTTCGGTTAGCTTGTCAAATACTTTCAACCGCTTTGTTCAAGCTGTGCGTTTAGTCTGGAAATTGTTTCGGAAATACCACATTTGCACTTTAGAGTTTTGAGCCATGACACAATTCATCCTTGCCGCAAAATCGAGTGCAGATTCGGCTCAAGCTCCGGCATTTGCTGAAATGCCCATGGCCCCGAAAAAAGCTATTTCAACAGGAGGTAGAAAACTGGCAGAGTGTGGGAGTGGGAGTGGGAGTATGTATTCAAGTCAGCAAATAATTCATGCTGCTTTCAATACACATCGTCGTACATACGCATATGAATTGCTCTTGGCCAAAAAAGTATGCTATATGTTTTTGCGATTCCTCCGGCTGGCAGCATCTGTCGGTTCTCGCCGGTCTGTTGTTGTTTGAATTTGTCCAATTGCGTACGCTGTTTATTTGCTGATTTGCCTGTCTTGGAGCGTGCTAAATGTTGCCTTGGCGAAAATAATTTGCCTCCATGTGTGTGTGTGACTGTGTGGGTGTCGCAGGACCCCGAGGCATCTGTTTGTCTTGAGCAGCTGAGCATTTTTATTTATTTTTTCACACTTCTGCTTACGCGGCAGCGCCGTCTCCACTCGTCTCCTGTGAGTGCCAAAGTCGTTTATTATTTTCACACACTCTTGGGGAAACTGGGGGACATCAGAGGCGTTCTGGGTATTTATATAGGGGGTTTTAGAAGTCAGACTATTTCCTTGGCCTTTTCCTTAATTTATATTAATCAGATTTAAGTAATGAAAAGAACATTTCTTTACTCTAAATATTACTTTATTTTAGTTACGACAAAGTTCCGTGGTCTTAAAATTGAATTAACGATTTTAAACAAATTTATAGTTCATAAGTTTATTTCAAAACAAAACCATTTTTGGTAACTATTTTTTAAATGAACATTGCAAAAGCAGATTATTTTTAGGGCAGAGCTGGCATAAAAATCCCCTTTTTTTCCACCTTTGTATCACAAATCTAACGCATGTCACCTCAACTCATCTTGTTTCTTCCTGACTTCACTTCACCTCACCGCATCGCATCGCTTTGGATTCTGCTCACATTTTCAGACTCATATGACAAGCTCGCAGTTTTCTTCTTTTGTTTGTTGTTTATGATTTTCCACTTTTTTTTTTTGCAGCTTGTGTGCGAGTCCTTACACATTGATGTCAGCTGCATGTTTCCTGAACCGGAACACGTTGTTAGCCCGGCTCGATTCCCGGATTCCCCGATTGCCCCTGATCCAGTGAAAAGTTTTGCCCGCCTTTCGCCTAATTTGCCTCTTATTTACTTAGCCAATGTTCGCCCGTCAAGTCCTCATCTCGAGCTTCCCGTCTCCGCCGCTGGAATTAATAAAATGCACCCATAAGCGGCACTCAAAGGGGGAAATGGGGCTGAATGTGGGGCATCGCCAACTTGCAGCTGCAAAACTTTGTCGGCCTCAACGACAGAATAAGTATCGGAGCGGGAAAGGATCCACTGGCAGGATAACTCAGGGAATGACTGCCACTGCTATTCTCGGAATGGCTAATGGAAAATAATCAGAATGTGTGGCTGCATTCGGGATCTGCATGTTAGCCGGCACCAGATGTACAGATGGAATAAAATGAAATTCTTGTTTGCCTGACTATAACCATGTGTCCACCGATGGGGTTTCGAGGGTCAGCGGAGCAGTTTGTTGAAATTGTATAAGACAGAAGATGATCAAAGTTGAATTATTTTATTAACACACACACAAGATCGATAAATATATCGTCTTCGGTTAATTCTGTTAATGTGAACACAAAAACCAAAACCAAAATAATGTAAGACACTTGATATTTACTGATGGTCATAAACTTTGACATTACAAAAAATACTTTTTGAACATTAAATTAATTTCTTAAAAGTTCCAAATGTAAACTAGATATTTTGAAATTAATTTCATTTTTTTAAATCTAGCAAAAGACTTTGTATATATAAAAGCAGACGAATTATTTAAGGAGTGATATTTGTTTCATTTATTTCTATTGTGGTGATCAAAGAAAACATAATCTTCAACTTTACAGCTTCGTGCAATGCTTTTAACAAATTTCTTTAATATTTCAGTGGACTCCAACTTAAACTTGGCTTATTATCTCAAGCTAAGACAAGTGTTTATTTATTTAAAAATGCCAAGCCAGCCCTCGTTCATGCCATATAGCACGAAACAAATCTTGTGCAATCACAATGGACCCTCACTCGGGAAACTCGGAAAACTCGGGGAACTCGTGCGTCGACTTGTGCAGCTGACACTTTAAAAGGCATTGACAAAGCCACATAAAATCCGACTTTAAGCGCTGCCAGGCATGTCAAATGGGCTCGAGTGGTGCGCGGGTGGTTGAGTGGTTGAGCAGGACCCTCGTGGGTTCCCATCGCTGTTTTTGCATTTTTTTTTTGTGCTCCCATTGAGACAGCCTGCAGCATTTTGCATAAATTTCAGCGGTGGCAAACGCGAATTTCAATTGCAATTTTCCATTATCCAGACAGAGCTACCGACCGCATTAGGGATTCAACCCGGTTCGATATACTCACCCAGCAAATCGTTGACACCGGCGAAGGTCATCACCAAGGAGGCGACGAACAGATCCGCAATCGCCAATGAGGCCAGGAACAGATTGCCGATGCGGCGCAGACTGCGCTCCGTGTAGATGGCCAGGCACACCAGGATGTTTCCGGCCACCGAGAGGAATATCAGCACCGATAGGAAGATGCCTGCGGCGAGTCGAAATCAAATATCACACCCATAATCGAAGCTCAAGTCCCAACAATGATCGGTTAAAGCATACTTATATGGGCGGGTGAACATCGAAGGATGTGCATGAGGGTGTGTGCGTGCGATTGGTGTTTGTCACATGCAACATGCAATTTTACTTATAATTGTTGTGTCCGTGAGAGCTGTGAAAGTGGTCGAGTGGGTCGGTTGTTCGGTGGGTCGTTGGATTGGTGGGTGGTGCTATACAGTGTGGCAGTGGGTGGGTGGCTCTTGCTGTACATTCAACGACATTTACTTTACCAACAACTACAATTGACACAAGTGACAGCGGCTCCGGTTCCTCACCAACTATTGTATCCATTTCAGAGGCATTTGTCCAGCTGCTCTCATTGTAGAACGATGTCAACTGCAATGGAACGAGTTTGAAGAGGTTCGTTAGCTGCTGGTAAATATGTAAGTTTATGGCTTTTAATGTTCCTCTGAGCCATGAATAATATTAAAATTTATTATCCATTTTTAATTTTATAAAAATATATCTTATTTCGAGTAAATATAAAATTTAACAAAATTTTAATATGAATATCCTATAAATTTGTAAGAACTATATAAAAATTCTTATGCAAAACAACAAAAAACTCATTATTAGTTCTACATATATTTGATTTCTAATTAAAATTTAGTACTCAATGCAAACTTTAACAAAATGCTTCACCGTAGTTAAATAGCCAGATTGTGGCTTTCTTCCTACTCTTTGATTTCCACCCACAAACTCATGAAGTTTGGGAAATGTTTTTGGAATTTAATTAGCTGGCATCTGCTTTGATTTTCTACGAACTGCGTTCCATTCATTTTCCTGCTTCTGTCATCGTGGCTGTGTGTGGCACGCATGTCTTGGCCATGCAAAAAACTATCAATCATTTGTGGCATCTGTGGCAGAACCGCAGAAGGCAATCCCCTTGAAGTAGCGCACAAAGATGGGTGGCATTACTCATAATTAAAATTGACAAAATTTCAAGAAAACTGCTATGGCCTGTAATGAAATTAATTTGTTTTACTAAACGTCCACCGCCCTCTCCCCATATATATATATAAATGTATGTGTCTATCTTTCTATCTGTTTGTGGTAACTTTGAGCTGGAATTTGTCTTGCGGTTTCTTTTGCTTTTGGGCAACCAGACATGTTGGCATGGGCCCTTGCATGCTGGCTCAACTATTTACTCGATTCCAACCTTTGTAGCCCAAATTGATTGTGCAAAAAATTATTAATTACCGACGGGGCAATGTAAAAAAAGGATGCGGCCGGCCGGCCCTTTGAGCCCTTTTGCGTTATTGCCACGGGAATGTAAATGCGCGGCCGGCAACAAATAACCAAAATGAAAGCCATAATAAAATGCTCAAAAGCAGACCCGAAAACCGCTGACATATGCAATTAATTAATTCAAACATAAAACTGCCGACGCCGTATGAATAATTTCCCTGTTGCTATTCAGACGGTTTAAGCTTTTCCCCCAACTTTTTTGTTTAATTAAATTTGCTGTGTGTATTGAGCGTAGCCAGCTTAATTACTTTAAAGTTGTTAATTGTTTGAAATGGAAACTTCAGTTTAATCGGCTCGAATGCGGTTGCAGAATGCCACAAATGTAGCATACTTATGGATCGCACAACAGGACGTATGCGCAATTTCATGTATATACATCCATTTGTCGAGACTAATTTATTTATGTATAGATTAATGCAAGCATGTACACTTAGAACGCTAGTTAAATTGCGTAAATATTTAACTGGCTCAAAGCAACTAGACGGCAATATAAACGCACTAAAGTGCGATTACTCATTCATAAACTATATTGATTGGTCAGTAGAGCAGAACGCTTAAAAGCACACGGATAGAGTTACCAAAGGGATTTCTACGCGAAATGGACCATAAATGAACATTATACCAAATTAATTGATGCTCCACATTACGAGCGAAAAGCGTTGGACAATAAAAAACACTTAAGATTATAAAAATGACACGAAATGCCTTTTCGTGTCAAGTGAGTTTTCATTAAAATCAACAGCAGCTGCTGCACTGATTCAGTAATGCGGCCGAACATTATTCTGATGTTGATGTTTACGTTCATGACGCTGCTTCTTCAGCGGCAAAGGCATCATTAAAAAGCAGTTAACAACCCGGAAGTGGAAGCGTGCCACTCCGAAGCCTGCCATCAGACGGAAAAGGACCTTATAAATTTCCAATTTACAGTCAGGCAGAGTGGAATGCTTCAACTTTTTTTCATGAAAAAATTGAAAGTGTCATAATAAAATTTAATTTGTAAAAATAAACCAAATGTTAGTTTGGACTCTTATATTCTCAAATGGAAACCGAGCAGTTTTAAAAGGTTATTCACATTGGTTTTTAATTTCAAACAATATTCGATGAGAATATTTTTATTATTACACATTTATTTTTATGTAAGTTTCAGGATACTTCACTTTTGAACACTCTTAAAACGTATTTGGTTGAAAAGTTCTATAATAAATTATTCATCACTGTTTCAGAAATGAAAAATGTCAAAAAATAATTACATTTTGTGTTAAGCAATTCAAGCTTTTTATGGTAGTTTTCCTTATAAATCTCCTACAGTTCCAGCAATAAACTAAACTAGTTTTAAATTTCAACCCCCTTTAAGTTATGTACGTCCGCTCTAAAAGCTATGAGCGAAAATTTAGATGTGTCCACGGAACAACGCGCAAAGAGACAGCATAAAGAAAGCATCTGCCAAGTGTGTGCTAAAAGAAATTTAAACAGTTGGAGAAAGGGGAAAAGCAGGACAATAGGAGGAACAACTGTGACAGCAGTTACTGCATTTAATTGGCAATAAAAGTGGACAACAAATGTTCGTGGCCCACGTTCCCCGAAGGCCTCCAATAGAAAACAAGGAGCAAAAGCAGAAGCTCTAGGGAAGGAAAAAGGGCACGGACTTGTGTGTTGGGATGTGAGAAATACCAGGATAGAGTCGCACTTGGGTGCTTTGGCTTTGTTTGCAGAGCTAAATGGCACAATGCGTTGATTAAACGTCAACACACACACACACTCCCACACACACACGAAACATACCTGGAGGCCATACAATAATAAGGCAGAGAACCTGTTGGCAGGACAACAAGAAACGGTGGAATTGTTGCCCACCTGTCCGACTGTCTGTCCTTTGTCTGGCCGTCTGGGTAGGCGGAAGTAGTGTGATTTACAAGTGGAAAAGGACGGGCAGACAGGCTGAATAATAAGCAAACGGCACCAAAGGACTTGCCGAGCTCCACACTTTACAGTGTCATTGGAGCACTTCCGCCTACGGCAACACGACTAGCAACGATAACAAACAACAGAACCACTGTCACATGACCCAGAGCACAGCATAGTTGTTAATTAAGTGCTCTGTACAATTACTAGACCGAAAACTCTTCAACAACGAGCCAAGGACCTGGGGAAAACAAACCCGCCTTGTTTCAGCTTCCCTTACAGTTCAAAGAGCATTTCTGTATATATAATGCGATTTTCTTGTCGAACGTTTAAGAAATTTTGCAATATACGCACTGTAAAACCAGTACAACAAGTATCTAAAAACGATAGCATGGATTTGGTTAAGACCCTAAAAATTACGAAGTCTTTATTGTACTTTTCTAAATTATGTCGTCTTACAACATACTTTTAATTTATATTCTTAAATGTCATTTGCCATTTTTAGAGAAATATTTTATATAATTTTAAATTGCATTTAAAAGTAATGAAAGTAAATTGACGTTAACTTCCTGAAAAGACAAAATTCAGCCAAAATATCTACTTTTTTACTAATTTCACTATTATCTGTTAAAGATTTATAAATTTGGTTCAGTGGAATGAACCATTTTCCATTTACCTGCAGCTTTTAGGTGTGCTAAGCTCTCACAAAATCTATTTCCTATATCTCTTTTTGTGCTCAGTGCAATAATAAATTTTCAATTTCCCTGCAATTTGAACTTTGCCCACACGATTCACCAGCCCAGAGTTTTTGAGGCGCGATGAACTCGATTCGGTTGGGTGGCCAAAACCAACTAAAGTCGCTGCTCCGTGCTGTTTAGCATACATTTAAATTCTTACAATAAACAAGAAATGCTGTGGGCGTCTCCTGGCAAGTCGCAGCAAGAGTTATATACACAAAGGGATGGGGATCTCACGTAGAAGCGATAATACTAGAGCCTAGACAGCTGATTTATGCGCCGAGCAAATATTTATTGTTTGCTTTCGGAAACTTTCCAACAGAACTTAAAGTTTTGCTTAATCCAAGCAGTTTACCGACTGGTTATGCAATATGGAAATGGGAAAGCGGGTGAGTAGACCCCAAGGTAATGTGACAATTGCGAAAGTCGGCTATCTCTCATCTGATGGCCATTGTCTGAGCCGTCAATGCCCGTTGACAATTGCAGGGCTTGCCAGGATTCCACGAAGGAGCTGCTCCTGCAGACAGCTGTCAACAGCGTTGCTGCTGATGTGTATGTGTTTGTGTTCATTGTTGAAATTTCGGCTTAATTAAACGAAGTCGAGAGTTGAGAAAAGGGGAAACACTCGCAGACACATGTGTCTGGCTGTCAAAACTGTCGTAATTGAGGACCCAGCATCTATTCATGTATGTACTATATGCATGGGCATTAAATGCAAATGAGCGCCTGATGGCGTGGAAAAGTGTGTGACATTAAGTAGGGATTTTCCTCCTCCACATGAGCACCTCCCAAGATGAGCAGCGCCCTCAATTATGAATGAACTAATTAGATTCTCCTCCTGACGCTGATGGATAACCAAGTTTATTCGCCCTCCAGCGGGATTTTCACACTTGTGATGAGTGGTTGACCTTTTTTCGGACGTGCCAGGGACACTTTTAACCTCAGACTGGCTCCTGTCGAATTTGTCTACGGATAAATAATTAAAATGAACCAGTGATGGACATAACGTAAGGACACCACAAGTTCTGCCTCAGGCTGTGGCAAAATATTATTAAAAATTTATTTTATTTCGGTCATGTCCCACACCCTTGGAAAATACTTTTAGTTGATTGCTCTTTCAAGATCGTTAACATATTTATTACCAAAAGGACGATAAGCTAACCAGACACTTGGCCGCAGGCGGGTTATCAAAATTTTAATCTTACCCAATTTAAATTAATGTTTTATAGATTATAACTTTTTAATCGATTACCTGACCAGAAAGAAAACTAAATGGGTTTTGACTTCTGTGCCTTTTTTCTAGCCTGGAAAAAATCGACAAAAGATATAAAAACTATTGTTTATATTTATTAGTTTGGCCGACTGAACATTATTTCGTTGATAAATAAATAGATGAAAAGTTAAATCAAAATAAATACATGGTTGTTAAATTCATTAACTTGAATTAACATATGCGTTTACTTAATAGCTCTAATTTCTATATGTAGTAGACCAAGAAGTTAAGTCAGTATGCCAGTACACACAACAGGAATGATAATTACGAAAACCCGATTGTTTGGATCCGATTGGCCATTGTGTTGGTTCTTGGAAGGTAAATCAAATGCTCCTGTCTCTTGTTTGCCTTATCGCTGCTCTATTGCCTGCCAATTTTCGGAGGACCGGCGATTGTTTGTTTTGGCAGCTATTCAGCAAATTGCCTTGTTGATTTGCCTCGGGCAGATTGTCAACGTCACGATAATTAGCTGCAACAGGAGATGACTTTGGCGGGCTGAAGTGCAACGAAGGAAGGATGAAGGTAGGGGTTTTCAGAGGCGCTTAAGCTGATTGTAAATGCAGTCCCCGTTTCCCATCACTCACTCTATCCAACTTAATCTTCATAGTACCCATCTACCCGTCTCCCATTTTTGTAGGAGCATCGATTTTATACTTTTTTCCAGCTGCATATCTCTTCCTTTTGGGATTTTCCACTGAAGCCGAGTGAAAAACTTGGCAAGTGAACGTTGTCAGTCACTGGCACTCAGTTGTGTGCTTAACACAAACATCCCGTTAACTCGCACAAGTGTCGTCGGCACACAACCACCACTGCAGACACACATACGTCGCATGAGTGTAAATACAGATACATCAATGCAACTGCACTTGTTTCTATTGAAAGGAAAAAATGGGGACTAGAAAGGAAGATAGAACCATATCTCATGGATTTTTCTTAGCAGTGTCAATCGTCCTCGCACTCGAACAGTGGCTCAATGACAGTAGGACTCATTTTACACCCAAGATTTAAGTAATATGAGTACTTTAAGAACTTTGTAAAGCTAAAGAGTAAGAAAAAATCATAAGAAGTCGAAATAATACAAAACTACTAATATATATTTTGTCTCTTATATTTAGAAAATCATTATGATTACAGAATCTCAGAATACAGTTTATAAAAATGTAGTTTGTACTTTAAAATCTGGTTTTAAGAAGTATTCTCTATAAAATTAATTTAAAAATCCACCAGAAAATAAAATCAAATAGACAGGAACAAAACTATTGCAAAACCAGATAATTTAATATGAAACTGAGATGAAAATATTTATTTACTTTAACTATGGACTTATTAAATGATTACTTTTTAAGCGTGTCGTACTAAGAATTCCACTAAAATTTAAATGAAATTGCTTCCTCAGTTACTTTCTACTAACTACCACTTTAAAAAGTTTTCAACAGTGTTCAACAAAATCCTCCGTGCTTCTCTCGGATTTCTCAACTATAAAAATGTTGTCGATTATCTTGATTGTATTTTTGGCAATAGCTGGCAAGCCTGCACACCCGACGCGGGTGATTGACATGACCCTAGGAATATTATATGGTCGTGGCCCCATTAAATTGACTTGTCACGAGTAATCGTTCTGCACTTCTGTGTCATTGCCGAGTCACTGATACCAGTGGCTCAACTCGAGGAGGAGAGCCCCATAAAAAATAGCTACACAAGGACAAAAAATATACAAAATGGACCCAAACACACACATGGACTAACAGCAGCAAATAAAAATAGGGTTTATGCTCAATCAGGAGCGAGCCTTTTTGGGTTTACTGAATCCCTTTGACTGCTCATCGAAAATCCCTAGCCCCATTCAACTGGCCCTAAAGTAAAAGAGGTAAACGAAACGCAACATAAAAATCACGGATAACCTGCTATTTTCATTTGCTTTTCCTTTTTTGCTTTCCAACAGAACAAAAAATGGATGAAACCGTGGAAAAGAGCACAAGGTGCAATTAAATGGCAACACCTAGACAAACACATTGTGGCTGTTGTGGCCAAGATTAATGTGGAATGGCCATGATGGAGGGATCGGGATGCACCTCCATTTCACCGGGGTGCTGGCATGTGTGGTTTCTATATATATGTACCCCATATACTCGTGACCCGATTCGTGGACCCAGCATCCGGCTCATTTATATTGCGGCTAGCCCCGTGATTATGGCAGGCAGCTGCCACACACATTTAATTAGGCGAAATTGGTGACATTTATCCGAGTCCACTTCTCCGACTCCTTCTTATTTTATGTGGTCATGATCTAATTGAAAATTACGGAGTAAAAACAGACGAATAATGGGAATATTTTATGAGAGAAATTTTTCTTTAATACCTTAACAAGATAAATCAGAACAAACAACTTTTAATTACATTTTAGACAGTGAGAGCACCTCAAAATGTTAGGAGTATAATGTACATATTTTAGCAACAAAGTTAGCAACAAGGTAATGAATTAGTTTTATATATAAGGGAAAGCAAGCATTTAAAAAATCCACTTTGGCTTTATAACATTTCTTCTGCATAAATTCCGAAAAAAGTATGTTGTAAGTTGGAAAATGTTATATATATTATCAGTGATAAAGATAAATATAACATAGTTTACTAATCGCTCAGATAAAACAAGTTATAATTAATCTTTATCATTTGAACTAAATATAGAATATAGATAAAAGGTTTACTTTTAGACTTAGCTTTGATTTCACTTTATTATTTACTTGGTCAATATTATGTTTTCACTTTAATTAAATACAACTGAAAGTTCCTAATCATGAACATATTACAAATAAGCCACAGGGCAGTGAGAAATGGCCTACAAAGTCGTTCCAATAAATTGCTTAGTGGCCAAAGCAAACAATTACATATTATTGGTTTGATAGGTTCGATTTCAATTTGCTGGGGTATTGATAGCCAACGGCCACGCCCCTCACGCCCCCCAACGCCCCTGCCCACTGATTTGGACAAATTGCTGGCGGAAATTTGCGCAAATTTCGAAGGCTCTGGTTCAATACGAATATTTATGTGTGGTGGAACAACAATGGTGGTGGATTTGCTGAATGGAAAGCGCAATCCACATGGCTGCAGCAATAACAAATAAGGCTATTAATATTTTATTATTATTGCTATGCAAAGCCTGCGAACAATGGCAAGCCAAAGTTTTTCCTCCCGACTAGAAAATGCGGAATTCCATCCAAGAACGCAAAAAACACAATGGATTAAGGGGGACGATGGGGAGAGGAGGACAATTCAGAAAAAGAACGAACATAAACCCATTTTTTATGCATGCGGGCAAGATTTGTCGAGTGCAGATTAATAATTCAATTAGATTGCACAACTCGGCGTATGCGTGATGCATTATGCAAATTTCAAAGAAAAGAAACGGGGGAAAGCGACAACGCCCCGAAAGACAATTTGCTGCTGACAGATGAAGGGGACAAATGTCAGTGTCAACCTGCGGTTAGTTAACATCATTTGAGTCTGGACTTAAATTGTCTGTTCTACCCAATTGCATTCACTAAAAATGCATCATCCAAATGCTGAAACATTTCAACTGGCAATTAGGTAAAATTGACCCAATTACATTAGCATTCTGTAAATCACAGTAAATACGCCCTGAACTGTTTATAAATTAGTTGAAAATCTATTTACGTGGAAAATGTGCGGAGCATAAACATGATGACAACGTGATCCTGCGATAAATGTCTACGAATCCCCCGGCGCATCCTTACCCAACTTACGTGATACTCATTATTTACATTCGATTGAAAGTTAAACGTGCGAACAGATGAGCACAACTTTGTCGTTCCACACAACAAGTATTTAGATCCATATCTCCCTCGACTGCGTGCGTTGGCTCATATCCTTTACTGATGCCACACCAAGCACGTAAATTGCTCGTTCTCCCAAAAAAAAAAAAAAAATAGCACCAAAAAAAGAAGGAAAAATAAAACACACACGAGTGAAAAAAAGGGATAAACTTTGGTTTTGGTATACATCCTTGACGGAGTTCCTTTGAAAACCCGATTATGCATCGATGGAGGTGTGTATGGTGGCAAAAGTTTCCCCATGTGCTGGCTGCTAATGAGGCTCACATTCATTTTCATTTACCAGCTGGTTGGCTAGAAGTGAAATAAATTAAAAGGAATGCCAATGGAGGAAACTTTTGCTAACAGCCAGCCTTTTGTTATAATTTAAACTTTGTAATCATATGATAATCACCCTCCTCATAGGGGAAGTTTTGTGTACCCCTTTTGCCTTGACAATTCATTAAGCTGCTAGATTGCGTATACGCCCCATAAACCACCGAACCACCCAGAACTGAACGACAATGTTCGGGAAATATGCCAGCACGTAATAAAAGTGAAATGTTCATAAAGGCCAGGCCCCGGCGTCGCCCGATCGGAGACAAAGACATTGTAAATTATAGTAGCCGCAATGGATACCTGAAACTACACCAAAAAAAAATATATACAAATAAATGATTTCCCAATGGCCCAGTTTTTGAATTATTTATAAAACTTTCAAAACTAATATGAAGTACTCCTATTTAGCGGCCAAGGCTTTGATGACAGATTATAATCAAAGAATTAAATCAATCAATATTTTTGTTAACAGAAAATTAGAATTGAAAAATATTATGTAAAAGATAATCGGCAATTTTCGAAACGAAACATAAAGTTTTTACACGAATCTAAAATAATATTGAATACTTGAATGATTAAATTTCATATTAAATTTTATAAGCTCAACATTATTGCTTTATACCTTGAACTTGTATATAACTAAAAGTGGTATACTCGATGGAGAACTTTTTTAACTCATGCCAAAGAAGCCATTCCTTTTATTAAATTCAATATGAATTAAAATGGTATTTTTGGTTGAATAATCTTTATTTTTATAATTATTTTGAAAGCTTTTTAAGTTCTTCAATTCATATTTGAGTGTATTCCAATTTTTCCCTCTGAGCAGCGAATTTAACGAGCTGCACATCGGACATAAAGCTGAAGCCAAAGCCAAAGCCCAGTGAATGCCTCGTTGGCAGCCACATAAATACAATCGACCCACTCCCACGACCCACTCCTTGCCCCACCGGAATCCACTCACCGTTGTGCCATCGTAGCCATTTGTCAGCAGTTGAATGTCGATTTCAATGTCCAGGTCCACCTTGGCGGTCGTCAACTGCAGCGGCAGGTGATCGGCGTCCAGCAGTGTGGAATTCGAGGCGAATCCGCTGCTACTGTTGCCACTGCTGCCGCTGATGGTGGTGGTGCCACTGCTCGTTAGGGTGGTGCTGGTGGCGGGGGTGGTGGTGCTGCTGGAACTGGTGGTGCCGACCACCGAGGCGGCCACTGAAACCACTCCTGCACTGGCGGCCGTTAGAGCAAGTGCAGCAATCGTCCGCATTGCATTTGTCATTGGATGAAATAAGGATGAAATTAGGATCTGGTTGGCTGGGGTGTGGCTGTTGCTGCTGGTTGTTTCCTCTTTCCTCCGTTTGACTCTTAATTGAGGGTATGGCAATAAATTGCCCGACTACGGCAATGCAGCATTCTGCTAATACACTTCGATTCTAAATGCGGCAGGATACCAGATTCAGGCTGGGTGTAGCCTTTTGCAAACATCGCGGAAAACGCGACCCAGAGTCATGTCCAGCCATCAATCAGGCCAAATTGCAGCATTAAAGTCTCTCCTTAAATGATTAATTATATATGCTGGTTGTTGCTGGGTGGCTTATATCATCCACACACACTCACACACACCCACACACTCCGACACTTAGCACACACTCGCACGCACGCCCGTCAAGAATTCTCGATCGGCACACGGGATTAAGTCCGAGCCCCTGCGCTTTCAGATAGGGCTCTGTATGTGGTTTATCTCGTGCAACTGCCACCGCTTGCCGAACCGTGCGAACTGAAGGCTGAACGTCGACTGTCCGGACACGCACGACTAACGGCATCGCAGTATCAGTACGAGTACGCCGGAGACCGCTGCGAACGACCAATGCCGTAGAGTATGCAACAACTTTCGAATTCCGCCGCAGCCGACAGTCTCCATTCAACAGGATACGCCGTTCGGCAGGCGGAATATGTGCGCCGCGCAGTTTTCGAGAGAGCTCAAGTCGAGAGGGAAAAGCACCTGTTGTTCCACCGACGCGACTTCGTAGCGATTTCCCAGCGATTTGCGAGCGATTCCGGCGCGATTCTGGCCGTCACCTCCATTTGTTCTCATTAGCAGACAGAGAATGACGATGCGCTGCCACACAGACTGAGTGACTGCCTCAACTGCATGCAAATGGAATGCAATTGCTGGCTTTGACAAATCGCCGCCGGCAGACCTGCAGGCCGATGCAATCTTTCAATTGAAATACTACCCTTGCAATGGGGGTTACTCTAGGATCTGGAACATCAACTAAAAATTACTTATGTTTTAGCGAAAAATATACCTAAAACAGTGTCACTCTTATCCCTCATTTTGAGATAGAGATTAATTATTTTGTTAATTGAACAAAGACCCCGTGTTAGAGAGAACTGCTTCTGGAAAGCTTTGACTTTTTTTTTAGAAATATTTATCTATTGGTAAATATTAATAGACTAAAAATAATAATAAGTTTATATAAAACTCCGGTCCTAAAAATGGCAATCTACTACATTAACTATTAACTATCAAACAACCTCAATAAAACTTTGACCATGTGTGCTTTCTTAAATAAGAATGACTTCCAACCTACATCAAAGCATAAGATATAATGAATAAGTTTAAGTTGACTTAACCATAAGCCCATAAGTATTCTTTCTGTTCGTAATAAGCTAAATTGTTGTTTATTTTCAAACTCATTTTAGCTACTTTATCGGAGACCCTCAAAACCACATGCTCCTTAGTATCCAGGCGATATGCTTGGCCACATCCGTGTAAATTACGGGCAGCTTGAGATTGCATCGTCTGATCATTCGCTGTCCACCTGAAATAACGCCTCGCAGGATCCATCTTTCCCGCTCCTGGAGCATCAGTCCTCCTCCGGAATCCCCGCTGCAGGGTCCCGATGCTTTGGAATTGCTGGCGCAGATCGTGTGCGAGGTGATGAAGCGAGCACTCACCTCGGACAGATTCCCCCGGCACTCGGAGAAGGTTATGATGTCTGTATCCGTTATCCTGGCCAGTTGCGTGTTTGGGTTGCCCCTTTTGTCCTCCCCCCAACCAGCCACGTACGACTTGTAGCCCGAGGGCAGGTTCAACAAAAAGTTCTTGTTCCACAAACAGATGGGCCTGACGTAGTCATTGAATCTAAAAGTGTTGTTATTAGAGATTTTTTACATTATTTTTAACTTCCATATAATTCGGTTTCATACTTAATTTGTTTAGTCAATTGGAGCAGTGCCAAATCCGCATCCGTGTAAACGTTGGGATTGTAGTCCCGGTGCAACAAAACTAGTGATACGCCGCTTATAAGTCCGGGTGTAAAAATGTCAAGCGAATTCCGACCCAGTGAGACCATAGTCCTTTCACTAGATAAATTATGGCTACCGAGGCGGAAACAGTGGGCCGCCGTGATCACCGTTCTGGCCGAGATCAGGGTTCCTCCGCACAAAAAGTTGTAGACCCTGCCCACGTGCTCGAAGAGGGCCGCCATCCAGGGCAGCTGACCCCGCTCCACCTCGATTCCGTTGTGGATGAAGGGCGTGTGGATGGACTTCTCCCGCCCACAGACTCCACTCAGCTGACCGATTGTCCGGGGAACGGATCCTGTATTTCGCACGGGTGGGAGCAATCGTGGGACTTGTGGAGGCTGTTGTTGGCGTAGTCTCTGAGGACGTTCCTGATTCTGGGAGGGTCCTGCCTTTTGACTGTTCTGGGACCATTTGCGTGGCAGGGCTAATGAACCAATCACTCGCAAGGTACGCGACAAAGATAGTCTGGTGCTCGGTGATCTAACTTTTAAAATAAACATTTTTTTTAATTCCAAATAAACAGCATGCCTAAGTTTATATACCCTTGCAGCTATAACATAAATTCAATTTTCTATATTGAATACATTTTAAAGTCGATTTTTTAAAAAATTTTGACCGTTCCTATGTAATCTATATGATATAGTAATGAACTAACTGATTAAAATTGACTCTATCTCGGAGTATATGAGTATATATAATATTAAGAAACAACAAAAATCTAATTTTAGTTCCTCTTTTCCCGAAATTTTATTTACTGAAAAATTTTGTTTGACCAAAAGTTTTCCCAAAATAATCGACCAAATAATACAAACCTATATTTGAACACAGATTTTTAGAGAATTGAACCACAATCATTTTAAAGTATGCCACTTTGAAATCGAATGGATATCAGAAAAGTTATGGGGGTAGAACTGCAGTTTTTGGACACTTTTCTGCAAATCCATTTTTTTCAAAATTTGGAATGATTTTATAGAGTTTAGAGAATTAAACCGAACAATCATTTAGAGGTATTCCACTTTGGGCTTAGAAGTGTGGTATATAATATTATATTTTTGTATAGCTTAAAAGACAATTTAGTTACATTTTAAAATACCTTCAATCGATTCACAAAAATTTCTTTGTGGGCAAGCCAAATATCTACTTACACGGCTGAGCTTGGCACACAATATTTGTATTGACCGTAACCTTGGTAAGTTTTGGCACTACATCCGGCGAAGGAAAGTCAATTCGGTAGGTTATGGCCTCATTGTTTCGCAAGCGATCTTTGAGCAACTCTGCGTTCTCAACGATGGTAAGAGAACCGGTTTTACCCTGAAAGTAAATAATGAGTCACAGTTGATAACCAAAGTCCAAGTACACATGACGTCACGGGCGGCAGTTTTGCAAACATGACCGGCGAAATCGTAGCGAAACTATGCAAATAGTTGTACAGAATTAAAATCAACTTGACCAGCGAGCTAGCCAAACTGGGAGAAATGTCAATGCTAGATAGCACTGACATTACACATAATTCCAAAGCATGGAAAATTACCGGTGTGCTTCTGCCGGGCTGCGAAAGTTCAACACGCACTACATTTTCCGCATAGTCCTTATCCAGAACAAGTTTCAGATGTCCTATGTACACATCATTGAGTTTTAGGTACCGAAAAAGATTCGGACAGGCAATATAGGGCAAAATTTGAGCAGTAATGTAGCTGGCCTTCAATAAGGTGATTAGAAAACCGAACACACTCAGTTGGAACATGACTAGTGCGAAACCTTTTCGGAACGAAATATATTATACAAATTTTCAGTCCAGAATCCCAGTGTAAGCTGCCACCGGAACTGTAGTAACCGCACGGAACGAGAGTCGTTTTATGAATGATCGGTATAAGCTGAGATTAGTTTCCGATCTATCTATAGTGCAATAGGAACATAGATACTCTAAGATAAGTCCCACAATAGTACTTAAGTGTAGGTGCTACAATACATTGCAATGCACTATGGGGAATTTGCCCGATTTTTATACCCTTGCAGAGGGTATTATAATTTTGGTCAAAAGTGTGCAACGCAGTGAAGGAGACATCTCCGACCCTATAAAGTATATATATTCTTGATCAGGATCACCTCCTGAGTTGATATAGCCATGTCCGTCTGTCCGTCTGTCCGTCTGTCCGTCTGTCCGTCTGTCCGTCTGTCTGTTTCTACGCAAACTAGTCTCTCAGTTTTAAAGCTATCGGATTGAAACTTTGCACACACCCTTCTTTCCTTTGCACGCAGTATATAAGTCGGAACGGCCGGGATCGGCCGACTATATCCTATAGCTGCCATATAACTGATTGATCGGAAATGCCATAACTTTCGTGTTTGTAAAGTTAGGAAGTTGGGATTTTCTATGGGTTTTATATTTGGCCAATCAATCCGACCTACCAAATTTCATAAGGATCGGCCGACTATATCCTATAGCTGCCATATAACTGATTGATCGGAAATGCCATAACTTTGGTGTTTGTAAAGTTAGGAAGTTGGGATTTTCTATGGGTTTTATATTTGGCCAATCAATCCGACCTACCAAATTTCATAAGGATCGGCCGACTATATCCTATAGCTGCCATATAACTGATTGATCGGAAATGCCATAACTTTGGTGTTTGTAAAGTTAGAAAGTTGGGATTTTCTATGGGTTTTATATTTGGCCAATCAATCCGACCCACCAAATTTCATAAGGATCGGCCGACTATATCCTATAGCTGCCATATAACTGATTGATCGGAAATGCCATAACTTTGGTGTTTGTAAAGTTAGGAAGTTGGGATTTTCTATGGATTTTATTTTTGGCCAATCAATCCGACCTATCAAATTTCATAAGGATCGGCCGACTATATCCTATAGCTGCCATATAACTGAACGATTGGAAATGCCATAACTTTGTTGTTGTTAAAGTTAGGAAGTTCGGATTTTTTATGAGTATTAAGAATGCATCATATGAATAATTTTGGAGAATATAATTTACAGAGTATTCTGCAAGGGTATATCAACTTCGGCTCCGCCCGAAGTTAGCTTTCCTTTCTTGTTTGGAATAAATTAATAACTCGCGAACTATGTAACATATTTCAGTGAGGTTTTTTTTATAGTGTTCTACATACCTATACACATCTGTTGGAAAAGTGAAAGTATACCCTTACCCCCCCCCCACCCAATTTTTTATATTTTTTATAATAAATTTAGCTCTATATGCTCTTAATTTTCAATTTCAATGTTGTACAAAAATCATAGTCGTTTTCTTCTTCATAATTATCAACATCTAGAGACTCGTCTCCAGGTTCATATTCGCATAATAACAATTGAATGACTTCTGGTGGAAGAGCAAACAGCTTATGTTTTCGGACGCGCTTCTTCAAATTAATTGATGAAATGATGGGGTCTGAAGTAAGCATGGCTCTCTGAAAAACATCTGTAAAGTTGGAGATTCGACTGTGGGATTAACTAGCTAGCTAACAAAAGTGAATTCGCCATCTTCTTTTTCTCGAAGACCCATTTGCTTATGCAAAACTTCCAGCAGGGCTACGTTTTTGATCAAGAGATTGGTTTCTAAAAAATGAAATTACGCGAAAAGTCGCACGAAGCGCACGATGAGACAATATGTTCTGAATTCGCAATTAATGGCTCTACAACATAGATATAGACACTCACTGAACAAAGTTAAACATTTTTTTAAAACTCTATTGAAAGTTTAACTTTCTTTCCAAAACCCAAACGAAAATATCACCTGCTACATTTACAAATTGTAAAAATTGGACGCACATATTAAGCAATATATAAGTATTTTTACACAGAACATACCTTGAGAATTGGTAATCATTTCAAATTTGACTGTCTTACGTCATTTTGTTGCAGAGATAATGATTTGAAAATTAGCTTCATAGTTAAGCAAAATGTAAACAAACCATGTGCGCTTGCAACAGCTGACTTTAACAGTTGGTATTTAAATACTAGACTTTTAAGTTAACATTTGCGGTATGTTACGAAACAGCTTGATGTTTTCTTAATACATTAAAACAAAAAAATTGAAAATCGGCATACTTTTAAAAAATACATTTATTCCAAAAAATCGGGCAAATTGTGCCACCTACAACATACATATATGTATATTTTTATACCCTTGCAGAGGATATTATAATTTTGTTCAAAAAGTGAAGGAGACATCTCCGACCCTATAAAGTATATATATAAGTCGGAACGGCCGGGATCGACCGACTATATCCTATAGCTGCCATATAACTGATTGATCGGAAATGTCATAACATTGGTGTTAGTAAAGTTAAGAAGTTGGGATTTTCTATGGGTTTTATTTTTGGCCAATCAATCCGACCTACCAAAGTTCATAAGGATCGGCCGACTATATTTTATAGCTGCCATATAACTGAACGATTGGAAATGCTATAACTTTGGTGTTTTTAAAGTTAGGATGTTGGGATTTTTTATGAGTATTAAGAATGCATCATATGAATCATTTTAGAGAATATAATTTACAGAATACTCTGCAAGGGTATATCAACTTCGGCTCCGCCCGAAGTTAGCTTTCCTTTCTTGTTTATATAAGTGTTAACTAATATAAAAATTGTTATCCATACTTAAAATTCTTGATAGATAAAAAAAATATTATTTAAAATTTACACTAAGCCGGCATATACTTATGAAATTGAAAAAGCTTATTCTTCTTACCTTTTAGTCCACAATTTGCCATGATACATAATCGAGTTTTAAAGACTTTGAGATTTATAATTCATAACAACATATACACTTAGTTGTCAATTAAAAAAGCCGTCAGGTTAGAGCAGTGAGACATAAGTAAATTTGAACGTATCATAAAGATTGATCTATTGATTCATAGTTGACGTAATAACTAACTTATTCGTAGGATATTCCAATTAATTGAATAAATATCAATAGAACATAAAGTAAACTACATCGGAAGACCTAAACTAGCCACCAAATTATGAAGCAATCGCATAAGTGAATTCCAGAATAAGAATGGTTGTAATTCAAATTGATCATATTGACCAACATTTTTACTTTGTTCAAGATGTATTCATGTATTCATTTATGAAGTTTAAATTAATCTCACAATCAACCCTTTGGTCACTCGGTATTTTGGCACTCAATTCAACTAGTCCATCGGTCAGCCTCTCAAAACCACATGCTCCTCAGCAGCCACTCGATGTGCTTGGCCACATCCGTGTAGATGACGGGCAGAGTAAGGTTGCATCCTCTGGTCATGCGCTGTCCGGCTGAAACGACGCCTCGCAGCATCCAGATGTCCTGCTCCTGGAGCATCAGTCCTCCTCCGGAATCCCCGCTGCAGGGTCCCGATGCTTTGGAATTGCTGGCGCAGATCGTGTGCGAGGTAATGAAGCGCGCATTCTCCTCGGAGAGATTGCCGCGGCACTCCGAGTTGGTGATGATGTCCGTGTCCGTCATCTTGGCCAGCCGCGTGTTCCGGTTGCCCTTTTCGTCCTCACCCCAACCAGCCACGTAGGACTTGTAACCCGAGGGCAGGTCGAGCAGATAGTTCTCGTTCCACAAACAAATGGGCTTGACGTAGTCACTGAAACTAAAAGGGTTTTTTATGAGAAGGTAGGAACATCTTTTTCAATTTATATCAATGCTTACTGAATGGTTTCAGTCAACTGCAGCAGCGCCAAATCCGCATCGGTGTACACGTTGGGATTGTAGTCCTGGTGCAGCAAAAGTAGGGATACGCCGCTTGTTTGTCCGGGTGCAAAGAAGTCCAGCGAATTACGACCCAGTGAAACCGTTGTCCTTTCACCAGGCAAATTCCGGCTGCCGAAGCGGAAACAGTGGGCCGCCGAGATCACCGTTCTGGCCGAGATCAGGGTACCTCCGCACAAAAAGTTGTAGTCCCTGCCCACGTGCTCGAAGAGGGCCGCCATCCAGGGCAGCTGACCCCGCTCCACCTCGATTCCGTTGTGGATGAAGGGCGTCTGGATGGTCTTCTCCCGCCCACAGACTCCACTCAGCTGACCGATTGTCCGGGGAACGGATTCGGTAATTTGCACGGGTGGGATCAATGGTGGAATCGGTGGCCGGGCTGTGGTCTCGAACCTCGGTTCTTGTGGCAATTGAGGCACTGGTTGTGGCCGCGGTCTGGGAGGAGGCTGTTGTGGACGTAGTATCTGAGGAGGCTCCTGCTCCTGGGAGGGTCCTGTCCAGTTCCTTTGGGGGTTCTGGGACCATTGAGGTGGCTGTATCCGCTCGGGTGTCGGTAAAGACGCCAATGGAACAATCATTCGCAGAGTACGCGATAAAGATAGTCTTGAGCTCGGTGATCCAACTTAGGGAATAAACAATTTGTTAATTAATTTAAAATAAATAATTTAACTTAAATATTTAGCAATTTATCAGAATCCCAATATGATTATCTACTACCTAGTTGATTTAAAAAGATCTTGAAACGACTCAAAGGCTTTTTTTTTTTAAAACCAAATTTCTACTCACACGGGTTAGCTTGGCACACAATATCTCCATTGATCGAAACCTTGGTCAGTTTGGGCACCACACCCGGAGTGGGAAAGTCAATTCGGTAGTTGATGGGCTGATTGTTTGACAACCGATCCTTGAGTGACTCCTCGTTCTCCAAGAAGTTAAGAGTACCCGGCGAGGACTGAAAGAAAGCAGAAGTCAAAAGTTGTTATAAATTCCAATTCCGACGTCATGGGGGGCATATATGCAAACATAACTCAACTGGCAGAACAATAATAACATTGCCAGCTGAGCCCGTACGATAGATCTCACAACAAACCCGTTCCACAACTTAGTGGAAAGCGGTAGAGAACTGAACTGGGGAGCTTTCGGGCGAAGGGGTTTTTCCCGAGCGCTATTTGTCTTATCAGCCATGCAATTCCCATGAAAGTCAGCTTGACCAGCGAACTCGACAAGTTCGATAGTGGAAAATCAGGCATCCAATCTATGAGTGAGGTCAATGCTTGATAGCACTGACATAACACTTAATACCAAATAAAACGAATCTTACCGGAGTCCTTCTGCCAGGGTGCGAAAGTTCAACACGTACTACGTTATCCGTAGACTCGTTATCCAGAACTAGTTGCAGATGTCCTATGTACTCATTATTGTGTTCCAGGTACTGGAAAAGATGAGGGCAGGCAATGTAGGGCAGATTTTGACCGCTAATAAAGCAGATCTGCAGTATGGTGATCAGGAAACCGAACCGAACAACTTGCAGTTGGCACATGGCGAATGTGTAACCCTTCCGGATCGATAAATATTTATAAAAACAAATGCGACTGCAATGCAGTCTAGAATCACAGATTAAAGCGCCTTGGAAACCGTACTCGATGAGAGGCGCGCGATGAATGATTGGTATTAGCTCAGATTAGACGCATTAGTTTCCGATCTAGCTAAATATTCGAGTCAAAGCTTGTCGACTCTCTCAACCTGATCAGAGTTAGTTACTCGATTACAGGCATGAATGTGTCGGGAGATTCCACCTCTTTTCAAACTCTTTGCGATATTTTTACCTACATCCACTGAAACAAACTAATTTTTCATATGTGTAAATATCTTAAATTTTATAAGATAAGCCATACTAAAAATTACAAAAACTTGCAGATGAGAAATGATTTAATGGACTCTTGATTATCATGTGATCATCAATTTGATGAGTGCTCGTTAAAATGTTAAACAGTAATAAATATTCAATTATCATTTATATAGAGGGGATATAAAACTGTAAAATTCATTTAAAAAGTAGTCAGTAAGGATGTTCAACAAAAATTCCTTTATTTTTCACCACTATTAATAGTTATTTTATGTTTAATTTACAAATTAATTCAAATTTTCGAAAATTTGTAAAATTTACATACATATTGCATCCAAATAATTATCAAAAATATTTTGCTGTGTATAAGAGATATTTGTCATTAATTAATTTCATTCAATGATAAATAATCCAGTAGTAGCCAGTTCAGAGACAGTAAATTAGCACTTGGATCTTCCAGTTACGTTGTATAAATGCATCTGTTCATGAGGATCTACAAAGCCAGGAAAGATCCAAATTCCCTTTAGTCCCACATGTTCCTTCGTACCCAGTCGATGTGCTTGGCCACGTCGGTGAATACGGACGGTTGGGACAGATCGCAGGTGTGCCTTTCTTCGTCGATCAACCCCGTAGAAATCACTCCCCGCAGTACCCACACGTCGTTTTCCCGCAGCATCAGGGGTCCTCCTCCATCGCTCGCACAGGGTCCCCTTCCTATCTTCTTGGCGCACAGGGTGTTTGGCTGGTGCAGCGAAGGGGGCAGCTCCTGGGCGCAGCTGGTCTCACTTAAGATGTTCAGGTCGGTGATCTTGGACACTTCCGAGTTGCCGGTGCCGGACTCATCGGGTCCCCAGCCTGCTACATACGTCTTGAGTCCTTGCTGCAGGTCCATGCGGTTTCTGGTGCTCCACAGGCAAATGGGTACTATGTAGTCGTTATATCTAGAATGAAAGTATGATTAAATGATTAAAATAAGATTATAAATAACCATACATAAGTATTGTTTTATTTAAGAAAGAAATCATGTTGTATTAACTTTACATCTGGGGTTTCATGACCTTAATAAAATAGATCAAAGAAGTATATAAATTGCTGATAGACTCACCTCACCGGTTCGTCCAATCTAACCAATACCAAATCGGACTCCGGGGACTGCTTAATATTATACTTTTCATGAATGATTAACTCGGTCACTCCGCGAATTTCTCCCTGGGAGTGAATGGCCAGACTGTTTCTTCCCAGGGAGACGGCCGTGCGATCCGCGGTCAAATCCCGACCAGGATGTCGAAAGCAATGGGCCGCAGACAGGACCGTGGAAGTCGAGATCAGGGAGCCGCCACAGATAAAGGCGGGTCCATTGCTGTCCCTTCGCTCGAAGATTGCCACCAACCATGGCAGCTGGCCGCGCTCCAGGTTTTTTCCCTGGAATATCAGAGGAGTGGTGCTGGTCCTCTCGACTCCGCAAGGAATCCCACTGGAAGAACCCCTCTGCTGCGGAGCGAGATCTTCGGGTCTTCTGGTTGTCTGCTGGGGGACAGAACTGCGACCGGGATTTGCGACCGGCTGCTGTTGGGTATTAGTTCTAACAGGATTCGGAAATGTCTGCTGGGGTACAGTTCCTCGACCAGGTGTCGAAATCGTTGGCAGCGAGCCATTATTCCCTCCATAACTGTCTTCATCATTCGTGACCCTTGGTGGACTGGGCCCTGATAGACCCTAGGGCCTTCCTCCTGTCCCCAATTCTGATTGGGACGTGATGGCACTGGTTGAGGATTGACTCCATAAACCGAAACGTAGGGTGTGCTCCAAGTGATTCGCAGAGTAATGCCTGTTCTTGGCTTGCCATCTAGAAATCAAGGGAGTTTAATACGAATAAATAAACATGAGATCATAAGCACTTACATTCTGAGCCACCGCAAAGCTCTAAGTCATTTAATCGCATACTTGTGATCTTGGGCGGCACAGTGGGAATCGGGAAATCCACGCGGTATCGTACGGGCAACCCCTGACGTAGATTATTCTGCGTAGTCTCATCATCATCAACCAGAGAAATAGTGCCTACATAGTCCTAAAAACAAAGGGGGAAATTAAATCACTTACACATTATATTTATTTAAATTTGGATTTTCTGTTATACGTATAAGATAAAAATATTGATTCACCAAAATTTAAAACCAATTTGTATTTAATTGATAGTATTATAAAATATCAATTCATAAAGACAAAAGCTTTTCCTTCCTGAGACTTGTTTACAAAGAATTATATTGAATTTGATTGCTTTTGAAAACACAATTGTCATTGCCGCTTGGGAAAAAGCACAACCGCAAACAAGCAATGTGATAAGAGCTCCAGATGCTGTTGAATAGAATAGAGAATTTCCCAACAAAAAGTGCTAGATCTCACCGTAAATTCGTGATATCCGCGCTGGGAGAACTGAAGGATCAGGGTATGGTTGCTGGATGCTGGATGCCGCACTTCCACAAGACCGATGAACTGCCCTTGGAAGAAATTGTACTTGAAACGCGGAAAGCAGTCGTTCTGAGGCAGCTGGCCAAGACCCGATTTAATCAGAGCCACCAGGAGAAAAGCGTTTACCAGCTGAAGCGAACCCATTGCAACTGCTTCGGTGGAGAGCGTTTTCAATCTATTTTATTGAGAATTTTCACTCACTAAAACGCCTTAGAAACTCACTCAATGAGCGACAGATTTGCCCGATCTAAGTCTCTTAATTCATAACGTCATTGGCTCTCCCCACATTGAAGGTTTTTAGAATATCTTAACTTTGTTTTGAGTTTTATTCTTGAGCGTAAATGGCATTTCCATTTGCTGGGAACAATTATGTTAAAATATGCCATTCTTTCAGCTTCTAGAATTTCATTTGGATTTCGCCTTGCTAGATTATTTGCATTTTAATTAATCTGCGACTGCATGAGTCTCATCTTCTTTGTTATTTCGTATTAAAACTACTATAGAATACAACAAAAAAGAATGACCCCATAAATTATATTTACATGTGCTTTCATTAAGCGTAGGTGAGCTATGGTTTCCCTTATATTTCGTTTAATAAAATAGTTTAGTAAAAAATAGCTATTTGAGCATTACGGTTGGAATAAAATGTTAAGAAAGATGAATTGCGTTTAAAATGCCATTTTATTTTGCTGCCCTTAGACTAATTGGTGCCGAAGATGTCCTGCTTATGTGCTGTCTGTACTTTTTGTTTGACAAATATAAATATCAGCCCCTACTTAGGGGTGGTTATACTCTCTCGATATTCCTCAATAATATCCTCCAGGTGCCTCTCCACTTCGACCCGCTCGTCGGCATAATCATCTAAAGTTATCTCTAGACAAAAATAACTTTCCTTTTGGGTGTCCTTTAACGTATCAGATTTAATCCACAGGTCATGGAGATCCTGTGGTGCATTCTGGAGTTCTTTCACAGCATTTCTCACGGCCTTGCGGCATTTTTTTGCCTTGATGGTGGGACACCTCTCAGTGGCATCGATTAACTCCGAGGTGGAACTCTGCAGGCTGCTGAGGGTCGTTTTCAAATCCAGATTAAATCTAATCTGATCCCAGAGAAACTCACCCACACAGTCGCGAAATTGGAGGCCGTAACGATTGTTAAGGTTTTCGGTTATGGAGACAGCTTCGGCGGTCCTCAGTCCATCCGTGGATTCCCCCACTTTCTGAACTTTCGCTGCAGCCCAAAACTTCCATTCGTGCTGGAGTTTAAATTTCCAAATTAATTCCGCCTGCTGCTTTTTGATTTTTCCAAGACTTTCTTCTAATGGTGTGACTGCCAAAGTCAGGCCAGTTAAAGCTGCAAGTGCTTCCTGCAGGGCTTGTCGTCTTTTTTTCTTTCGGGTATTGGGTAAATCCGCTAGTATTTCCCTCACTGCATTTTTCAGATTTTCTCTGTACTGGGCAATGGCCTTTTCATTTGCGTTTTGTAGGTTGTTTGTTGGATTTAAGACCAAAATTCCATTACCGTTTAATTGCCTCCGGTTCACTGGGCAGGGTTCCCTCGTTTCATGACCCATTCCCGATGGCACCGACAGGATCACTTCCGAGGACTTTGCATTCCCTGCTAAACAGGACCGACAGGAAGAGCAGCAAGATGGTCAGCTGCATCTTTCCGCCATCCTCATCAGAGGCTTCGAATCGCTCTGGGCTTATAAACATAACTCATTGGGTATTTAAACATGCAGCTCGCTTTGGCAAACATTTATTCAGCTGATGCCAATCAGTGAGCAGTCAACACGTGGTCATATATGATAGTATATTACGCCATATATCTATCAAAAGTTACACCGTAAAAAGTTAATTAATCATTAATTATTTCTGTGAAAAATTTGTATCTAGTATTATTTTTTAGTTAAAAAAAATTATAATAAGTTCTTTTTTAAATGATTATTATTCAAGACAACTTCCTGTAGTGGTAAAGAATGATTTCCAATTCATTGTCATCACAACGATGAAGTGAAGAATTAAACATTATAGTATAATGTTTATATATAGTATATAATAAGGTTATTCATTCTTTTTCTCTATTTCCTCAAGCGAAAAGCAATTATTGGTCATACAAGCTAAGGGGCTTGTTATTTTTTGGCAAACCAATGGTACATCAGTGCTACCAAAATAATTGAAAGATATGAGCCACAAACTCGTTTTGCCAAAAATCACCAGATAACAAAATACACACATAATTTGGCTTGGGGGTTTTTTAATCTAATTGTGTACAAAGCAAATCCAATGCTCAGCGGATATTATTGTTTATCCAGTTCATGTGCTTCGATAGATCGCAGTACAGTACATACTGATTCAGCTGACAGGTGCCATTTGTTCCTCGTTCACCAGTGGACACGATGCCCCGGAGAAGCCAGCGGTCACCCTGCTTGACCATCAGTCCTCCGCCGGAGTCCCCCAGACAGGGTCCAGATCCATCCCGGTTTCCGGCGCACAGACTTCGATCCGTGACCATCGAAGCCCTCCAATTGCTGGCACAGTTCGTGGCACTGGCGATCTCCGCCTCCACCACACGGGGATACTGGGTCCTAGAGAGTCCCTGCTCATCTTTGCCCCAACCGGCAATGAATCCGGATGTGGACACCGTCCTGCTGGCCTCCACAGTCCAAAGGCAAATGGGGCCAATAATGTCGTTGAACCTGCAAAAGCACATATGTATCTTTATAAATTGAACTCTCAATAAGTGTGTATAAGTAATAAATTAGCACCTTCTTACAAATTTATTTCTGTATCTTATTCTTTTCCCTTGATTTTACATTTAAGTGGCATTGAGTTTAAATCCTAATCTAAGCTTTTTTAATTTTTAGAGGTTTTTAAAATAAGGGTATATAAATCTATATCGATATCAAAGAAAAGTTTAAAGTTTTCGTTAAGTTTTTAGGGACCTGGTACCGAATTGAAGTTGAAATCAGTAGCATGCCAAAAAAAAGTATGAAAGTAAGATTGTTTTTTCTTCTTGCCATAACTGAGAAATACTCTTAGAGATGTAACAACAAATTTCAAAAAAATACATATTTATGTACATACGTGGCAGGGCGTTCTATGGTGATCAGGGCTATATCCGCATCCGAAAGAAGGCGGGTGTTGTACTCCGGATGCGTGAGCAGTCGCATCACATTGTGCATCTCCGCCCCATCCTCTCCATAGTTTTCCAGATCATAGCGGCCCAGTCCAATGACCACGCGGTCCTCCGCCATCCGGTAGACACAGTGGGCGGCACTGATCACGATGCTCGTGGTGATCAGAGATCCACCGCACTTGAAGGCCAGCGATCGCGACTCCTTGTGATAGATGGCCGATAGCCAGGGGTACATACCGCGTGGGAACTCCTTGCCCCGCACGATGTACGGAAATAGGCTGCCCTCTCTTCCGCAAGCCACGGAAGACGAGGGGGATCGCGGATTAAAGCGTTCAGGTGGCGGCGTTATCGGAGGTATGGTTCCTTTCGGTGGTAGTGGTGCTCGTCGTGTTGGTGGTGATTGTCTTGGTGGTGGAGGTGTTAGTGGTGGTGGTGTTGGTGGTGGTGGTGTTAGTGGTGGTGCTACTGCTGCAGTCTGAGAGGTGGTTGAGGGTGTCCCAGAAGTTTGCCAGAACACCTGCGGTGTGGGCGGTGGTGTGGCCAACTGGGGTCCCAATTCAAAGGAAGGTATTCTGGAAGACGTTTGCCAGGTCTGCGTAAAATCAGGCCAAACATCGTTACCTCGAGCAGCCGGAAAGAATACTAAATCATCTCTCGGGAAGGGATTAAATCCGGTAGAAGGCAACGGCGCCAGCGATCCACTGATCTGAAGCTCATAGAAGCGGTTGAAGAAGCTGTTGGGCGGTCTGTCTGAAATAGGGCTCGAACATGTTCAGAGAAAACAAGTTAATTAGAAAGGACTTATATTTTGGATATATTAACAATTCCTATACTTAGAATTGGAAACACGGTACTCACATTCGCTGGCCGAGCAAAGCAGTTGATTGTTGAAGGTGAGTCGCGTCAACTTGGGCCAACCACCGGTGGGATTCGGTCGGAGGCTGATCCGAAACGTGGAGGACCCCCTGCCGGTACGAACCGCATTCTCATCCGGATACGGAGTCACTGGGCCAACGGCGGAGGCCTGCGGATTGCGGAAGGGGACAAAGTGGTCAGGTTGGTTGTCATTCCAGCGCGAATATCGCTGGCCAGCTCATACATCTTCATCACCCCGCTGCGAGAAACGCAAATCGATGCGATTGCGACCCCGGGTGAAGGCGGGCAGCGTCACCTCGCCCTGGAGGCCCTCGAAGGGATCGTTGATATATCGGAAGTAGTCGGGACAGTAGTTCTCCGACAGAAGCTGGCCGCCGGCCAAGGCGATTAACGACACAAACACGGCCAATTCCAGACCCATACCTTTCAGGAATCTCGCACTGGGAATTACAGCTCGGCGATTCCGCACGCGACAAGCGACAAGCGACGGTGGGCAAATAAAACTGATTGCGTATCGGGTATCGTTTACGGATACCGCTCCCATCGAACTCGAATCTCGACGGGTTATTGAGTCACTGAGCCTCGGCACTGAGCAAACTGGAAATTCCGCATCGTGCAGAGCCTATACGACACGGCTGCTAGACAAACATTTATGAACGATTCAGTCGTCGCTTTGATACTCGATACTTGTTACTTAATTAAAATATTATATTTACTGTCACTTAAACTTAAAAAAAGGCAAGAGATTAGCAGCTTTTGATGCACTGAATTGTTAGGTGTTCAAAGACATTCTAGAACAAGTTCCTATGTGCTCGGCCTTCGGAATATTGTTTTAATGTTTAAGCTTCGTAAGTAGTTGTATTGAACATATTTGACTTTATATACAAAGATAAATCATTCAACTTTTTACCTTATTTAAATGGATGTCTTTGCCAATGCAGGGTATCAACAAGCCGGACTCAAAAGCTTATAAGGGATCTGATCATCAATGCTTTGAGTGAACTTCATCTCACGTTATAAACAAACTAATGTCATCACTCATCGTTTTTATTAGAATACAATGTTTTCTCGGATACGAGATGATCACCAACTCAATGAGATTATTTCTACACTTAAAGCGATTCACTGGAAGATGGATTAGTGTTCACTGCCAATCGGGAATTACAGCCAAAATTTCCACTTTTAAAATTTTATTAGGTCATTGTTCTATTGATTCCTATCAATAAAATAAAGCAAAGGCCGATGAGTTTTCCGCTATAATAAGTTTCTGGTTGCTGGCAGGTAACAACTGATTTGTAATGAAACCCCCTAATAAGACAAAAAATCGATAGACTTATTTGCTTTTTGTTATTTTCACCTCAAAACCTTCTAAGTTCTCTTCAATTTACTCTAGCTGATCTCTCATCGAATCAAATATAATTTGTAAAGCTCTGAGCAGAATCCGTCAAACGCTGATCAATCTTAAAAACACTTTGATTCAGTGAATGTATACATTTGGTTATACATCGGTATGTTTATCAAAAGGTGTAGTAGAGATTAGAACAGATAATTTTATATATGTTCATTTTTTTTTTATTTATGATTTAGCACCGAAATTATCTGTTTACACCACCATATTTTGCCGAACCCAGTCGATATGCTTGGCGACATCACAGTAAATGACGTACCCGCTGAGGTCGCAGGTAAATCCTTGGCGAGGTGATATGGAAACAATGCCCCGAACATAATATCGGTTATTTCGCAGGACAACCAGTGCAGACCCCGAGTCTCCGAAGCAGGGACCATGCGCCTGTGAATTTCCAGCACAAATGGTCCGTGAGGTGAGGAAATCCTCCGCTCGCTTCATCTCCTTGAGACACCGAATCAGTGGCACCAGTCGCACGTTGACTGTCATGGGAAAACGGGTCTTCTCGCCAGTCTGATCATATCCCCATCCGGCCACCATGCCCGTTTCGCCCTCATCGGGTGAAACCCTTAAGTCCTTGCTCCAAAGGCAGAGGGGCTTAATGTATTTGGTGTACACTATCGGCTCGTCCAGCACCAGAAGGCCCACGTCCTTATCCGGAACGATATCGCCCTCGAACTCGGAAGGAGTGAGCACTCTGTTCACACTGACCAATAAGGCTCCACTCTCCGGGTTCTCGTTGCGATCGTGCCTGCCCAGATAGACCCACAGTTGGCTGGGACTTTTGCCATGGATGCAGTGGGCCGCTGTGATGACAGTCCGCTTAGAGATCACCGAAGTAACGCACGTGTATTTCTCGAAAGAGCGGTCGTCGTAGAGGGCTGCCAGCCAGGGATACTGACCCCGGGTCACCAGCTCACCTCCAATCTGCAGGGGCCCAAAACCCTCCTCGCCGCACTGATCAAAGTCGGATTCAATCCGCGGTGCAGAGCGTCTTGAGAACGGATTGTCGTTAAGGGTTGTGGATGGTTTTGGAGGTGGCGGTGGCGGTGGCACTAAATGTTTACTTGGTGCAGTGCTTTGACTATTGGGCGCTGAGGTGGACATCAACAGAGTTCTGGTCAACGTTATGGAAGGGGCTTTGTCTGCAAAAGTAAAGAAATTTAATTAGAAATAGTCTTCACCGACATAACATTCTTAAAATTAAAAAAAAATATTAATATTGCTTTGCTCAAATAAAAAAAATGCACCTGGTTATATGATACCAATAGAAAGTGTGTTAATATGGTTTTCGAATTCGATTAATCGTTTTCAACGTTTAAGAATAATTACCAAACGATTTAAACACAACATACATTCATTGTCTTCACACAAGACCTCTCCATTAACTTCCGCGTAGGTAAGTTTGGGGAGCTCGTTTCCAAAATCCTGGAAGCGCACAAACACCGTGCCACGTTCTCCGTTGTGAATCTTTTCGAAGGCGAGAGCCTTAGAGGGATACGGCATCAGGGGGCTGACAGTGTCCTTTTGCGAATGGGAATGGAAAATAAAGGTCTTCATAAAGTAGAATCGATATGCTCTCACCTCATCATATCCGTGAGCCGAGAAGGATACCGTCCATGATAAACTACTAACTCCAGAGCGGGGAGCCGTGAAAACGCCAAAGTAGCCCCCAATATCCTCCTCAAAGTAGTCAAAATAACCTTCGCAATTGTGCTGCGGTACGAACAACGCCGAGGTGAAAGAGCTGAGATTTAGACAAAGGCCGAGAAAAGTCAGCCACAATATTGTCATTGCGACGGGAACTACCGATGGCGAATAGAGCCAAATTAGAACTGGGACTGCACTTCAGAACTGCCTTGAGTGGAACACCTCATCCATGCTAGGTTTCTCCCAGCCAGATCCCGTATGAGTCATTTTGGGGGCCGCTTCTTCAAACTTATTCTGGTTATTCGGGTTATTCGGCAGTCCAAATTTTATTCTTTAGTCAAGGTGATTATTGCGAATGTCTATAAAAAATTGCGTTTGGGAATGACGGCCAATCTAGGCCAAAATTATTAGCATAAAGTGATTGAAAGTCTTTGGGCTTAGAAAAAAGAGTCGAAACAACTTTGCTTATAATATACACTTAATGAATATTATTAAATAATTAAGTCTACAAATTACTCCAGAAATGAATGTTTGATTTAAGATTAGTGTAAAATAAAATACAAAATTTCGTAGTTTTTGTTAAAAATACGAAGTTGCTGGTCGCCCTTTGTATTGTTTGAAAGATAAATAATTTAATTTTATACCTTAAAAAATGGTTGTCTTGCCAAAGACATTATTCTGGTTATTCAATAAGGGGGACTCAGAAGCTTAAAAGCGATCTGATCATCTTTGCTTTGAGTGAAATTCACCACACATAATAAACAATAGAGATTCTGTATAAACAAACGTCTTTATTAGAATACAATGTTTTCTCAGATTATTTCTGAACTTAAATCGATTCACTGGAAGATGGATTAGCGTTCCCTGCCAATCGGGAATTACAACCCAAATTTCCACTCTTAACATTTTATTCAGTAGAGCACCGGCTCATTGTTCTATTGATTACTATCAATAAAACAAAGCAAAGGTCAATGAGTTTTCCGCTGTAATAAGTTTCTGGTTACTGACAAGTAGCAACTGATTTTAAATGAAACCCACCAATACGACATAAAATCGATAGACTTATTTGCTTCTTGCTAACACACTGTGCTCTCTCAATTTACTAAAGCTGATCTCCCATCGGATCAAAGCTCTGAGCACAGTCAGTCGAAAGCTGATTACTCTACAACCAACTGAGAATATTATATTGTTTTATATATATTTTATTTATTATTTAAGCACCGAAATGATGTGTTTACACCTCCATATTTTGCCGAACCCAGTCGATATGCTTGGCGACATCACAGTAAATGACGTACCCGCTAAGGTCGCAGATATTTCCCTGTCGAGGCGATATGGAAACAATGCCCCGAACGTAATATCGGTTATTTCGCAGGACAACCAATGCAGACCCCGAGTCTCCGAAGCAGGGACCATGTGCCTCTGAATTTCCAGCACAAATGGTCCGTGAGGTGAGGAAGTCCTCCGCTCGCTTCATCTCCTTGAGGCACTGAGCAAGGGGCACCAGTCGCACACTGACTGTCTTTGGAAAACGGGTCTTTTCCCCAGTCCGATCATATCCCCATCCGGCCACCGCTCCGCTCTCGCCTTCATTGGGGGACACCGTCATGTCCCTGCTCCAAAGACAGAGGGGCTGAATGTACTTGGTGTATACTATCGGCTGGTTCAGCACTAGAAGGCCCACGTCCTTGTCCGGAACTGGATTGCCCTCGTACGTGGAAGGAGTGAGCACTCTGGACACACTGACCAACAAGGCTCCGCTTTCCGGGTTCTCGTTTCGATCGTGCCTGCCCAGATAGACCCACAGTTGGCTGGCACTTTTGCCGTGGATGCAGTGGGCCGCCGTGATCACAGTCCGCTTGGAGATCACCGAGGTAACGCACGTATACTTGACGGTAGAGCCGCCCTCGTAGAGTGCCGCCAGCCAGGGATACTGACCCCGGGTGACCAGCTCACCTCCAATCTGCAGGGACGCAAAGCCCTCCACACCACACTGGTCGAAGTCGGCCTCTATCTGCGGTTTCGGGCGATTTAAAAACGGATTGTCGTTACGGGTTATGGACCCTATTTGAGAAAACTGAAACTGTTCCCTTGGCGCTGAGGTGGAAGGGGTTATGGTCGTTCTTTGAGAAAAGTGAGGCACCAACTGTTCCCTGGGTGCGGTGTTTTGACTAATGAGCGCTGAGGTGGACATCGACTGCTGTCTGGTCATCGTGCTGGAAGGGGCTTCGTCTGCAAAAGTAAATAAACATTATTAGATAATGTCTTCGCCGACACAAAATTCTTTGAATTAAAAAAAACATTAAATTTCTAAAAGCTCTAACCTAACCTTGTCTAATTATAATCTTCGAATTTGGTTAATTTTTTCGGAGCGAAGTTCAAAAATAAATTTGGGAGTAATCAAACTTTATAAAACACTAATTACATTCATCGTTCGTGCACAAGACCTGTCCATTAAATTCCGCGTGGGTAAGTTTGGGCAGCTCGTTTCCAAAATCCTGGAAACGCACAAACACCTGGCCACGTTCTCCATTGTGAATCTTTTCAAAGGCACGATCCTTAGAGGGATACGCCGATAGAGAGCTGACAGTGTTCTTCTGCAAATGGGAATGGAAAATAAAGAATTTCACTAAGTAAAATCAATATGGCCTCACCTGATTATTTCCGTGAGCCGTGAAGACCACCGTCCATGATAATCTATTGACTCCAGAGCGGGGAGCCGTGAAAACGCCAATGTAGCTACCACTATCCTCCTTAAAGTAGCCAAAATAGCTTTCGCAATTGTGCTGCGGTACGAACAAAGCCGAGCTGAAAGAGCTGAGATTTAGACAAAGGCCGAGAAAGGTCAGCCACGAGATTGTCATTGCGACGGGAACAACCGATGTCGAATGGAGCTAAACGAGAACTGGGACTGGGCTCCAATGCAATCCAATGCAATGAGCTAAACTCAATGCAACAACTGATCTCTCCCCAGATTGCGGAACACCCCATTGATGCTAGGTTTTTTCCCAGCCTGATCATTTTAGAGCCCAATTGTACTCATAATTATTCAAGTAAGCTGCTCTCCAGAGAAAAAACCCCAGGTATCGATTTGCAAGCCCACCTTGCTGAAGTCTTATTTACATAGTTAGGTCAGAAAAAGTTCTCTTTATTTTTCGCATCTCTCTTGCTATCTCTCTTTTTCTCTTACAGAGATAAGTAATATTTCATATAATACTGAATAAACCCAAACAACAAAAATAATCAGACATCATTGAATTATCTGAATAATCGTTCTTTCACCTATTTATGGTAGTATCTGATACGGGTATTTAAGAAAGACTTTTAAAAAAAATGATCAAGATTTTCATACAGAAATTCATTTGATTCTCTTCTTACTAAAAAGTTTTTTTATCGACACGGAAATAATTGTTATTTTTAGAAAGACTATTAAAAACTGATCAAGATTTTCATACAAAAATGCATTTGATTCTCGTCTTACTAGCAACTTTGTTTATCAACACGGAAATTATGAGCCGATAAGAAAAGCTTTGCTCTTTATTATTTCATTTTTCCGATTTTGTGATCTGTGGCAGCCTCATTTATGAATCGGGTTTCAGCAAGAATCACATTATGCATTTGCGAAGAAAAGTTTTTTTTATAGATTTCTTATCAGTCGAGGCATGGGTAACTTTTAATAATATAAGGCAAGGTGGTTTATGTGAATGTCTATTGAAAATGGTGTTTGTGGGGGTCCGTAAGTAGCGACAACACATTTGGCCAAAAACTTTTCTCAACAAAACAAAAAGATGTAACGAGGACAGGGGAAAATGCTTCTAACTTCGCGACACCCGCAACTCAATTTTTGTTGCATTGTGGCCGCTGGCCTCCCAAATTTCCCCAACTGCCTGCCGGCAACTTTTATAATCAGTTCCAAGTTTGTTAAGCTTTGTAATAATTTGTTTGAGATTTGGCGCGAAATTTTTGCTGCTTTTCCGATTTTTTTTTTTTCCCCAAGCAAATTTGTTGTGAATTGTGCCGGGGGCTCAAGTTTGCCAACTTAGCGGAGGCACTTTGACACCACATCGGAAGACGGTGGTGCAGGTTTCCGGTTGCGTCAATAATCGGGTGGCACTTCCACTTGGAAGGTAGCAGTGCGTCTGACTGCACTTCAAGGCAGCGCCAATTGAGCGGCCTAATTGGAGCGGTCCCTTCTTCAAAGGGCCGCCAAGCCTTCAAAATGAAGTCGAATCAAATTAGCCTTCATGAACGGGGGCTCGTGAATGATGGCCAATCTAGGCCAAAATTACTAACATAATGTTGAATCTGAAAAAATATTCGATTGTTCTTCAATCTTTGCAGTTTCTTTAAAGCGATTAAAAACCTTTGGGTTTGAATAAGTGAGTTGAAAGAGCTTTGTTTGTAATATTCAATATCTGAAAATTAGTTCACTAGTTTACAAAATTGAATCGACAAATTACTCCAGAAAGGAAATTAACATTATTTTCCTGGGTCTTTACAAAAAGAAAAGAATTTTGTAAGGATTTTTGATATAATTAGCCATTTTTTAGAGTTTTTTATTTTAAGTTACCAGGGTTTGGATCAAAAAACGGAAACTCAAATTGATTGTAAAGTTATTATTTTCGCCAGAAGTTTTATTTTTACTACACATAAATATTTTTTATTGCAATTAATTATTAACATTATATACAGTGTCTGTATCAACAAATCAATTTTTTTTTGCATTTAGAATTTTTGATACGTTAAATCAAACATGAATAGTTGGAGGATATCTTTTTAGGATCTACGGAGTATTTTGAAGTTATCGCATGTACAGATACCGCGAAGTCGACTGAAGACGAATACCAGTGGCTCGCCGCAGGATTTCAGAAGCTGTATTTTCTGGGCGTACATGTATCCGGTGCGCAGGGAGCAGGCCAACTCGTCGTTCCAGGAGTTCTCCGCCGACTCCTCCACATGGAGCGTGTGAAAGACATTCAGCAGCTGCAAAGATCGCCCTGCTCGAGGTGTTCGCACCAGAGCTAGCAACTGGATATAAGGGCGGAACTTGATCCAGCGCCGGCAGTCCTCGATGCCCACCTCGCCACCCAGATCGATAATCATTAGCTTACAGTCGTGGTCATGGATCCCCTGCAGAATGGCCAGCTCCATGGGTGCCTTGAAGCACTTCTGCAGCTCCTCGGTAAGTGTGAAGCCCAATTCGTGGCTGGGCGTCTGCATGGTCCAGGGATATCGGCGATTGGCGAAGTCGTAGGCCAGTTTCTGCCGGCGCTCCTGCTCCCCTCTCAGGTGCTCCACCTCCTTATCGACGGGGCGTATTTCCCGGGATCCGTGACACAGGAAGTCGGCCTGGGCGGGTCCCTTCCGCTCCTCCACCTCCTTGTTCAGGGCCTTTTCCGCTTCCTCCTCTTCGACTTTCCTCCTGCCGAGCACCCTCGCAACAGCGCAGCTCATACGGCGGCATATAGAAGGGATAGCCCACCTGAGCCAAATAGGTGTGCCACTTTAGGCGATCAAAGGGCTTGCTGGGCACAAAGAAATCAGCCGCCTGGCTCTCGATGCGACAGGGATTCTCGTCCAGGATCAATGGCCAAAGCGCATCGAAGAAGGGGTCTGCCATCGTCTGCCTATCCTCTGAGATGTGTTCCTTGAGAGATCCCGATGCTCACTCATTTTGGGTACTTGGAATTTCTATTCTTTTAATTTGGCCAGCCTAGCGAGTGTGTGAATTGCCTTTGCCTCGCTATTAAATGCTCAGTAAAGTGACAAAAATCTACCAGTCTACACTTTGGGAAATCTGCTTACACCATTTGGTCTTATTTATTTATGAGACCAATGGTAAAAATTACTTTATTATAAAAAAAATAAAAAATTGTAAGAGATTTTTTCCACTAACCATTTATACTTTGAATTTGATTTGTCATATAAAAGTACCATTTATTTTTGGCTTCATTTTCAATATAAATTATAAAGTAAATTAAAACATATATTTTAAATTAGGTAACCTTTAAATGCAAATCAGCCTAACCTAAAGTTTATGGCATTTGGAACAGTGTAAGTGCCACCATTCCATGTTGTTATCGGCAAATAAATCAGCCATCACCACGCCCTCTTATAACAAAGTCCTCCCCTTTTTTCTATACGTAAACTTGTTTGTTTGTACTTGTACCTCAATTTATGCGCACTCACAGGCCATGACGGTGAGCAAGTATTCTCATTGGGAATCGGGAAATCGGGAATCAGCAACAACAATTTGCGTAAATTTTATGACATTCCACGCCGTATATTCCTACGGTAGCCGGCGATCGCCATCATTTTATGGGCTGAAACAGCGAGGTGAAATTCGATTTTATGAGGGAATGCAGGCGAAACACGATGGCCACGATTTTCATTATGCTCCAGCTCGTATATTAGTTTTGGGGGGCGTGGCAAATCCGAGGGGCGATGGCTGTGACAACGGCGACGAGTTTTCGGGCTCATTAGCTTTTATAGCTTTGATTTTATTGCCGTCAGCGTGGCAGCTTTAATTTCGAAGGGAATATGTTGCCTATCGCAAGACGCTTCGGTGTTTTTTGGTTTTCCGCATGTAAGCAATAAATTTTCATAAATCAATTGTGCGTGCCACTCTCAACACAATCATCAGACTAACAAATACGAGCCACCCAAAGAAATCAAACCCGCAAAAGGTTTGAATTTAGATTTATGTCGGTGCACCTAAAACTGAGTGACGAATGTTTATTTTACGCATCGATGTTTAGCAACTTATTGCAAATTTGATTTAGCCCCTCTGCTGCTTTTCGTTTCCCGTGTGAAAATTTTATTTGAACCCTGGATTTTAATTTCAGCTGGAAGATTTATGGCATCTGGTTTGCCAGCTGCTCTCCAAGTGAAAATTTAATCTGCTTTTGCCGGAAAATAATAACTTTAAATGACCCAAAGCACAGTTGCTTTCCATTTTTTTGTTTCGTCTATTTAAACGTTCCAACTTTTTCCTTCTTTCGGGCCACAAAACAAGTTCTTACATATATATGCGCGATGTATATAAAAATTTATGTGTATATTTATTGTATTTTATTGGGGCACTTAAGCGACAGACTGTAAGAGAATACCGCGAGAGCAAAAACCCAAAGAAAAAGCAGGGAAAGCTGTATAAAAATAAGTCAAGGAAAAAAGCCATGGCAAAGAAAAACTGAAACAAGTAAGGACAACTGAGACGCTTATTGACATAAAAGCCAATCATTTTCAAATGGCTTTAAGCATTCGACAAATGGAGAAACAGCCCCGCAACATCAAACGGAAAAAAATAAACAAAACTCGAGCGTAAAAGTAGAGTCGTATATTTTTTTGGTTATGCATTTGACTTGGCACACCGCAGCACAAAAAAGCCACACCAACTTCCAGTGGATGCACTTTGAACCCGTTTGCGGTTCGAGGTTTTCTACATAAATAATCAGTTTTCGGAGTTGTGCAAGGCAAAATAACCCCACGGAAAGCGGTGAAACTCAAGGAGAATGCTTGAATACTAGGAACATTTTAAGGACTATTTGAAGTTTTAAGCGCCAGACTATTGAATATCAATCAAATTATCGCTGAAGCAAAATAAATTTGATTGATGAAGCGCTGTTCAGCCATCAATCATCGAAAGATTTTGGTGCAATGTTCTCTTCTCTACTCAATGCATGTTAATAAATCTCTGCTGAAAAATAAGATTAAGCTTACTGAAACGTGTTAGAAAACTATGGTTTTTTAATAAATATGTACAGCAACAGACAGAAAAGACCTGACATTGTACCATTTGCAGTCAAATGAGCGAAAGGGATTTTTATATTTTTTTCAGTTAAAAAAATTAGCTGACAACATATGAAGTAATTTTTTTTTTTTTGAAATTCCTGCATTATTAATTATTTTTGAGGAGTATAACACTACCTGAAGGCATTGATAAATAGGTTCAGCAGTGCGCCAACTTAAATATTCAATCCTTGTTGTTATAAGGCCAGAAATGAACACCGAATTGAGAAAAAGGCGTGGGCAGCAAAGGCCAAAGTTGGACACGTATGAAAAGGTCCCTTTGAAAATATTCCTAAGGCCGCCTACATTCATAATATGTGAGTTGAGTGGAAGTCGGACGACAGCTTCTTTATCTTAGTTCAAGGCCGGGAATTCATAAGGAAAATAAAACCAACGAACAAAGCGTTGGCTCAAAACACCGCAAAAGATTCCCGAGGTCTGGAGACCTGGACTGGCTTACAAATGAATCTGCCACCTTGCCTTAAATAACAAAGCGAGAGTGGCACGCACCCGTACACGGAGAGAAAAAGTAAAAACATTACTTATTTGCTTACATTTTTTTAGAAATAATTAATACTACTAAACGAAGTGTTTTTATTTGCTATTTTTTATTTTTTCTACAAATCAATATTTATCAAAAAATTGATTTTACAGAGTAATTTATAAATATAAAGGGTTATAAAAAGAAAGAACTATTTCATATATCTTAAAAATAAATAACAGCTTGGAATGTTTTTGTAGTTCTTATTTCAGGCAAACGTCTTAATGTTTAAAACATTATTTATTGTGAAATCAATACTACAAGGAAATATAAACGCCCGAGATCGACGATATTATTTTGGCAGTGCAACAAAATCCATAGATGGTGGCAGTGATGAATTTCTGGCTGGCCCGGCATTAATTCCATTTAATTATTATGACACTAGAGGGCAGCACAAACGGGCCGCAATAATAATCGAGGCCGACAAAGAGATTACACCAGCACCTTGTGAGTGCTGAGTGCCGCGTCCCCGGATCGCCTCGAGTCCCCAGCTGCTCTAATCTGTTCTAATGGTTAGTGGTGGGCCAAGCGATTTGCGAATCAGCAGAGGGAACATTTGTCATACGCCATGTGGGGGCGTCGGCGTACGCGGCGAATGCGCAACGTGCTGGGGCAAAACTTTGCCGCAACTTGGGCCAAGTTTTCCCAGCTCTGCTCGAGCGGGAAAAGCGTCGAGCAGGACTAGGACAACATCGTTTTCACGCTTGCTCTGCCAAGTGAAACCAATTTGCGCATTCTGTCTGCATCGCCTCGTCTTGTTCTTGGCTGCAGGCAGTCATGGAGTGGCAGCCGCTTGGCCTATTCCAATTTCCCTCGCCCTGCACTTGACATTCAATTTTCCCTTAAAGCCACAGCCGTCTAATGACTGCAATGGTGGATTTTGCCCAACTACTGATTACGGTTTGCTTTGTGCCCAGTTCTGACTTTCAGTTGGCAGGAGGAGTTGAGTTGGAAAATGGGCCTAATGTGTCTTATATGTCTGCGTCAGACTGCCCATATTGGTACACCACTCGGGTTCTTCGATGTTGAAGTGGATTACAAAGCACAAGAAAACCTAGGTGTTATTTCAGGGCTACCCGGTGCACAAGACTGATATCTATATATACAGCACCCTAATTTGTATTGCTATTTATTTTATTTTGTATTTCTAAAGCAAAATATATATTATCAACAAAAAAATGCCAAATTTATCATCAATACTTGTTACTCTGCACGCAAATGTGGAAAGTGCTTGTTCATTGCTCGACTTCAGCATTCTCTCTTTTCTTTATGTATAAACCAAAAAAACATATATTTTATTAAATATTTGATTTGATAACGATGTTCATGTTCAATATTATTGAGAGCTTTCAAAGCACTCTGAAAACATGATAAACGGATTCCAGACTGTTTGCCCTAATAAAACTCCTCCCTGTTGCCTGGGGAATTACGGATTTCATAGTTAAATAGAAATTCTCGCCTGGTCATAATTTAAAAACAAATTCCAGCTGCCTGCATTGTTTTGCGGTCGTCCATTGTCCCTCTCTTTCTGAACCCCTTCATCCGTCTCTTTCTCCGCCAGCGTGTGTGTGGGAGTGTGTGGTCGTAAATCAATATTTAAACTGTGTATGCTCGTTTAGTCTTTGCTCTGGATGCTCTGGAGGCTTCTAGCCAGCGTTTAAAAATAAAAAAGCAAACCCAAACTCATTCAACTCGTTCAACGACTCAATAAATGTTGCAAATGCGCTGTTCTCTCCGTATTTATTTATACGACACAGAAACGAGAAATGGGGAGTTATTTGGAGCAGTAAGAGTGAGCAGCATCCCAGGAGCTTCACTTCGCTGGAGTGTCCAACGATTTTCGTTTCATCTGCTTTGGAAACATAAAAACATTTCAAAACACTATTTATCTTTATTTCCCTCTCGCTTTGCCTGTCGTTACTCACTTTCTATGTCGCTTTTCCAGTTCGGACGACAGTGATATTTGTTATTTGCTAAACGAAATGATATATACTGGCGTGTTCATGGTTCTGGCCAAAGTTGTCATTAGTCATGCTTTGCTGCACATACAAACACGCACCCATGAGCTGGCCAACGTTGCGTATGCTCGATGCGCGAGTCCACATTCGCATGCCCATTTACAACTGAACTTATCGATTATGAAATAACTTCCACGGACCAAAACTTTATTCATAATATTGCCCTAACCCTGCACCTTCAATTTGCCCCCTGATGTTTCGTTTTGGTTTGCACAAAACTTAACGCACAATTTATGCAAAGTCTATTAAAATGCAAACGTTACAGTTAATTATGGCGAATTTCAGTTTCAAAAGTCCTTAAGCGAAATTAGCAAGCAACTTTTCAAATATCGACAGCAACAATAACAACAAAGTTTGTATTTTCCGCTCACCCTTTTCCCGCCACCCACTGTGCGGCAAGCAAACGGCGTTAAACGTTTTATTACCACCAGAACAGCGCGGAAAACTCTCGGCCACTTTGCTGGAAAACCCTCGCTGCGGTTGCCTTCAGCACAAAATGCACTTGACGTGCCGCGGAACAGTTTCTTGATGTTTTCCTATTTTTAACAATTTTATGAACAGTTACACTGCTTTTAGAGAATATTTTTATTATTTATATTTATTTATTTGCCAAAGTCCTTTCAAATTCAATCAAACCGATTTACTGCCTATAAATACAAAATATTTAAAATTATGTTCTTTTAGACATTTTTATATACAATATTTTGTTATAATTTTTTTAGAGTTCCCTAAGTTAAGTAAGTAAGTGAAATTAGTTTTTTTAATATCCCCCCGCCGTCGCTAATACTCCTGAACTTCATGTACATTACTAGGGAAATTGTGCACTCCAATTTTAGAACGTCATTTCGCCTGACTTGTGTAATTTTGCTAATTGAAGTACCTTTAGTACTATCCATCGATACATATTTCGATTCCCTGGATAATCCCAAGAGGCTGCTTCACTGTGCGGCTCTTCAGAGGCTTTTGGGCCCATCAATGTCGAATCGCAATTGACACAAACAGGAATACGCCGCCCTCTTGCTCATATTTACGCACCTAATCAATATGGCCGAAGGGCGGAAACAGAACGGGCCAACTGTTTGCCCTTCATTGTTTGCCCGGCTTACTCGCGAAATGCCTCGAAGCCAATTGCTGGCATAAATAATTAGGCAACTTAATTAGGCCTGCTTTAATGTCGTAGCTGATTTTCTGCTCTCAATGAACGAAAGGTTTTGTTTCACTTTAAGACTGAATAAAGCTGTGATAAAGCCAGGCAAACCACAAAACCAAAACCATTAAAGAACAAAAATAAAAACAGAAGGAACAAGAAAGGAAAGCTAACTTCGGGCGGAGCCGAAGTTGATATACCCTTGCAGAATATTCTATAAATTATATTCTTCAAAATTATTCATATGATGCATTCTTAATACTTATAAAAAGTCCCAACTTCCTAACTTTAAAAACAACAAAGTTATGTCATTTTCAATCGTTCAGATATATGGCAGCTATAAGATATAGTCGGCCGATCCTTATGAAATTTGGTAGGTCGGATTGATTAACCAAATATAAAATCCATAGAAGATCCCAGCCTCCTAACTTTACAAACACCAATGTTATGGCATTTCCGATCAATCAGTTATATGGCAGCTATAGGATATAGTCGTCCGATCCTTATGAAATTTGGTAGGTCGGATTTATTAGCCAAAAATAAAACCCATAGAAAATCCCAACTTCCTAACTTTAAAAACACCAAAGATATGGCATTTCCGATCGTTCAGTTATATGGCAGCTATATGATATAGTGGCCCGATCCGGCTCGTTCCGACTTATATACTACCTGCAATAGAAAGACAACTTTTGGGAAAGTTTCAAGCAGATAGCTTTAAAACTGAGGGACTAGTTTGCGTAGAAACGGACGGACAGACGGACAGACGGACGGACAGACGGACATGGCTAGATCGACTTTCCTGGTGATGCTGATCAGGAATATATATACTTTATAGGGTCGGAAATGTCTCCTTCACTGCGTTGCAAACTTTTGACTGAAATTATAATACCCTCTGCAAGGGTATAAAAATCCAAGAAATATAGGCAGAATGCAGACTCGGCACTCAAAGCAAATGCAAATAAATCGGATTTCCACAACAACAGCAGGAAAGTGTGGAAGTCCTAGGAGCGAAAGCAGCTTCTAAAAAGCAAAATAAAAACAAACAAAAGCTAAAAACTAACCAGAGGAGAAGGCTGAACCGAAACCGTGACCAAATCGAGAGCCACCACCAAGAGCAGGAACCACAATCAAAACTGGCCCACGGGCAGAGGTTTGATTTGCTTGCCTAATGCGGCATGGAAAAAGTACATCCTGAGAAAACATACATATTCTTATTTGATTGAAGGTTTATACGTAACTATTATTATATTTTTCCGACTTGTTCTGTTATCATCATAATAAAAAACGATTGTTTTCCTTTGTTTATAAAGTGCTAATTTCATATTTGCATTTTTCTAACCCTCCTGCATTGAGAGCAATATCTTTTATCTTAAATTTGAAAAGGTGTTGTTTAACAATTATTCATTAGCCTACCTTATCTATTGAAACAAGCACTGGAAATTATTTTTCTTAATTGAAAAAGACTCGGAATTAAATCGGATTAAAACAGCAGAATTCTAACATGACGATTAAAATGTAGCATTTTAATAATGTCTATTTTCTGCTCTAATCGAATGCTAATTTTGCAACCACAGATTAAAAACGATATGCAATTTTTTTTGGCAAACAATTTTTTTATGACGTATATAAAGGCTTGCCTTAATACTGGAATATAAAAAATTGAATAGGTCTTTTCTGCCAGTGCACCCATTTATGCCCTGCAAGTCGGGGGAAACTTCAACTATGGGTCGCCCTTCTCCTGACCCTGGGGTTCCCTTAACAGATTGAAACAATAAACTCAAATTGCCCCACCGGACGAATAGGACGAGGACGAGGATGAGGATGAGGACGAGTGGAAGGATAAGCCGAGGGGTTCGGGTTGAGTTATCTGCTGTAAGTTGAGCCGATAACTTTATGCGCACAATTCCATTTGATTGATGAGATTTATGCTCGCAACGCCCACCGCTCACGTATTTTGATTTTATTTTTATATAGTCGTCTTATTTTATCTGTCCTTTGTTACTGTTGTTCCCAGCGAAATGTCTGGCTGTTGCTTCTTTTATTTTATTTCCTGCCCGGACGGCACTGAAAGGAAATCAAAGGCAAACAAAAAAACGAACAATATATAAAACATTTAAAGCGGCTCAGCAGGAGCAACATGTTGGCAGACGTACAAAATTCCTTTATTCCAACAGGCTCTTTTGACCCACTTCAGATACTTTTGGGCCCCATCATATGGCAAATAAGCCAAGTGGATTTATTGTCACAAAAATGTAATCCTTATCTTCGTTTGTTTCATTTTTAATTGGCTTCTACGGCAGAAACACTGAGTTGCTTTCATCAGTGGCAGTTGTATGGAAAGGTCGGTAGCCTTGATAATGATTTCACTGATTAAGTGCATTGCTCTTCATCCTGGAATCACAGACTTCTTAAAATATACAGTGGCAAAAAAAATACAGATTTGAAAGGCTTACAGAAATTTATTAAATATGTAATTAACCGTAACTAATTTTGCATACCTTAAGAAAAGGATAAAACTTCTTAAGTTCTTGTTTTCCTATACCAATAACCATGAATTTGAAACTACAGGTATTTGAGGTATTCGTTATGGATGTCCTCCCGATTCCGGACCTTTCGAGTGCTCCATTCATTCCGTTCCTTTGGCTCCTTGAGTGCTTTCTGAGTAAGCTGCTGCATCCGCTGCCGCTGTCATCGCCATCGTTATCATCATCCAGCTCCAGATTCATTTCCAGCATTCCGAGATGCACTCGCATAAAGACTCGACACGGAAATTGCAAGTATCGTTGATTCATTTGATCGCTTTGCAAGGCAAATGGGCGAACACGAACTCCGAGTTCTCTGGCGCCGGACTCACGGTCATTAATATGCATGTTTATTGGGTGCAGGAGCTGCAAAGGAGGAGCCAAGGAGCCAGGCCCAAGGCTCCTTTTGCTATCCCACCGTGCAACTTACAAGGGGCTTACTCTTTCAAGGATGCCCTCCATCATTCGCAATCCTCTTTCTCCTCCAGTTGAGGACCCCGATTATTGGGCACAGGCAACATTAGCAACGCGCTGGAAGGAGTGAAAAAGTTCCACAGCGACGCCATTTAACTTGCTGTCAAATATTCGCATGCAACGTCAGGTAAATACTCAAAAAAAGACCCCGGTGTGTTCCCATTTTAGGCAAATTACTTTTTGGTTCAAATTTATTCACTCAGAAAAATGGCTTCATTAGGCTTAAGCAAAGCAAATTAAATTTCACGGTATTGTAGATTTCTGGATTGATCTAGTATGTATTGCACAGTAATTTTGGTCGAGGGAATTCCGTCTTTGAAAGAGAAAAGAATCAGATGGAAAGTGATCAAATATAAGTTAAATCTCCTATAATATCAATTCTTTACTCACAGCCGGTACTATTGCACAGCGTGTTTCGGTTCAGACTCAAATGGGTCAGCTTGGGCAGCTCGTTGTTGGTACTCAGAAAATATACATAAACCTTATTCTGCCTTCCACTTAAAACTTCACGAACAGAAATATCTTTGTTGGGATACGGCAGCAGTGGGCTTACAAAGACCTTGAAAATGCAAAGAAAGTGTTAAATTAAAGTAAATCAATTTACTTATAATAACCGCTCACCTCGCGATGTCCATGGACCACAAATGTCGCAATCCACTCAAACCTTAAATAAAGTGATATAGGTGCTGTGAAAATACCTAAAAAACTTTTACCATTGTCTTCCGACACATATTCAAAGTATTGTTTTGCAATTGTTTTGTGGTATATGTTGGGTCTGAGCTAAATTAAAAAAAACCCACAATAAACACAGCCGAATTATATACATTTTAAGAACCACTGCTGACTAACTCTGGACGAACACTGATAGCTAAGAACAATTCTAGGTTATCAGTTTTCTTTGGTTCTATAGAGCAGATTCTCTAAGACAGTAAAATAAAAATAATGAATAATTAATAAAATAAAAAAAAATACTTTTCTTCTGCGATAGATTTAATCAGTTAATGGGGTCATGGCATTTGGCTTGTCAGGCCTGAAAAAAGTAACAGATTAGCATTTTATACGAAAAGTGGATTTGTTAAATATAAATTTTGAAAAATTTGTCTTTTTTTCTAGAAATTGTAATGAAACAACAAAAGTAACGTAAGCCAAATGACACATTAAATTCATTTTATTTATAAATTAATATTTATAAATAAATTTTTTTTGAACACAGCGTTGACAGAAAAAATTAAACTCTTTCGATGTCCATCTTGTAATTTGGTGTGCTTTCTTGACTACTGTCTCCTCTTTTTAAGTTAATGGACATATGATGCTCGGCAGAAGCTCGGGTCCTGGGTAATGGATCTGTGCAAAGGGAAAATAGCGATTACTGTGGATCCTTGCGGAATCCCAATTTGGTACTCACATCCTATATTAGAGCACAGCTCGTTTCCGTTGAGGATCAAAGAGTACAGTTTGGGCAGCTCAGTGGTGATATTCACAAAACGCACATAAGCCTGAACCGGCTCTCCTTTCAGAAAACTAATGCCTGCCTCTTCACGGTTGGGATACGGTTGCAATGCGCTTAAAAACATCTTGAAAATATACTTAATGTGAGAATTTGCATTGCTTGACTTATTAAGTGCATACCCCGTGATATTCTTGGACTTCAAAAGTCGCCTTCCAGTAGAAATTCAAAGTGGGAACTAAAGGTGCCGTGCAAATGCCTATAAAGGAGTTTCCGTTATCTACCGTGGAGTATCTGAAGTATTTATCGCAATTGTGCGGAGGTATATGTAGAGCCAGAGCAAAGCTCAAACAAAAACACAAAAAAGTCAGACAAATTATAGACATGTTGAGAACCTCTGCTGATAAAGCCCGAACAGTAACTGGGAGCTGTGAACAATTTGGTTCCATCTATATATTTAAAACCATTATACTCTTAAACATCTTATCACGAAGCTCTAAAGAGCAATCTAGAACAACCAATATTAATCTCTAATGAAACTTAAATTTAGTATGTGTAGGGACCTATAAAAAAAATTTCAAATTTATTGAAAAACTATATCCAAAGGAGAAGAATAAGTATCACATTTTTAGGCAAGCAAAGTGGATTTTAACTTAATACTCAATTTAAATCTGTGTGCTATGCAAAAACAAAAGTCCTACGGATATAATAAATAAAAGTTTCGAAATCCAAAATGAGAACCGGGCCGATAGACTTGAATAGTACCGAGTCAACCAGGCACAAGTATTTTTCGAAGGTGAATTTAATTTTCCTGCTCTCATTTGCTGTCTGTCGTCGCCTTTGTCTTCGTTGAAATTACATTTTTCATTTTTCCCCTGCCCTTTGTGTGGGCCGCTGTTGTTCACAAATCCTGCATTGTCATGCAAAAGTGCAGCAAATTAATTTGTCTTACTTATCAACGGCGCTCCAATGCTTGAAGGAAAATTTTCTCCGAAAAGTTTTTCAAGATTTTGCTGGAAAACTTTAAAAACCAGCTTGCGGCTCTGGTCATTTGAGTGGCCTCTTTCCAGGTCATAAAACAACCCAAACGAGGACGCTCGAGTCCCGGCAAGGATAACGATCCTTGGCCATTGACTGGGATGCAAAATCCACTCGAAGCGCATTCGTCTGTTGACATCCCCAATATAAGTTATCAACATGAGACCCAAACACTTACGCCCAACGACCGACAACACTAAGCTACTTTTAATGTTTAGACACAAACACAAGGACGAGACACAAACACGAACTGGGGGTTTTCGGCATGAAGTTAATAAAAGTTCTACGACATTTTGACCTGGAAAATATTGCAAAAATAAAATGGCTGCCGGGCTGTTGCTTCAGTAGCATTTTCCTTCGCTTTCGCCTGCTCGCCGCAGGTTTTCCAGCTGTGGTTTTCCAGCTGTGCCGACAGCCGCCTGAAAGTATGCTTTAAATAGTGGCATAGTAAAATATTTACTTTGGCGCAAAAAGGTTGCAGAAAACGGGTGGGTTGGGTGGTTATGGGAAAATAAACTTTGCTGCCCGGCAAAATGAAAAGCGAAGGCCGGTAGGGCCAGCAAAAAAATTCATTAAAAGGGATAACGACTCGCATAGTTGCCATGGCAATGGGCTTGGGTGTCCAAGGATTAAGGATTTGGGCGGAATTTTTCAGTGCAATTTAATTACACACCATGTGAGCCAGCCTAAATCTATGCCAGACTGCTGTCGCATCCACTTAACAAACTCTGTTGCCATTTAAATATTGCCCGCATAAATCTGCTCTAATTAAATGCCCAATACGCTCGATTCAATTTCCACAGTTAATTGATTTAATTGAAGAATTACAACAACTGTTTAGCCTTGGAAACGAATCATTAAACACTTTTGAGCTGGCTTAATGAATTAGTCAAGCGCCATTTGGCATCGGTATTGCATTTATCTGATGTCACCCAATGTGAAATTAGCATATTTCAAAGTTAAAAGGCTCTCGATAGATGCACAATCGGAGAATTTAAATATTATTTAAATTATTAACAATTTCAGTTTATTGAATAATTTTTTTTCAAAAAGACTTTATTGGTTGCTTTAGATGGGTTTTATAATTTATATTTCAAAAGATTTTGACATGCAGGTATGTTAAATATACAACCAATAATTATCTTATAGAGAAATCATTTGCCAAAAGCAAATCAGCTTCGTTTTCTGTGGAACAATGCTAAAGCCTCAACAAGTGGCTACTTGAAGCGCGGGCTAATTCATTTACAATATTGCGCATACGCCACTTGGCTGGCAGGCAAATTAAATTATGCATTGCTAGAGTGGAGAGTTGTGGCCGACAGACGGCGGCAATCTCGACAAGGCAAAGCAACTTTATAATTAATCAAAGTGCAATCAGGGGCAGCATCCGCAGGAACAACAAGCACTTTGGGTTTTGCGTTCGAGTTTAAGCAGCGTTTAAAGTGAATCATTAACCCTATTACCTGACTTCTCCACCACAGTCTGCGTAATTTCATTTTAAATGCAAACTTAACAACTTTTTGCAAGTCAAGCATGTTAATGCTCTTGTTTATAATGCCCTGCTCTGTTTTCTTCTCTTTGGTCGTAGCTGTCTCATTAACGTCAACTTAATTTGCTTGCACTATAATATTAATTTTGCCCGGTTGAATATTAAATTATGAAAAGCGATCGATAGGGATGCGCCTTCAAAGAGGAAGGTTGAAGAAACAACGTTCTAAGTTGTTTAATAATGTGACAAGCAAGTTAAAATTTAATTTTAAATCGGTTATCCAACTTTTTCATGTCAAAACAAAACCATTTATTGTGATAACCCATTAAACATGTATTTAAAATCAGCTACGTTTTTAGTTGTATAAATAATAGATGGCCTTATTCAACAGATACTTCATGTATCTTTTCTTGGATTTTTTCGATTTCTTAAGGTATGGTAAAAGAAATATCTATCATTAAAGTCCAAATCGTTCCCTTACCAGATACGGCGAATAATGCAGCAAACCATTTCACTAATTTTGCACTCCCCCTGTTTTATGGTTATCTATCTCATGTGTTAGCTTTTCAGGCCAGCAGTTAAGTGTCTGCATCAACATGTGCATCCGCATCCGCATCAGCGCCAGCAGCTGTATCCACTTTCGAATCGGCATCTCCCCAACTTCAGACTGCACGGTAAATTGCAAGTTAACTGGGCCCAAAAGCCCGCACATTTTGGCTGCCTAATTGCCCACCTGGGCAGCTGATACTGGAGTAGAGGCTGCAGCGATGGTCCACTCGAAAATGAAGTTAAATTGTTGTTCACCTCCAGCTGATAGCGGCGGTAATGTCTGCCATTCACGTGCAATTAGCAGAAACTAGTGATGCAAAAGGTACTGAATTTTTATGGTTCAAAGGCAGAATTTTGTATTTAAAATATATAGGGAAAGAATATACTCAGGATAAAGTAATATCCCTATTGGATATACCATCTTCAAATCTTTTTTAATGATTTGTTTTATGTTTTTAATAAAACAGGTACCCACCACCTTTTAAATTTCCCATCAACGACTGCAAGGAACTAGAGGAAAAGCGGAAAAATTAGTAAAATAGTGAAGAAAACTGCAATCTGTTACCCAATGATTTTTAACTTCTGGGCTTGAGACCTGATTGATGCCGCGTTCGTACTTCGAGGGGAATCTTAATTAAACTATTTCCACAAAGCGGATCTGGCGTTGGCTGGCGAGTAATCTAATCAGCTTTGTCTTTTCCTCTGGGCCAGCCAGCAATTGACTCTAATGGTTGCACTTGACTTGGCCCTGCGCCAACCCACTCGCACATGCACTCCTACTTGGATGGAAAGCCACAATGCCATTTATTTTGATTACGCTGCTCGTGGAGTACTTCCATGGTATACGTTTTTTTTTTTCTTTTGGCTGGCCCGTGGAAATTAAAATAAATTAACAAATAAAAGTCTGGCTCCAAGTTTGGGCTGGTGGTTTGCCCCTCAACCTGTTTGCCAATTGAAGGCCATAAATAACTCCCCATTCTTGCCACCTGATGCTGACTTCAATTACGCGTAATAAATTACAGAGGAATATGAGACAGCAATGCTGCTGACGGCACTGCTTTTTCCTTCCTGCACATAATTAAGTGGATTTTAATGAGACTCGGAGTAAGAGCCAGAGACCCGAAAACACAGAGTAAGCCAAGTTGTTTGGCCTGCGTTTTTGATTTGCGGCTGCTTGGGCAATGAGCACTAGTTTACAATGATTTTTATTGTAAATATATATTTGCTCAACACGAAAATTAAAGTAAGAATAAGGTTCACATTTTTGTACAGGGCTTAAACAATGTAATATTGTTTTTACAGCTTATGAATTAAGAAGGTGGTCAATAGATTATGCTTTCATTCTGGCGAACAAAACTAGTTTATCAAATCCATTTCTACTTTGCGGAAGTGCCAGGTCAACTTTACAAAATTTATAAAAGAAATACTTTATAATGAAACTACGTTCCAATCAGAAAATAATAAATGCACTTCTTTGAGTCTTTCATTATGAATTTTTTGCTGTAGCTCAGTGTTATAAAGCCCTCGCCAAGAATAAATGTCACCGGTGGATTGGCTTTGGAATCAGTTTATTACGGCCACTTCAGGACATTGTTTCGCGGCGCTCCTTCTTCTTCGATTTGCTCCGCTTGGCTGGCTGCGGCTTGTGCTCCTCCTTTGCGGTGCTTTCCCCGAGAATCCGCTGGAAGAGAAGCGCACTGGTGTGCCCATCCAATTGACGGCTCCCGCCGAGATTGGCGGGGTTGGTGGCGATACTCTCGGCCAAGTAATTCCAGCCACGTTGCGCGGTCGGGACGCTCAGCTTATCGAGCAGCCGGGTGGCCAGCTGGGGAATTATGGGCTGCAGCACAATGCCGCAGAGCCGCAACGCGTCCATTGTCATGGCGATTATGGTCTCCAAACGCGGCTGGTTGGACTCTGCCGCACCCGCCTTCAACGTCCAGGGTCTGGAGCTCTCAAAGAAGTTGTTGGCCGCATGCAGAGCCGCCATCGCAGTGTCGGCCACCAAGTGGAAGTGATTGCACTCGTAATGCGACTCGCATCGCTCTGAAAAATGCGAAACATAGAAAACACTTAAAAACAAATTCGGAAACAATCTGAGAACCTTAAATATTAGTGGCGTTGATCTTTAATATTTTTTTTCCTTTCTTTAACAATTTCAGAAATTAATTAACTGTACGACTATTAGAGATTTACATAAAATTAAAAGATATAATATCTATAATTTTAAATGCTTTTAGATTTCAAAAAATATTTTTAGCATTTCATAAAGGGAAAGTTACATTATCAGTTGAACTGCCAAAAATATATAACAATAAAACTGCCTTATCCAAAGAATTTAATTATTTAAAATTCAAACTGTACACAAGTCTTTAAATACTTAATAAGTAAAGTTTATAAAGTGGTTTCTCTTTAATGGGAAAATTGAATTAACATTTTGTTTAAGTGCACAAAATACAATATACAAAATGGTGGCTTCACTTGGCGCACTTAAAGCTATAAGCTCGCTGGCTTGGCCACACTCTCGAGTGCACTTGCCGCTCGGAGATTGGCCGGAAGTGCTTCGGGCAGATGCGGATGCGGATGCAAACGCAAATGCAGATTATAAACCATCTATATCTCGAGATGACGCTCTTCGGCTCGAGCCTGGCTGCTTAAATATTAAAATGACAAAGCAGCGCTCCACTCCACTCCACTCCACTGCAATCCACTTCACTCCTTTCCTTTCCATTCCGATCCACTCACCTGACAGCTGCAAAAGCGACTCCTGCAGGCGTTTGGCCGCTTCCAAGCTCCGGAGCAGGTCCGCCAAGTGCTCGGGCTTGGCTGATGGATAGATTTGGCCGGGATTCAGCGACTTGGCACAGGCACGCGATAGCAGATTGCCCAGGGTGTCCGCCAGTTCCGAGTTGAGGATGCGCTGCGCCTTCACGTGGCTGTAGTCTGAAAGCAAACCAGAGCAGACAACTTGTCAGTTTGGCCAGGGAGGAGCTGCACAAAAAGCGACAGCTGCACCCAAATAATGTAGTTGGGCAACAATTCTTAACAACATTTTTTCATTATAAGGGAAACTGTTTTATCCATAAAAATAAATCGGGTTTTTTAATGAATAAATTTGTTTACACAAACTGGTAATAAATGACTTGTATTATTTTAATTACTTGCAATAAAACATACTTTAAACATTTTGAAAAGTAGAGAATTGAAATGATTAAATAATACTTTAAAAATACCATAATTTATTTAAAAACTTCAAATACTTAAAGCCTGTAATTATAATTACTAATAATAACTTAAAGATTTAAACTTTTCTTAGCTAATTGCTACTACTATTTAGTATATTGCTTGGTTGGAGATGCTAAGCAGAAAGTATAAAAAACGTCAACTCAACGTGGAAAGCCCAGGCGTATGAGTGATATTTTCATCTTCCATTTAACTTGCTTCTGCTTGGGCATTAACTGCTAACAAATTCGCCGTATGCCCGGTCGCCCATTAAGGGGATTAGCATGGCGGCAACAGAGCCCGAGGAATCAGGGGTTCTTGTCCTTCGACCAAAGCCCGTTAAGATAAAATCCGAATAACTTAACAACAACAAGCCGGTAAGGAGTTTTCCCCATTTTCCCTCGCCACACAAAACGGTGCTGCAGGTGGCTTTGTGGGAGCAAAGCTGAACACGAAAGGATTTAAGCTGCGCTAATAGTTGCAAAATCTTTGCCCGAAGGGAAATTGAACTGAATGAAGGAGATAGTGTAAAGGATAAAAGAGTGTCTCGGTAAGGACTTGATTCCAGCATAATACATATAATGATGAGTTCGCCGGGGGAAACTTGTAAGAATTAAGTGGACAAGCACTGTATTTATTTAATGCACTCAACCGCAAATGAGAAATATACTCTGTTTTATCAACTACTTTAATTTCATTACATGTTTCTCTCTGTGCAGGTAAAATGAATAGCCCAGTTAATAATATGGAATTAATTCATTTTATGTACTCAAGTGCAGTGGTAGTGGCACTACTAATTATTTCATAGCCAGCCTAATAAAATATACAACCCATCAAAATATCATAACCTGCCAAAAATGCGGCAACAATTTCGACATCTGCTAATGGGACCACAGAATATAGCTGCAACTGCTGCAGCATCCTTTTGGTAATTAAAAAGGGCCACTGTCTGCTAAGACAATAATCGGGTAATTGCTGCTGGCAAGGAATAATTGCTGGTCGAAATTTGGCCATTTTGATGATCAGATTTCGGAATGGAAAGAAAACCAAACAAACTATAATTCGCACAGCAAATACATTTCGTTGGTGCATTTTCAACTTTTTACCTGTGCTGCCAAATGAGGTTTCCTCTTGCAAACTCTCTTGGGAAATATAACTGCCAAAAAGTGTTACCTGAAGCATTAATTTGTTGCGAAACTAGAAGAAATACAGCAGAAAGTTTCACCCGCCCAAAGGAGGCAAAAGTCTGCTTGTCACCCGAATTCAAATGAAAGAGTGTCGAGTTGAGTTGCGTTGAATTCACATGCATAGACGTTAGTTTCCCCAAATCGAATTCATGTGGAGCCACTCGTAGTGTGAAAAATGGGAATTGTTATTAGAATTGCTGCTACCCAGCAACTTTAAAATTTAATTAGTTAAACTGTTTTTGAAACTTTTGAATTAAACATAATAAACCAGCAAAATTATGATATTAGATTCTATTAAAACTTTTAGTTGAACACCACAATTTTAATGGTAGAACAGGAAGTTTCATGCTATTAATATAATATTATCTCCATCGTTCTGAAATCCTTGTTAAATAAAGTGTTTCAAATAGGACAAAAATGTAAGGGAGTAACCGACAAGTCGTGAGACCTTTTATGAGTTAACTGAACCGATCGGCAGGCTTTTCATTTTGAATGCATTGAATTTTGATGGCAATGCCAACGTTTGCCTGCCGTTGGCCAGAAATGCAATGTGAATTGCATCAAACTTTATTAGTAGCTCCCCGCACGCCCCCCTCGACTGCCAATCGAGTATTGCTTTCTAATGAAATTGTTCGCAGAGGCCCGCAACACGTGTTGTATTTTGTATGTGGCATTACCTGCCGGAGCTCAAGTCCGGACTTGGGTCCGGACAACTCTTAACTGCTTACGTGAGCAGCTACAAATTGTGCAAAAAAGCAAAAGTTGCTGACGGCACGAGGAAGCCGGGTACAACACTTGCCACCAACTTTAAGCACGCTGCACATGTTGCCACGTGACCGAGGAGGGGGTGTGGCACCTGCCCCCTTGCCACCGACAAATGCAGCCGCTCTTCTGGCAGTAATATAAATAATACTTTTTTACGTGCCCCAAGAGCCGCACTTCGAATGCGGGCTGTTGCCTGTTCGACTGCACCTTAAATAACTTGAATAACTTGTCGCTCTGCTCCAGTTTACCATTGCCTGCTGAGAACTTTGACACAATTTTGCAGTGCTCTCCAGTCCTCCTCTATTTTTTTTCAACAAAACTTTGGCTTTAAGTGCAGAGGTGGGCCATCAAATATTTAACAAGCCGCTCTGCAATCGGAGACAGCCAGTCTGGGGTGTCAGGCAAATTTACCCGGGCAACACAGGGCGTATAGGTTATGTGCCAAACACTTATTTCTTGTCTGCCCTTTAACATAACCCGCTACCGGATCAGGCAGGCAGTTTGGAAAAAGTGTAAAAACATTGGGTGAAATAAAATGGGAAAAATTTAAGGACAAAGGAGTTAAATTCATGGAAAAAGTCGTCATTGTGATCAAATTTTTTGAAAATCTTGTTTTAGACGGATGTTAATAATAATAAAATGGGATAAAAACGATATCAATTGGATTTGTAGAAAAACCAAGAATGCAAAATCTATACCGTCGGCTTTGTAGCCTTAAAAATATGTATATTGTTCTGCAGTTTTTCTTATCTATCTAAAACCACATAAATTCATTTTAAGATGCACAGCTTTTATTTTATTTCATCGTAATGAGCACAGTATTTCTGCGTGATCAGTCTCCGTTTCTGATTAGCAAGGCGATAAAGAAGGCGATTGGGTAAACAATAATGGACAAACACTAATTAATTTTACTGGGGGTCAAAAAAAAAATTGCACTATTAATATTTCGGTAGCTCTGCTGTGCCTTAGTGGAAGATCGCGATAAGAAATGGCGAAACAATTGCACTGTATTTCTAGGGTCCAGTAAATCAGTCTTCGATCAGCCTCTATCAGCAGCGCAATGTCTATAGTTTTTTGGATTTGCTTTTACGTTTCCCTTTTCTCGGTCCTGGCCGTACGTTTTCCGAATCATAACTGTGATAATTATTTTACATATGACGTCATGAACGGGGGTAAAACATACATAGGTATTTTTACGCCAAACAACACCGGAATGATTGCATTTTTCTGGAAGGCAATTTTCTCGTCTCGAGGCGCCTATATGGTATGTTGACAGAAGACTCTAATAACAACTGAAAAATACTGATTTTTTATTTTTCCTTGCAGGATCAAGTCGATTTTCTCAATCCATACCCCTCTAATGAGGAGTGGGCCGTCAATGTCAGAAGTGGAAAGCCTGCAAAGATGTTCGTGAAGTTTATAGATATTGAAGACGAGCTGCCCATGCTGACTAGTTTGATACTTAATGATGTAACACTGTGCGTCAACCCGACATGTGAGTACAAACTACAAAAATGTTAAAGATTTTACTGACAAGTACTTAATTTTTTGCAGACTCACCACCCTCGACTACAGTTATTTTATCCCGAAATGAAAGTTTCTTTAGAATTTCTAGTTTGTATAATAATGTTGGTAAAACACTGTATACAAAAATTAGTGACAGAAACTACTTCGCTAATTTGACTAAAAAATTGAGCCAAATTACAAGACCCTCGGGAGTAGAATTTAAGCCTCGTTACTAAGAAACAAAATCAGGTTTTCCTAAATGCAACTAATCTTCTTAACTAATTTTAAATTTATTCATGTTCTCGATTGGCTAATAAAAAACTTTAAATGACAATCGAAAACACAAGTTTTAATCTAACATAATTTTAATTTTGTTCATGAATCCACCCTATTAAGTTTTCCTATATATACAGGTATGTATGTATTGTAAAAGTTGTACAAGGTCGGAGATAGTGGGGAATTAATTGTGTCTTGCGATGCAGATTATTTGTACAAACGAAAAAGATTTTGCTTTGTTTTTGGATTTTTGAGATGCACTGATAACAGTATTTTATTAATTTTAAATATTAACTCAAGAATAACAAAAATAAAAGCTAAAAAAGCAATTTTTTGTAGGCACCTATCACAATTTTTAAACCCCCATGGATATTTTATATTTTAAAAGTTTATATAAAAAATGTTTACTGTTTTGCTGTGGGATTAAATCGTTGTTCAGCGGACTATAATAATTTTCAAGGAAAGCAATACTATTCCATAAAAGCGTTTCCTATCGCCACCAAGATTTCACAAGGGCAAACAGTCCCCAGTGACAAGTTTAAGTATTGAAATTTAAAAATTGAGTGACGCCCCAAGGAAGTTGATTGCATCAACGCACCTCCCCCATTTGCATTCCCTGGGCAACTTTTTCTAACATAAACGCAGATGCTGCTAGTCCTTCCAATATTTCTGCTCCCTCCCCAGCATCTGTGTTATGTCGGCGACGACGAAATGCAATTTCTGTGTTGCGGAAGTTTGGCCTGTAATGAAAACTTGAGCATTTAATAATGATGTTGTCCTAACAGCATTATGAAAACGGATGTCACCCTGGGCCACAATATCGAATTTGAAGGCAACTGTTTGATGGCGGGCTAAGTGATTTTTCACCTAATGGATGACAGTCGACTCAAATTAAAGTAAATTTATCTGCCGCGCTCATAAATCATTCAAGGCCCGAAAAATATGCAAAATGGGCGCGATGTCGAACTTTTGTAATTTAATTATGCGACGACGACGCACTGCAGCAGCTCGCACATTTTCATTGAAACTTTTTTTGTTTTTTGGTTTCAATTTGCTGGCCAAATGCAATAAAAATGCAATTAAATTAGCCGCAAGGCAGCGGGCCATAAAAAAAAATTGAAAAGAGAAACATCAACAAGCGCAAATTGAATAAAGGCAAACGTGAAAAGCAGTCAGCTGTCTGGAAAATCCGTCGGAAAAGCAAAGTCAGCAATAATTGAAAATTAAATTTTAAGAGGGGAGCGTTATGCCGGCAATTTATGCAAATGAAAAACCGAAAAGGTTGGGCCAATCAATCAAAACGCATCCCGTGACACTTAGCGAAGTGTGTTAATTGCTTTCGATAGCCCCAACCGATTCTCAACCTAATCATATTTTTCAGACAATTGATGAATTCCAGACGGAAACTTTCCCAAACTGTTTCCCCATCCTTATGCAAATTGTGCAAGTTCGAGGGATGTGAAAACTTTCGAGGCAAATAAACAAAAGTCAGATCTCTCCTCCTGGTAGACCAAAAACTTTTGCCCAGCTCTCGACTTTAGTTCCCTTTTTCGGTTTGGCAGTTCGGGCATAAAATTGAAATGCAAATTAAAGCAAAGGTAACCATAGCCGTAGAACTAACGACGACAGATGGCCACTCACATACGAACACTTCAAGAGAACCTTAACAGTTTCGGTTGATAATTTGATGGAAAAACTATTTGAATAACCGCAGGCAGGGCATTCCACCCCACAATCCCTCCCCGATTTTCATGGTGGCCAGGCCACATGGCATTGCAGCCGCAAAGTGAACAAGCCACAGACATCAAAGGGATTTCGCGGTTTCGATTCACTCACTGCCATCGCTGTGGGCCACGCCCTCCCGCAGAAGGAAGTATCTCAGGCCCTCCATGGTGTATTGCTGGGCCGCCTGAACAGGGTCCACTACGTTGTGTTTGCTCTTCGACATCTTCTGCCCGTCGACGGTCCAGTGCGAGTGGACGTGAAGCTGCCCAGGTGGTTCCAAGCCAGCGGCCAGGAGGAAGGCTGGCCAGTAAATGCCGTGGAACTTGAGGATGTCCTTGCCAATCACCTGCTGCGCCGGTGGCCAGTGGGCAGAGAACTGAAATGGCGAGGGTAAATATAAGTATTTATTTGTTACCAAAGCTTCTAATTCTAACATTAAAACGTTAGAAAGAATTAACTTTTGTAAAAAAAACATAATGCCAAACTCTAAGATGATAATACTTGATTTTTTATGCAATTGAACAATGGACTTTAACATAATGAAAACTTAAAAAGGGCTAGTACTCACCGTCTCATTGGGATACCCAACGGAACTGAGGTAGTTGACCAGAGCATCCAGCCAGACGTAGACAGTCTGCGAGTCATCGTCGGGGACGGAAATGGCCCAATGAACGCGGTTGGAAGGCCGTGATACCGAAACATCCGGCAGAGGTTCGCTGAGTGTGTCCAGCAGAATCTTTTCGAACTTGGCCGGACGGATGCGAGCCTCCTGTTTCACCCAATGACGCACATCATCCTGGAATTGCGACAGTCGGAACATGTAGTTGGTTTCTTCAGTCCACTCGACAGGGTGGCCCGATTCCAGGGAGTGGCGTGTCCCAGTGGATTCATCCAATCTCAGTTGTGAGTCCGTAAGAAAGGTTTCGTCCGACACGCAATACCAACCGCTGTAGGCAGCCGAGTATATGTGGCCACGTGAGTGGAGCGTTCGCTAAGGATTAAAGAAAAAACAAATTTAACATAGGAAGTGTCTTAGGAAATCTAATAGAAACTGGAAAGCGCATTTTAAAAGAATTATATTTGACTCCAATTAATAGTTAAAATTAAATAGTCAAAATGTCACTACTTTCCTAATTAACATTAACAAAGACCCAGTTTCTTATACTTTTAAACATCTACAAAAAAGAAGATCTAAGATAGGCTTTAGTTAACCAGCATGAGCTACAATAATACCCAAATCCTACCCAGAAATGGGCCACCGCCCGCTTGTGTCGCTCTTCCGTGGTGCGAATGAAGTCGTCCTGCAGGATGCTGGCACTCCGAAACACATCCCGGTATCGTTCTGATATATCATCGCAGTATTTGGCCACGGGAACTCCGTAAAGAGAAGCCGCCTGTTGGATCTTGGTGCCGTGCTCATCCGTTCCCGTGCAGAGCCGTACGTCCCTCTCCGGATTCCTTAATCTCTGGTAGCGACAGTGGGCATCGGCAATAACCGCCGAGTACAGGTGCCCAATGTGCGGGGCTATTCATAAATAAAGATTCCTTTTATTATAAGTATCCAGTTGAATTGCATAAAAAACAAAACACTTACCTGCATTTACATAAAAAATTGGAGTTGTCACGTAGTGCGAACTGTTGTAGCGGGTTCCCAGACTGCGGAGGCACTTAATTCTTCTTATGAGCATGATTTTTAAAGCTGTTTTTATACACAAATCTTAATAAAAATATATTAAAGCATTTGCCGCTTGATTTTATAACATTGAACAGCTGTTCAACCAGTGCTGCCCATCAGCCGGTTAACAGTGGGCCTAACAGTGACGTTTTGCAACTATGTTAATTTAACAGTGTAGACTATTTAAACGGTTTTTTTATTTAAATATTATTAAAGAAAAAGTAATTAATTTTAATTGTTTAATAAACTAGTTTTATCATTTTGGTTTAACACTATAACCTTTAATTAGCAAACTAAGAAACCCGAAAGTGAACCATAACAAAATATAGATGAGACCGATTGATCCCAGGGATTGCTGCTACATCTTAACCCCCCCGCCGGCTAACTTGTTGGCCAACATCCTCGGAGCCCATCGCATCTGCTGGTGGTGGTTGATCATCCGCCGAGCCCTTTGGGCCTTCTGTTTGGCCTCCACTGCAGCACAGGCCGCCTTGTAGGCCGCCTGCTTGGTCTTCTCGAAGTCGCTCTTGGCATCGTTCATCTGGCGGGCGAGGTTCTCCACCCGATGCTTGGCGGCCTCCAGGAGCTGCGTCTTCTCGGCCAGCTCCTGCTGTGCCCCACTGGCCACGTTCTCGATATTGGCCATATTGGCGGTGGCGGCTATCACTAGGTTCTTCAGCTGATTGAGCTGCGTCTGGGCCTCGTGGGCGGCCGAAGCAGCGGCATTGGCATTTGCCTGGGTGTTCTGCAGCGATGAGGTCACCTCACTGACCACCGCATCCGCCTCAGTCATCTCCTGTTGCAGCTGCTCCACAATCTGCTGTTTTCCGGCCAGAGCCGCCTCCGCCGCCCGCGCCGACTGCGCTGCCTTGGCGGCCAGCTCCGATTTGACCTGGGACGCTGCCGCCTCGGCGGCTGCCATTTGGGAATCACTGGCCGCCTTGGCCTCCAGGGCGGCCTTTTGGGCAATGTTCGAGGCCTTGGCCTTGGAGTCGCCGCGGCCAAAGCCGGAACTGTTGCAGTCCTTCTTCGAGTTTGCTTCGGCGCAACCCGTGTTTCCGCCTCCGCTTCCTCCTCCGCTGCCTCCTCCGCCGGAGTCCCCGTACAAACTGGACAGGCAGTGCTTGGCATTCGGTTGGGCAGGACGATAGTGGAAGCTCTCCAGTCGGGGGAACGCATGCAGCAATAGCAGCACGGTGAGTAGCGCTTTCGGGCCAGGCATATTCCGATCGAATATTTGGAAACCTCCGACTCTGACTCCATTCGGAAAGCCTGTTCTGACAGAGAAGATGGAACAAATGCTTGGACTAGCGAAATATGACATAGTTTTACAGAATAATTTTTAATCGTAATAGATAACGTTTTGTTTCATCACCACAAAAAGAACAAATTTAGCCTCGTCAACCCAGTGGTTCAAACTGCATTATATTATTCTTCTTGAGAATCGACGGTTTTGTGGCCGGGTCATCCTCCTTCTTTGGTGCCTCAACTTCGGTCCTCTTTTTTTAGTACACAAAACCTTATTCCGCTAAATTGTTAGCCTCACGTTTGCTGTTTACCTGTAGCAATACATTTTAAATAAAGAGTGGAAAATAAGTTATGGATTAGTGGTATAAGACCCACTTTTTCGCGTTTAAAGATCAGATTTCTCGAGAAAACGCAGATAATGTTTATCAGGATTGGGCACATCGCATGGCAATATAGCATAGTCTCTATTTTCGAAATTGACAGCTCCGTCTGTCTGTCTTTCCCATTTCTGATAACTGACAGTCGGAAAAATGCTCGAGACAACGGAAAATGCGGATAGACGTTCAGATCATGTGGCTAATCATTGTGTTGTCCTCGCTCCTGGCACCCGCAGCTGGCAACCAGTACCGAACCCGGCGGAAGCAAATGTATCCCCAGGATTCAGGACTGATGGAGAGTATGAGTGGTGGTGGTGCTGGCGCCGGTGATGGATCTGGGTGCGACATGGCGGGTGAGTCAAGGAACTCGCCGGAGAAGAAGCCCCTGCGGGGTCTCGGGAATGCCAAGCAGAGGGCCTCCGGTATCGCCATGCAAGCTGCTAATGAGGCGAAAAAGGCCAACGAGGATATGGCAACGGCGGTAAAGGCGGCCGCCGATAAAATTAAAAACGAATATGCCGACAAGGCGACCGCTGCCGCCAAAGCCGCCGAAGCGGTGCTGGCGGGTAAGGGTCAGTTGCTGGAGCAACTGGAGGCGGAAGTGCGCGAGGGCGAAATGGTGGTGCAGGAGGAGAATCAGGAGCTGACCACCGCCGAGACGAACGCCCAGCTGGCCATGAAGGTCCACCACCTTGGCCAGCAGGAGCTTAAGGTCCTGACCATGGGTCTGAAAATGGCCAAAGAAAACCGAGAAATCTCAGATCAAGTATACGCCGTGTGGCAGCAATCTTTGGCCGACAAATCCGCTCTTTTGGAGGCTGCCCAACGAAGGGTTGGTGTGCTAATGCGACAACTAAGCGAAGCTCGGATAGATTACGAGAAGACCAAGAAGGCGTCAAATAATGCAGCCAGAGCCGCTCAAGAAGCCAAGCAGCGTATAGCGCAAGCGGAGGCCACTGAAAACTGCGATCGTGGACGAATCCGTCGTGCCTGGCGGCTGTGAAAGGAAATCCACTGATATTACACACACATATATTTTACATATAAAGAAAACAAGAAATCGATTTGAATTTTAATCTGTAGTTTATTAAACTTTTTTCTTTAGGGAATAAAAATATAAAATTCCTCGACAGCGTGCAAAAAGTGCGCGCGTCTTGAATGGCTGCCAAAAAATGCTATGGAACTTTGCCTGTACAAGTCCGACCGATCGCCCCGATAGGAATATACATATCTGCCTGTTGTGTGTGTGTGTGTACAATTTTGGACAAATACCAGAGCGGACTAACGCTAGTCTTAAGCGAAACAATCGTTAAACTAGTAGAATACAAGGGAGCTGAACTTAAAATAGGCGTTACAAATTATGATTATGCTTGGGCTCCAATCAAGGCAAACAAATGGTCACAAAAATGTACATGCTTTAAAACTTAGGTGTAAAATAATAAATATACAATCGATTAAGTTCGTACAATTAAAATTGGTTGCTGTTGTTGTTGTGGTTGCCTGTTTACAATACAATAATTTCAAGGGTGATGCTTGGTTTCGTTCTCTAAATAGATATATAAGCATGTGGTTGCGGATATTATTCGTAGTTCAATCAATTAATCAGTAGGTTAATTGTTAACAAACATAAATACGCAAAGCTCTACATAAAATAGTTTCTTCTTACACAATCCTGGTAACTTAAGGTTAGTTAATTTCTCATTACAGTAGGTATATAATATAGATATTTATAATTCGTATGCAATGTATGTACAATCTAACACAAGCCCCTGTAAGTAATTGTTTTTAATGTCTCCCATCGTTTATCTGTCATTCGCCTAAGCCCAACAAGTGTTATATTTATTAGCTTAGCTTAGTTATGTGTATGCTGTATATAGAATCTGTGGAGCCTTAGTCTAGTTAGCTAACTGATTTGCATATCGTTATCCGTATGTGGTACATAGCTAATACGTAACATATTTAATATACAATTAATTATTCTCCCCCTGAATACTGACATCGTCGAGTTTCTGTTCTTTCACTCCGATTTCTCGGATTCCACTTGTTTCGTTGCCTAATATGTGCCGTGCTTTTAAATATAGGATATATAATAATATCAACTGTTTAACTTTTACATATCAACTACTTAAGACGTATAGGGGTTGTAAAACGAAAAGTATCACGATTGACCAAACATAGATCGATATAACCGTTAACTACAAGTGTTTCAATTCTTATTCCAGGTGTGTTTTTTGTGTACAATAGGGTGTTTGATTTATGCAAAACAATAGGATGGAAAGTAATCCTTGCAAAATTAATAGCATGTGTAACTTAATTTATTTTTTTAATATCAACTAGGCCATTTCCCAGAAGAAAAAAACATTTCTTTATTACGTTTAAAAATATAAAATTATTACTATATATACGCGAATAATTTAAAATCGATTATGATAGTCCAATCGGAACAAGTAATAACTTTTTGAAAAATTACACCTAAGTGATGTACTATTTCTTTTACATTTAAACGGTTATTTAGAGTTTTTGCATTGGACTATTGCTTTACAATACTTTTTACAGTAATGTCAATTATTTTCTTCTGGCGATACGGAAAAATTGATATTAAAACTAAAGTATCCATGACAACTGCCTTAAATATAACTTTCCACCCTTAAGAACTTCCAGATCTTTTGTAAAAACCAACCCTAGTTTCTGAGTATACGGATTAAATTAGACGCCCAGCGCCTGTTTGCGGATCCTATCCCTATTCATTGACCTTTCCTTCCTAATTTAAGTACTTCCGACACCTTTTGGAACCGCACGAACAAGGTATCTTCTCCTCCTCGAAAGGAAATTTGTAGTCGTAGGTCAGCTCCTCGCCCTGCACAATGCGGCGCAGCGCAAAGATGATAATGTGTTTGTGACCCAGGATGTCAACCACTTTGGAGTAGCAATTCGGCTGCAAGGGAAAATACATTTTAACATCCCTTGAGGCGTATAACATATCACTTTTTTACTCACCTCACAAGAGTGATTAATGAAGCGCGCCGCATTGCCTCGCATTGTGGCATCTACAACGAGATTATCATCGATCTTGAACATATAGCAGCCGATGCCGCGACTGTCGTAGTAGCGCTCCCTTTTATCTGTCAGAGTGGAGCGAATCAACTCGCCGGCGTATTCGATGACCATTTCACCTGGAAAATAAAATTCAGTATCAATGAATTTGTCTTAAAATATTTTTAATATTAAAAAATCTCCTTAAAGTTTAAGTTTAAGTTTATTGACGCATTTTAATTAAACCTTACCCGCTTCAATATCCTTGGTGCAGTAGAGGCCGCGCCCATGGATGTGCGATCTGAAGACTCCAACATAATCTTTGTATGTCTCCTTTAGCGTGCGATATTTCATTGCCATGGGCAAGTTGCTGCCAGTTCCACGCCTGAAAACCAAAGAAGTTCCACAATCAATAAAAGTTTTTACCGAAAAAATTAAATATGTACTTACCTAGGCACCAGTTCATTGTCCGATGGCTGGACAAACACCTGAATAGGTTGTTTGCGATGCCTTGATGCCAACCAACTGAACATATCGTACTCGCTACGATTGGCATACGGCTCACAACGGGCGCAATCAAAGGCATTTTCCTGCAGTTCATCCTGGTCGGATCCATAATCAAGTAGGCCCTGTGCATCGCCTCCAGAAACTGCTGCCAGGATACCGGATGCACTGCTTCCGCCTATATTCCCGACATGTCCAGCAGTCGCCGCAGTAGATACGTTGCCATTTCGCTTGTGATACTTTGGAGTATATTTCGAGCACTTTTCCACGCCCGGCAGCTGTTCAATCAGGTATTTCAGAGCATTCGTTTTGAGGCCAATCATCTGTATGCCACCCATGTCCGCCAGAGGACCCTCTGGGAGCGGTGTGAGTCCATGGGCCCGCCTGGCCACCTGCACTGCCTCAAAGACCTTCTCCCAGATCTCAGATATGGAACTGGACTTGTACGTGAAACCATCTTCGCTCTGGATCTCATAGAGGAGATGCGGACCACTGATCTTCTTGGGCTCTCGAATGGGAGGCGGTGGTTCTGGAGCAGATGCTGTGGGCACTACGACCGTTTTTGATGGCTCCTGTTCCTGTGGCGCCGTCCTTTGCTCCTCCTTTCTTCTTCTGAGCTCCAGCTCTACTCCATTCTGCAGCTGCTTGAGTTCCAGGACATGGGCATCGGCCATTTCGTTGATGTAGGTGGCAGCTGCTTCGACGGCTGCAGTTTCCAGAGTGCCTTCAAACTCCTCGGTGGGAGCAGATGCCGCTGCAGTGGTGGCCAGGACGTCCTCCACCATTTGCTGATAGCCAGCGCCGGCATCCACTTCCATCGTTGTCGCAGTGGCTATAGAATCCGCACAGTCGTCGTTTGTCAGGTTGTCCAGAATCTTGCTAATCTTATCCTTAACCGCAGGCTCCTCGCTGTCGGACATCTCGTGATCGTTACACGCCGATGTGGCCATCTTTAGGCTAAAGTCATCATCCTCTTCATCTTCCTCTTCAAGATCTTCTCCCCCGTAGACATCTGTTTCCATTGGTTCTACTTGGAACGCGTGCTTGTCGAGCAGATAGCCGTTGCTAGCCAGTTGTTGATTCAGTTGCTCGCGTTGCTGCTGCTGTAGGAGAAGTTGCTCGGTCTTGGCCTCCGCCGGAGAATGCTTCTCGTAGAGCCCCTCCGTGTAGATGGACTCCGTGGCTGGCTGTTCCTCCATGATTGCCTCCATCGTGGTAACAGGCAGCATGCTCTCCAAAACCGAACTTGTTTTAAGTTCCGCCTCGTAAACCGGTGAAGGTAATGCTGTCTTTTGGGCATAACATTTGGAGGCACTGGCGCTATTCATTTGCTGGATTACCGGCTGTTCGACAGGCTTAGGAGGAGTAGGTGATGGAGCCACTGGACACTCGTTGGACAAAGGAGCTGGCTCCTGGCGCTGCTGCATCGGTAGAACACGATTTGTCGGTCTTGTTGTGGAGCTACTTGATGTTGGTGTTGCCTGTTGCTGCATAGGATTTACAACGTTGGTTGGCAGGGAACAGTTGCTGCTACTACTACTGCTACTTGTGGAAAAATGCTGCACTCGATTGGCCATCTCCTGCTGCTCCAGCACTTGGGGTTCCATCACAAATTGGGGTTGCATCACAGGTGCTTCGGCAATCGTTATAATGGGCATCGAAGGTTGAACCTGCACTTGTGGTTGCTGTAGCTGTTGTTGTTGTTGCTGCTGGGGAATGTGGAGCAACTGCGTCTGCTGAAGCTGCTGCTGCGGCTGCGCTGGGATTCGCTGCTGTGAGATCGTAACCTTGGGCACCTGACTGACCACCACAGCTGGAATTTGCTGATGCAGCTGTGGCTGCTGCTGTTGCTGCAACATGGCTTGACTTTGTTGCTGCATCTTCGGCGTGGGCTTCATTACTTTCGGTTTAACTTCCAGCTTGTGAATGGGTCGAATCATGTTGGTTTTTTTTTGAAGAGGCTTCGAAGCAATACTTGGAGGTGCTCCACAATTTGTTCCCGTGCCCGATGCAGCTTTGCCCTTGAGCTGAGATTGTTTGAGATTGGAGTTTTTGAGCTGTACTTGGGACTGCTGGGTAACAATGCTGGTGGGCAGTACCTTGTTGACCACCTGCGGTTGCGGTGGCACCTTGCCCACTCCCGAAATTCCCGCTGCTTTAGCTTGAGCATTTGTTCTCTTCATTTGAGTTACTGGCGGAATCTTGGCCGTCACCATAACGGGTGAGGAGTAATCCATAGATGTGGAGGCACCTGAGGATGTGGGCACCGTTTGGAACTGGAAGTTGGCATTCTGCAGTAGCTGTGTGGTTGCGTCATCCTGCGATTGTTGCTGCAGTACACTGGCTGCGTTCAGGAATGTCCCCGTTGTAGTTGCATCTCCAGCATTGTTGAGCACCACATAGCCAGCGGGCAGATCCACAATCGGTTCGATTTTACTAGCCTGGAACACCTGTGTGGTGGTGGCGGAGAAGCTAGCATTCTGGCTGAGCATTCCGGGCATTGCAGTGGAAACAAATTGCTGCGACGACATGACCGTGTTTTGGACAATCGTCTCCAGTCCATAGTACATCGGTTGGGTGGCCAGAATCACTTGGGGCGTGGTGGTGGCAAACTCCAAGCCGGTGGCTCCGCCACCTGTTCCACCCAAAATTAGGGGTTGTTGATTGCTGCCTGCCTGGTTGCCATCTGATCCTCCTCCCAACTGGATGGTTTGCGGCTGGATAAGCGTTCCTATTACTTGAGGTTGAGCTTGCAGAGATTGCGCCGTGAGCATTTGCAATCCGGAATTAGTGGGTGTGGTTGTTAGCACTAGATTTCCACTAGCATCCGTTTGCAGGTAGGTGGCTCCTCCACCGGGAGCTGTTGTCAGAAAAGTAGGCGTCGCCGTTGGTTGTGGCTGTGGCTTATAATCCCCCGCTGTGGGTATGGAGATGTACTGCAGTGGCTGTCCTTGGCTTCCGTCTCCAGTCACAAACGAAATGATGTTCTGGGGCTGGGCTTGTGGAAGAATTAGCTGCGGTGCCTGCGACTGGGCGCTGCTCTGGAACAGCAGCTGCGGTTGGAGGAGATTCTGACCCATCACGGTGATGGGCTGTTGCACTTGAGCCTGTTGCTGCTGTTGATGCTGCTGGGGATGGGGTTGCAGCTTAGCCTGAATGGGCTTCACCTGATGAGCGGACTTCAGTTGTCTCTGCTTCGCAGCCGCCTGTTGAGCCGCCTTGGTGGCCACTGTTTTCAGAGGTTTTCCAGCTGCCGTTAAAGGAAGCATTATCTTCTTATCCGTATTGGTGGCCTGCAGGGTCTGATACGTTGCTGTTGGAGTAGTTGTGGTGGCCTGCATCGTCTGCGGGATTTGGATGAACTGCTGAGTGCCATCCGGATTGGTGGAAACAGCAATCAATTGAGGTTGCGCTGGAGCTGTCACCGTTGGTTGAGCCAAAGTGAAACCTCCACCCAGATTGGCAGCCAAACTTTGCAACGAATTAGCATAGATTTGTAACTCATCGGTGTTTGCCTGGGTTGTGGGATTCGGTTGGGATAAAAAGAATCCATTGCCCAGGGATTGTGGTTGCAACTGAAGTTGCTGCAATCCCTGCAAGCCAAACTGACCCAGTGAACCCAGGCTCTGCACCTGAGGAAACGATGCTGCTGTTTGAAGATAATTTAAACCTCCCGCATTTGCTAAAAGTTGCTTTTGCAGCTCATTCAAGCTTTCCGCACTCAGCTGCGCGGCATTATTGGTGCTTCCTGCAGCGTTCACATCAGATTCGGATTCATTGGTGGACATCGATGGTGCACAAGATGGTACATGCCGCTGAAAAGCATCGTAATTTCTGTAAGTGCACTGACATCGATCACACTTAACCTGGCCGGTGAACTGAGCGGTTGATAGATTCCCATCACCGGCAATTATGCGGAATTCGGTTATTGAGTCGTCCACGCCATCCATTTGCATTATCCTCATCTTGGTTGGCTCTTCGCGAGCTTCGCTCTTTTCGTAAAAACGCTTTGCCGCACTCCAGGTGAAACTCTTGCTTCTTACAGATCCAGATGTAGTGGCTATTCCTTCGGTGGCTGCCTCACTGATGGATTGCCTTCTGGATACGCCAGCAACGGTGGCCATCTCCTTTTTGCTTCGCTGCTGACTGCTCAGGGTTAATAGCACACCTTCAGCCAAGTTTTTAGATAGTTTTCGCCTCTTGATGGCCGTGGCCATGGCACTATTTCCATCAAGCTTTGGCCAGGCTAGGGTTTTAAGCATCTGTACTTGACTGGAGTTTCTGGCTGCGGATAACATGGCGTCCTCCACGGGGTTGCTGGCTGGCCATCCATTTCCCAAGCTCGTATTCGAATTGCGGGTGTCTTCATCACAGATGCTTACAGAGCCAGCTCCTCCGGCCTGTTGGTTTTGACTCTGACCTTGATTGGATGTCATGGCTTGAGTGCCATCCTTGGATTGCTCACTTATGGCAAACGGGTCCGTTTTATCCGCCAGGTCCTCATACATGAATATATCCAGCATGGAGATTCCATCAAGTAGTTCGTGGGGGAGATCTTCGAATATGGCATCCTTTATCTCTGGAGGAAACAAGTCGGCCTGCTGTTGCGGCTCCTCTTCCGTGTTCTCATCCGGTAGTACACAAGAGTTGGGATTGGGATAGTCCCCGCTCCAATCAGTTCCGCCATTCTCCAAGAAATCACTCCTAGCCAGACTAGTATGCCAGCGGGCAATTTGCGCCAAACCTAACTGGACCTCCTTGCCATTTGGATTCGTATGATCCACAGTATAGTTTCTGCCCACATCTAGGGCTGTTAAGGTTGACAAACTGTTCTGGATAGTGGTGCGCACTGTGTACTCGACTATTTTCCAGGGTTCTTTTGAAGACCAATATAAACGACTGCAAAGGAAATTTATGGGCACCACGGCCTCATAGGAATCGGAAAATCTGGGAACAATGGTACCCAATTGCCGAACCTCTAAGGATCCAATGTGGAACTGCACACGGGCTGGCTCAATCAGCTTCTTTCGCTTTCTATCCAATTCCACATACACGGGTCGGGAAACTTCAAAGTTTGATTCATATGTGACACTGGCAGATCCATTGGCCTTTAAGGCGTTTCCATTTTTCGCATGTGCGGGGCAATACATGGATTTATCTGTGAGAAAGGCGCAGTCGATGCTTCTGGCACATGGGTAGTGATAGTGCTCACCGCAAGATCGCACATTGCAACCGACAGTGGCTCCTCGATTGCCACACACCGTGCACTTGATCATTCTTCCCCTAGACACAGCACTGTGGACATTTTGTAGGGAACCATCAATCTCCTCGAATACCTCTGCTGACCACATGGCACAATTGGTGTGCACCCAGCAATCATGGCCGCAGTACAGGAGTCGTGCTTCTTCTCCGGACAAACCTTCGCCACTCTTACGACAGAAGAGGCACACCCTGGTGTCCAATCGCATCTTGATGCCAGAGCTGCCAAGGTCGTCAACCTCTTCTAGGGGAATATCCAAAACACCAGAACGTGACTCTGCCTGCGAGGTGGAGTGTTCGTTGTAGACAGAAGAACTTCCTCCTCCTCCGTCTTGCAAATCCTCGTAATTAGTTCCCGAACAGGACTCAAACATATCTTCCTCTAAGGCATCAGTGCACGCTTTCGTTTCGTTTTGGAACCAGGGAAACTGTTCACTTAACAGCTCCTTGTAGGCAATGTCCAATTCATCACAATTACTCTGCTGGATAACCTGGCTCATATCATAGTTGAATTCCGCCAGGGAAACGTATGAGTTGCCAGCAATCTTCTGTTTAATATCCACAAGGCTAAAGGAATGCGAATGACTGATGTGCTGTTGGCAGGAACACGACAGGGATTTCACTCGTGACTTATTCATGTTCAAATTTTTCTGCTGTTGCTGCTGCTCCTTGAACTCGTAGACATCGTCGCTGTTTTGGGATTCACCATCGCTGCCCAAACCATTATCGGATCCACTGCTAAATTGAAGAGCTTTCGGTTGGAGTTTTCCTTGGTTCGTGGATGCTCCACAAGTGCATCGCATTTTCTTGCGGGGACTCAGTTTGAGAAGAGCACAGGCCTGACGAGATTTGCTGAGCAACTTTAGTACACTGTAAAGACTCGCCTTGAATTCCTCCATCACCGCCTGACGCCACTCCTCTGCCTTTATCCTGGAACTCTCATTCCTGCGCGCACATTTCTTGCAGATAAACTCAATGGATTCTGGTAAAGTGCTGAGCAAATTGTATTGCTCATCGCTGAGTCCTTCGCACTTTGAATGAACCCACTGGCTACAATCGCCGCACTCCATCATCTTTAGATCAAAGTCATTATCGTCATAGCATCTCTGGCATATCGGACAAAAGTTTCCCTTCTTGCGCAACTTAAAGCAGCCCGTACACATCGGAAGATTCCCAACAAACTTAGATACTTTTGTGGTGGAGCAAGACTTGCATTTTAGGCAATTGACACATATTAAAGGTCGATCTGCTCCCAGTAGTCTCTTGCTGGTACCCAAGCACGTGCTATGATAGTTTTTCTGACACTTTTGACATTTAACCTTGGACCCCGATGACATGTTGCAGGTGTAGCAAACGGTGCAGCGGGGACACAACCAATTCAAGCGCTGCGTCAGTTGATTCAGGGATGACGATGATGGTCCAGTAGTATTAACCGTCGTTTCCAGAAGGCTGCCCATCAGCGTGGTATCCTCAAAAGATCCGTGCTTCAGATTGTACTCATCCTGGACACAGTACTGATGATAGGGCTCGCAGCAGCAGGCGCAAAAGATCAGTGGATCCAGGCCCGTAGAACCGCACAGGAAGCATAGAGCCCTCTGAGCCACTGTTTCAGTAACAATCAATCCAAAACCCGTTTGGCAAACTTCAGCAGGGTCATAATTCTCCCAGAAATCGATGGAGATGAGCGTACGTGGCTGCCTCTGCTCCTTAGCCCTGCGACCTTGGGTTTGGCTGGAGGATTGAGTTACCGAACTGGAGGTAACAATGTCCCCATTTCGTTGTTTTTTGCTGGCTGCCACTATAAGATTGGATGTAACCGCTGCATTTCTTGTTGTGACCTTTGCTGGTGCTGCTACTAAAGGTGCTGTAGATGCTGGTCCTTCTTTTCCTGCGGCTGTTGGCTTTTTACCTTCAGCTTGATTTGTTCCAGCGAACTTAAAAGGCTTCGTTTCCTTAGCAAGAGGCGGAGTTTTACAGCTAGCACAATTATCGTTTTCATCCGTAACAATTTGAGTTGGTTTTTCAGGGGCCGGCTCTGAAATAGCTGATGGCACTGGAGTGGCAACTTCCTGCAGCACTTCAGCCTCCTCCTCTGGCTGCTGGTCCTCGCCGAACGTAGCCAAAGGTTGACCGAGCACAATGGAGGCACTGCGGCAGACGTGTTTAACTCGAGGTCCCTTAAGGTCAATCCTTTGACGCTTTAGGGTGTCCCCCGTACCATTGGTTTCCCCATTAGCTTCTGGTTGAGAGACACTTTGAGACGTCCCATTGGAAGTTGCAGCATGTGCTACTGTTGCTGCTGTTAAAGAGGTTTGTGGTGCCTCCTCCATTGGGGCTTCTATAACTAATTCCACTACTGCAGATTTTTTGGTAGCTGCCAATGTAGGACTAAGAGGCTTATCGCTCTGTTCCTGTTCCTTAGTCTTCTCCTTTTCCTGCTTATTTGTCTTCCTTGACGAACTGGGACTAATGCCCTCAGTAGATGTGAGCTTCTGATCCGCCGCATTGCTAATCTTCAGGAAGAGTGGCTTCTCTAAAATCGCGGGACGTAGCAGAGGAGTACTGCCAAATGTGACATTATTCTCCGCCAGCGGATTGGACTTAATAGAGGTTAAAGCAGAGGTGGAATCTGAACTGGATTTCCACTTGACAGACGCAGAAGCAACCACGGAAGATGAAATAGAGGATGCAGAGGCAGTAAATCTTAGGTTGGCCGTGGGAGACAAAAGTTCCGCGGATTTATCCTCTCGGGAAGAGGCTTCCCCTCGCATCCCTGGTGGCAAAATAGCGCTCAACCTACTTCTGTGTGCTGCCGGCAGCTGAAAGGAGATCATGCACTTCTTCAGCCAACAGGCGGTGCAGCGATCCTTGTAAAACTTTTTAGAGTTCTTCAACTGACCCTTGGCCGAGTGGATACTGCAGGTTGATCCTGTAATAGAATATTTAGTAATAATTAGAAGATTCAATTGATAAGGAATGATTTTAAACCTACCTTCGCTTCCCTTGCACTGAAGTTGGTGTTGACTGACGGAAGAAGCATTGGCACTGCTCGAAGTGGCAGATATGGATTTTTTGGTCATCTTCGATATGAATTTCCTGCAAACGTCGCAGGCCACTACTGAATACTTGCGGGCCTGAGCCACTTCTTTGCTGCTAACCGTTGCGGAGCACACGGAGCAGACAATGGGTGTAGTTGTTCCTAAGAAGAAATCTATTTGGTATCTCAACAAACTTTATATGGTCGAAATTATATAACTAACCTGATGTCGAACTGGTGTTGGGACTGGCGAGCGTTGCAAAGGATGAAACCGCCAAAGAGTTAACTGGCGTCGGAATGGCACTAGGCGATGTTGGGCAGGCTTTGCCACCAGTAAAAGGTCCCTGTTTGCTTTCCGCCTGAAATTGCAGTCGCGGCGGTCTCAGCACAAAGCTTTCACCTGAACTGCTGTTTGTTTTCAGGCTGCCAAAGCTACAGAAGCTCTCCTTGCCGAGTTTGAGACATCCAGATGAGGACGAGGTGGAGGCAGAGGCAACCAAACTGGAAGAAGCTGCACTAAAGAGGTTCTTGGCCTTGGAGTCGCCACTTGATGTAGGCTTTCTACTACTGATGGCACCCTCCTCTAGCAATCTTTTGTTGGGCTTGATAATTCTAGAGGATCGGGTGCTCCGTTTAGGCAGCACAAAACGCGAGTCCATGACGAGTTGTTTCTCTTCCGGATCCCGCTCTTCGGATCCTGTACTTTTCTCTGTCTCCGCACTCTTTTCGGAGGCTGCTTCATCATTGTCCTCCGGCTCATTTTCCTCCTCTTCCTCGACTTCTTCATCGTCTTCATCCTCATCCATTTCTTCATCCTCCTCGTTGTTCTGATCTTCAGGAGAATTATTCCGACGAAATGTTACACCACCCTCATCATCCTCATCCATGGGAGCGCCAAAAGCGCGTGATAAACCAAAGACATTGGGAGAGGATCCAGATACCGATCCTGATTCCTGGTTCAAAGAAGCTGAGCTCGCTGGCACCGATCGGAATTTGAGAGAGTTGAGCTTATCTATGTTGGAGTTTTTGTTGAGTATCTTTGACAGGATGGAGGGCCGCACAATGCATTCTCCTCCTCTGGAGTAATTCGGAGGTCGATTCATAGAATCCTTTTTCATGATCGATACGATTGGTATGCGGATATCAGGATTGTAGGACCGCTTTACCACCGACTTATCATCACTTGTCTCCAGCACATTCCTAAATGTCACCGTCTTCTTTTGCTTGGCTGCAGTTGATGCCGTCGAAGGTCCTTCATCTGATCCTGATTTGGGACTACTGCCTCCATCTGATGCTCCTGCTGCTGGTGTTCCAGTCGAAGCAGCACCTTTTCCCTGTGTAGCCCCATTTGTCGCCGCAGGACAGATGGATGAAGCGGCTTCGGAGGCGACTTCATTGGGCATTTCGCTTAAGACGCGCTTCTGGAAAAGTACGCAAATAAAAGGGTTCAGTGGGTTTCAGTTAGGGTTGAGTTGGAGAGGTTAGAGTAGGGGTTCCGGGCAAATCAATAATTCATGCCACTAACTACACGCTCACAAAATGCGAAGCGGAAAGCAATGCAATAACATATTGCAATATATACACAGCAAGAAATTAGCTATATTAGTTAAAGTAAACAACTTAAGCAATGTTATTTGAATGTAATTTTAGTAAAAATGTATTGATTTAAACACGTAATGAATTAACTTTATTTCTAATTTTTAAATTCTTGTAAACTTATTTTTTAATGTACGCTTTTTTAGAGACCATATTAGGTTTTAACAGAAATTAAATTGCAAATATTAAGTCCAATCAAAACTTCCAGTGTAAAGCTAAAACACAAAGAAGCATGCAAAGGACCAGGAGCAAGTGCAACTTTTCGAAGGGGATCGCTTGGACATGGGGGGTTACAAAGATGGGTTGACGGGGGGGAATTGGTGCAAAAACAAGTTACTAAGCATAAGTATAAGCTGGGGAACAGACACCATTGCCACTGTGACCGTCAACCGTCTGCGGCAGACACATGTGGAAGAGTTGCAAGCGCTAAAACGTCATAAAAGCCAATTAAGCAGGTAAGCGAGCAGGTAACAATGGCGTCAGAGGCGGGTGGATGGGTGTAAAGGGGGCTACTAACCAGACCAGAACCATGGGTAAACCAACTTGAGGGGGTTCACTTATTTACATTAGCGGGAATTGGACTGTGGCATTGGCCGAGGATGTATGTGCAAGGGGTGCACACGCAACTCGAATCAGTTGGCTGGATTGAGGGGTTAAGGTGGCAGAAAAAAAGCGGCTTAAACATATTCATAAATAAAAGCAAAAGGGGGCAACACCTGGGAACGAAACCGGCAACCAAACACCGACAATCTGAAAATCAACTTACCAGGGACACATCTTCGCCTGGACTTGGCACGCCCCCTATGCTCGGTATTCCCTCCGTAGAAGGCGGGGAGCCGGAGGCAGAGGCATTTGTCGTGGTCGTGGGGCTGTCCACCACCGGACAATTAAGCTGCTTCAGCTTGGATGTCGAGGGCAGCATAATTTCGCCCCTGGCCAAGTTTAGATTCTTAAACTTTTTATTGCTATTTTTGCGAGCTCGCAGCAATGCGGCACTTATAGCAAAAGCTCCTCCTGGCGAAGATCCTCCCGGGGAGGCCAGTGCACTAGCTAATCCAGTGGATGTGGCCGGTGTGGCTACAGACAGAGCTTTCAGGGATGCTGCACTAGTCAGACCGGAGGTTGGGGCCTCACAAGTTGTTCCAGAAGATGCTTTAGAAGACTTTCCAGAAGAGCATGTCCCAGTGGCGGCTGTTTTTGCAGTTGTTGTCCCGGCCGGTTTTCCAGAGGATATTCCGGTAGATGCTGTAGATGATGTTTCAGAAGACTTTACAGCTGTTGTTCCTGTAGACTTCCCAGAGGATATTCCGGAAGATGCTCCATCAGAAGATGCTGCAGAGTAAGCATCTGGTGATGAACCAGAGGACCTTCCCGAAGATGTTGCAGAAAATGCTCCAGAATAAGTTTTCGCAGACTTGCCGGATAATTTTCCAGAAGTTCCTGCAGAAGATTTTACTGAAGTTGCTGACTCATTGGGTAGTGCTCCTGATCTTGAGGCAGCTGCTTTTGGTTTATCACTATCCCTATTGTGATCCTTGGTCACAGCCTCCTTATCCAGATTAGCAGCACTTTTGTGATGGGTACCGCCATTTACGCCACCGCCATTTGTGGATCCCGAGCCGGATGATCCTGACCCCGAACCGGAACTGCTTCCATTGCCGCTATTTCCGGAGCTCGAGGTGGCGCTGGATGAGGATGCCGTATTCCCACTAATGGTGGCACCACCCGGCGCATTGTCGTCCTCATCGTTATCACAATTGTTGCCCTTTTCCCGAGCCCCTGGCGAACCGGATCCAGATCCACTTGGCTGCTGCGATTCCGCCGGTGGCTGCTGCGATTCCGCTGCTTGGTTGGCCTCATCCTCCAGCTGCAGGACACTGATCCGTTTACGGTTGATCGACTTGGAGGGTTTGCCGGGAAACTTGGAGCGGCCCATAATAGTAGTGCGTTTGCGTTTGCCTTTGCGTTTGCATTTGCCTGTCTTTTAATTTGATTTTCCTCGTTTTTTTGTTCGATTTAGATTGGGACTTTTAGTTGCTTTTCTTTGATTTCTTCGATTTGTTTGATTTCTTGGACTTGTGGACAGCTCACTGTGGATAAGAGAGGCACAAACTTTATGTAAGAGAGACCGACTCAAAAAGACCGGTATTAGCAAAAACTAGAAAATACAAAAACACCAACAACAACACATCTCCACGGAAAAACAATGCTTGTAAGCCGAATCGCGCGTTTGGAATGCGTCAATGTTTCCCCTTTTTTTGCAAATCTCGTTGTTGTTGCTGTGGCAACTCGTTTATTTTGCACTCTTGCCTCACGCCCCCTTCTCTGCCCACTCACTCCTTTTTGCACACACTCTTTTTTTTTGCTAGGGTATTTATTTATTTATTTCTTTTTCGCGCGCGTTTCTTTTCTCCGTTGCGCGCTCCTTGCTTTGCGAATTACAACTACAAAGCCGAAGGTGACGTAGCAGCTCGACAGCCTCGGCTTTGTGACTCTCTCGCGCCCGAACGCTCTCGCCAGCTCTCTCAGTTGTTCCTTACACTTCAAGATAAACTCAAAATTTTAAAACAAAAAGGACCTTAGGTTTTGCTATCAAGGTGTGTAAAATTCTTCTTTTTACAAAACTTGTCTTGCAAATAAAAGACTCAAGATATAAACTTTTTGAAAATATAATAACTAAAACATCGCAAATAGTATTTTTTAATACATCAACTTATGAGCATTTATTTTTGTAAGTGCACTCTCTCGGGGCACGACTCTGCACTCTCCTGCTCCTGAGAAAGGAACGCGCTAAAGGTGCAATTGCATTGCAGCTGCCTTTGTTCCGCTCCTTCTGCCGCCGTCTCACGTCTTGCGTGACCACTAATACACTCACACCACAGCCAGATATGGCAGCATGGCTTGAAATTTGTATTTCATTTAATAGAAATATCTAAGCCATCATTTATTGCCGTGTACTGTTAGAAAATATTCTGGTTTATTGTTACTGTATGCTTGTTCTGAGACACGCTATTAGGTATGCAAGAAATTCCGTAAATGAACAATGTGTATTAAATTTTCTTTTAAAACACTCAAAACTATTTGGCTAAATCTAGCGGTAAAACAGCCAAGCTAACTGAACTGAGATATTACCACCTTTACACGCTTTGCCACCACTAAATGTGTGCAGATAACAAAAAAAAAATATAAAAACAAAAAACTGAAGCAAAACAACTGCTGCGTTGCGGCTCCTTAAACTCATTCCTTTGGCACGTAGCACGCGCTCTCTCTCACAGACTCCTTTTTAAGAAAGGCTCTCTCACTCCAACTACTCTACTGTTGCTCTCTTTCTCCCTGGGTCTACCTTTCTCTTTCCCTCCCGCGTGTTAGTTGTCATCGACGTTTTAAGTGGTTTTTCTACTTCAGACTTGAACTTTTTCTTTTCTTTTCTTTTTTTGTTTTGTTTTCTTTGCAGGATTTTCTCGTTTTGCTTTTGTTGTTGCTGCTGTCTTTGTTTTTTCTCTCGAATATTTTTTTGTTTACTGGAAATTGAAATTCTTACAGTTGTTGTTGTTGCTGTTGTGGGCCACTATTAAGTGGTGGGTTTTCCCTGCTGCCTCTTTTTACGACAGTTTTTCTCTTTGTTCTCGATTTTATGGCCTGATGAAAATTCTTCTTTTTGCGCGTTTAGTTTTTCTGCGTTGGGAGTTTCTGCTCGACGAATTCACAGTTTTCCACATTGCTGTACTTTCGCGGCAACTTTTCTCATCTGTAACTGCTGCTTTTGTTGTTCTTGTTGTTGTTTCGGTTGATGCTGGCTTGTGTTGGCGGCCACATGGTCCTCATTATCATTACCATCATTATCCCCATCATCATCTCTATATATCCTCGGTCTACATCATCCCATTTCCACCACACTTCTTTACACAAAAACGCACACACTGGTGCACAAAAGTTTGCAGTCTGCGTGTCTTGAAATCTGGAAAAAATTATCGAGGGGGTGGTGGTGGGTGGTTGGGTGGAAAAGAGGGGCGAGAAAAAAAAACAAAGTAGAAATTTATTAGTTCGCATCGTCGCAGTTGGGCAAACAAGTTGAAAGTTGACTTTTCGAGTGTTTGAGCGTGTGTGCGGATGTTTGTGTGGGTGACGATGTGCGATGATTATACATGTGTGTGTGTATCAGTGAGTGAGTTTGAGTGTGCACAGAAATAATTTTCTATATATTAAAATACAATCCCTTACTTAGTAAAAAAAATTTACTCAAAAAGTATTTTTTACGATATAAACCACTTAATATGGTTTCCTACAGTTAACATCGTCTTTCGCCATATGACGGTTTATAAATATATTGCAGCATACTTTTATTTACCTTTAAAAGATATATTAAACCTCTACAGAATTGGGAGGCAACTCCGTTTAATGAGTATCAAGAAATAGATTTTAAATTGAATTGAATATTTTTTATTTTTATTTGAAAATGGTTTCAAGCTGTTTTATAGTTGTGCATTTCAACCAATTAAAATGATTTTATGATCTTTTTCGTATAAAATTCTTATTTAACAGTAAATGGTAATCTAAGAGTTTGAAAACTATCTATGTTAATAATTGTAGAGGCAATTACATCTAAGTGAGCTGAAGGATGTTATTAAATAATTTTGCACTTAAATTTAAACAAGCGAAATATATGTACATATTTGTTTTTCAAAACACTAAACTTTAAATACTACTTCAAAAAATATTTGATGTTTAGCTGCTCCTGTTTTTTTGTGTGTACATGTGTGAGCTTAAGTGCTCGGAATGAGGTGAAAATACTTTCGAGATTTTGGGCTGGCGGTCCCCATTTTTTCCAACTCCTTTTCCCACATTTCCCGAAAGCATGACTCAGTACAGCGTAATTGTTTTCCGTTTGCCTCTGGTTTCCACTCAAAGGTGTTTGGAAGTCAGTTAGTTTACCTGGTTTACCTGCCTCGTTAGTTAGTCAATCTTGTCAACTGTACTGCATACTGCTCCCCAGCAAGTCAATTTTAGCTGCATTCGTATATACACAAATGCAGTGGGCACGATGGGTAAGAAATGTTTCCAAAACAGGATTCACAAATATAACATTGTTATTTTTTTGCTTTTTCTTTATAAACGTCTTTAATAATTTGTAAAGTTTAAATTTATTCATTTCAATAAGCTTATAAAATGGTTTGGATCATTTTCGTTACTTTTTCAAATTTATTTATTTATTCTTTCTTATTTTCGTTATTACTTATTTGGATAAGTAGATATTATTAAAAAAAATGGAAATCCAAACAAATTAATTACAAGAGGAATTTATATTTTCTGTTTCTAGCATACCCAGGTTTAGTTCCACAAATGTTTAGTATAAGTCCTTTAAATATGGCTGAGATAATTTTGTTTAAAATAATACACAACCAAGTGCTTTGGCACCCACTGTACTTGGGTCTCCTACCACTGTCTCAGTTGTTTGCGATTTGTGATTTTATTTGTCGATTTTCCTCGTTTTTATTTTATATCGCCTTTGCTTTGGTTTTTGTTTCTACCATTGAGTTGTATCTTTATGGCCCAGCGGTGGCATGATGTAAGCATGGGAGCTGAGACTGCGAATGGGACTGGGATTAAACCGGGCTTAATTGGACAACACTCCTCCGTATTTGCTCGGCGATTACACTAATTGCTGCGGAGTTGCCGTGAATTGAATACCTAATACCCAATATACATATGGATATTTGCATTTTAAATCAATAGAGTGGTAAATATACTTAAAAATGATCTTAATCTGTCCAATAATACAACTGATTTGTGTTATTAAATTATCATGACATAACGTTACATAAAGTAAAATTAAATTAAAAACTATTAAAAAGTTCTTGACAAGTCTCAAATACAATTTAAATAGAAAAGATATATATTTATCTTGACATAATTTAGAACTATTAATAATTATTATTGTGCTTTATGCTTTAACAATTAAAAGTAATTATGTAACATAGATGATGAAACAAAGACGGCTACTTAATTCACTTAAAAGCCCACTGAATCTAATTATTAAATCGATTCTAAGAAATTGCTGAAACAAATTAATAACGTATGTTATGGCATATATTTTCTGTCATTGACATATGCGAATGCAACCACTTGACATACTTATGATTGATGACATTGGGAAACCTTTTTGAATTACCGAACACATAGATTATAGATGGCCAATACAAAAGAAGTTCGAATATAGGTTTCTTGAATTTACAGTCTGTGCCTGAGTTCGTTCGTAATCGTAGAACAAAAAGCAATTAAACTACGAAATACATACACAATACAATATTAGTGGCCATTTAATACCGAAAACAAAACACTAGGCAAATATCATGACATAACAAACTAAAGGTTAATTCTCTCAAGCTCAAAACAATTGTCAACAATTTAATACCCATGCAATGGAAGAGGGGGGTTAAGTCGGCAGACAAGCAAGAAACAATCACAAAAGCACTCGCCAACAAATTGCACACAAATTGTATCTGAGAAACCCACACAAATACCAAGGAAATGCGCAGACAGCAGCAGAATGCTAACTACGTTGTGTGTTGACATCAATTAACTAAATCGCTTTAATTATGTGCCACCAACCGAACGGTAGCAACAACATCAAAGGAGCAAGGAGAACTCAGCATGAATATTTCAACGAATCAATAAAATCCCACAGAACGATGACAAAACGCGATGATAAAGACGACAAAATGAGCAAATTCAAATGGGTAAACTGTACAGGGGTTGCTCCTTAATTGCGGACCATTTATTTGTTAAGGGAAAGATGCTTTTTTTAAACAGGATAAGGGGTGTTTACCTTAACAGGGGTCGCTAATTACGGACCATTTGTTTTTAAGTGCTTTTAGGTGCTTTTAAAAGAACAGGAAGATTATAATTTTCGATTAAATTACTACTTTTTTATTTCGTTTAATTTCTTTGACATTTCGGAAATTATTTGTAACTAATTTGACGTATACAAAATTTATTACACAAAAAACTGCTCTAATTGAATAACTTTAGTGCATTACAAATCCCAATAGCTTTTGAGCAACCTGCTGCTCAACAAAGTGTTCAAATTCAAATTATTGTTACTATGGCGAATAGATCAGAACATTTGAGTCATCAAAAGTCCAATTTAATCACATTTCATGAATACTAAGATCCAACGTTTTAATTGTTTTTTTAACTAGCTTTAAATTGTTAATTCGTATTTCATTATAAAGGAAAATTTTACATATTAATTTTAAACTTTTTAAAACGTTTTGTTTTGGTCAAGGTGTTTAATCAATTCTTATCATGAGCAATTACCTTTAGGGATAAAATTTAATTCATATTTTTAAACACAAATATTTTATTTAAATCTATATTTATCCACAGTTTATTCTTCATCCCTTCGTTATACTGGATAGCAATTTATTTTATTGTTTTGAAATTGAGCCGGTTGACTGTATCCTGAGACCCAATTAATGGAGCTCAAGTGTCGGCTTCACTGTAATTCGAGTGCGGTCATAAAAACCAGAGCCGCGCGGAATGCGTTAAACGGGAGGAAGACTGTGAGGGGGAGTGGCAGATGCTGTGGAAGAAGGGGGAGGGTAATACAAAGGGGCGAAGAGACAGTCGGCCAACATAACGAACAATCTCCCGGCGAACGGCAAATAACGAGGCAAAGTAAAACTGGCCTGGCCAATTCGAATGCATCGTCATCATCATCATATCATCGTCTCCCCCGAAATCGACAGCCGAGCAGACACGAAGATAAACGAATACTTAACAAAAAGGTGGGGGAGGGGAAGGGGGTGGGTCAATAAGAGAGAGCCAACTCACACACCTTTAATTTAATTGCCATCAATTATGGTAAAAAGATTAAGAAATCAAAACAAGCGCAAAACGTACAAGAACTTGAATAAGAGGAATGGGCTACAAAATTGAAACGAAATACTGCCACTGAACGAAAATTAATACAGGTGGGTATTATTGACTTCTGTCCTATTTTAAACAAATATTTATTTTTAAAAATTGTATAATTAAAATTATATTTTCTACAATTATTATATGTTTTATTCAATTACTTTTTTATTTATAATTCTTTTAGATTTCTTTTTGTATATGGTTTAGTTTAGATTCTTCTCTTAAATTATACAGAGTAATTCGTTTTTTTACTTAGTTAGGTAATGAATTCGAATGAATTAAGTAACAATTTTGCAACTATATTGACTTTCCAAATTCATCTATTTTCAAAACAAATCTCGTATATTCACTTTCGGATGACAGCATGTCGAAAAAATGCCATTTAATTTCACAATGATACGTCTGAGCTGCTAAGTGATATGAAAACATGCTCATAAATCGCTTAATTGATTAAAATTGACATCTAATTATACGTTTTTTGTTGTGTATTCTATCCCTCTCTCCCGCTCTCCCAACTCGTGTCTCTTTCCTACTGCATGCCAATAACCGGGAAAGAGCCGCGAGTACAAAACTTGCAAATTGCGAGTAATTGAGAAGATTAAAGTCAAGCACACGAGAGCAGAAAAAGATGGCAAATGAGTGAGGGTGGGAGGTAGATGGAAAATGGGCGGTAAGGGGCAGAGAGAGAGAGAGACAGGTAACGAATCGAATGGTGAACGATTAAGAGCCATAAACACGAGCACGACAATCACAACAACTCACATACAGCACCCACTCACACATTTACCAAATAGACAACTATCTGCATGTCACACACACTTTCGTGTACAAACTCGATTGACAAGTTGGAAAAAATCGAAGTCAACCTCGCACATAAAATATGTAAATTTATATGAAATTATGCAAAAATGTCTTAAATACATCTGCACTGAAAATTTTGGGATCATTTTTCACATAGTTCTAATATGGGAATAATGTCTAATCGATATTGACATAAAATAATTTGAACAATTATGGATTGAAATGGTTCAGAACATTAAAATCCAAAGTATAAAAGCCATAATCTGTTAAAGATTTTGTAACATCAAATTATAAATACTTCTTACTAGTAGAATTTGTAAAGCTTTTAACATTTTAATATTGAATTAAAGTGTTTTACTTTTGGTATTAATCAAATTGCCAAGCTCGTATCTGGTCGATGTAAAAATCATCTAATATATAATATACCATATTTTTGTTCAGTGCCATCGGAGAGCGTAGAGAAAGCAGCTCAAGAAGTTGAATCAACAAATGAGAGAGAGAGCCCCATCCCCCAAAAAAATAAAGAGAGCAAAAGAGAGCGCACGCGGGGGAGTGAGTATGTTTGTGTGTGTTTGCCTGTAAATCAAAACACGCAGCTAAAGGTGAAACATGAAAAATGTGCGCGCCAATAATATGTGAAAGATGGTATTTGTATTTGTGTAATTCGGTTTAGTATTGGGATGAATGTACCCTGCAGTACCGTTCATCACCTTTTAATCGCTTTTTCATCACCAAAAATTCATCACTGCTGATTAATCGGCGATGAAACTTCATACAAATTAGTGATGAATTTAACATTGGCATGTCCTAGGAGTTAATCAGTGAAAAATTCATCACTCTTTAATCAGTAATTCATCACTCTTTTTCAGTTTTTCATCACTCTTTAATCAGTAATTCATCACTCTTGAACAGCGTTTACTGATGAACATGCGATGAACGAGTGATAAAATGCGATGAAATAGTATTAACGAGTGATGAATTACTGATTAAAAAGTGATGAATTCATCACATTTTCATCAGTAATTCATCACTCTTTAATCAGTAATTCATCGCTTTTTCATCTCATTTTCATCGCTTTTTCATCGCTTTTTTTCATCAGTAAAATTCATTCAGTAAATTTTCATATAAATTTCATTTTTATTTTATTACAATATTTCATTATTATTTCATTTATTTCATTACATATAACTAATTAATTTAACTTAATTCAATCTACATATGTACGTTTTCAGTTGTCCCGGAGGTGTTGAGGATGTTTCGGTTTCCGCGCCCTTTTTTTGACTTCGTACTTTATGTACTGGCTCTTCCTGACCAAGTATATCTGAAATAGAAAAATTATTAAAAAATAAAAACTTACTGCGTTTTTTGTTTTGCCGCCGGCCAAGTCCAGCTTAGTTTATGCTGGCCCAACAGTTTTATTATAAGCTTCGCCTTAAATAATGAATAAATATATTAACAGTATATGTAGGTACAGTTCAAAATAATTAATAAAATAACACTTACATAAATTTCTGATAAATTTAGTTATAAAATTTCACAAAAATCTCAGCTTCGATCTGTTCTCTCCGTTCTCTCAAATGCAAGTGCACGTAAAAACCGCGAAAACAACTTCAGTTGAAAACAAGGGCGCCGTTAATCCTATTGTTCTTTCCTTTGCCTAATTTGTCTTTACATATTTCGCTTGGCGTCAAAGCAGGGTATATAAAAGCATGTCCGACTATGAAAAATAATCACATAACTTAAATTCACTAAAAAGGAATCCATACCTTTCAAAACTATCATAATAATTTTATTTTTAAAAAGTATTTCCATAAAATAATATAATTAATAAGAATCAACGACTACAATACAAAAATTAGGCTAATTTATTTTCAAGGGTGTATAAAGGTCGATCTGATTTTATTACATTGTCCTCCACCTCTCAGCTCATTTTATGGGGAGAGAGACAGAGTAAGAGAGGAGATGGAAATTTTCTGCGTTGCCTACGATCGGGGACTGAGAGTTTCGGCTCTGCCTGCGTCGCACTCGGCTCTGCCGACTTTGCCTTTGGCTCTGCCGGCGTCACAGTCCGCTGCTGATTAAACAGTGATGAATTTTTGTAGTGATGAATTTCGGAACTGCAGGGTATATATCTCTGGGCCATGAATGAGCATTGAGAGCCGACTTGGCAGCTCGCAATATTGATGTCCAATTTGCCACGAAACATGAACTAAATACTTGCTTATGTGTGTGTGTGGACATCTGGTTTTAGTTGTAGTGGTTTTTAATGGTTTATGGTTGGTAACAAAACGCAAGCTAAAATAAAATAACCCACTTGGCAGCTGCAGCCTCTCTAAACGCACCGTAAATAAAGGTGTAAATACCGCTAACTGGTAATAATAATGCAAAATAAAATTTTGGCCACCGAAAAAAATATATGTATGTAAATCACTAGTACAGTGTACGTTTGCTAAAACAAATCTGATTTCTTATTAATTTGAAGCATATTTGAGTTTCATTAACAAATGTTATTTATTCAATAAAATTAAACAAATCATTAATTTATCATTATTATCAATAAAATGTTGTCCTGTTAGGATTACAAAACCGTTAAAAAAAACAGTATTATAAAATCTTTTTTAATTTGTGTAATTTATAAAAATCTATTTACTTATGAAATGATATCAATGTAAAAATAATTTATAGAAAGTATGTTTTTAAAACAATCTTAGAAGGTTGTAAAAAGGTATCCCTAATTTAAGGTTGTACCCAGTTTCTTTTGAGATTCGAAAGGTCTCAGTTTCTTATATCCACAGTAGTCCAATAGTAAAAAAATTAGCGAGGTGTGATCGGCGACTTGCTGGTGCATTGGAGCGTGAGAATGCATTCAGATGATCGTCGGTTCGTCCCATTCGCATTTCCATTCCCATTCAAGATCTCGCATTAGCTTACGGCTCAGTTGGTCCCCGTCAAATGGGACGACTTTTGAAAGGCGAATTTTAATATGCGCAATTACTCATTTTGCGATTTTGCGCCTCAATGTTATTTGGCGCGTAGTTTCCCACACACACATACACTCGCACACTAGGCGATTTGGAATTTGCCTTTTTGATGGCAAATAAAAAAAATGGCGTCAACAAATACACGAACAAACTTATGTATAAATATATTTATTTTGTAATTATTCAACAGCATCTAGGCAACGAATAGCAGCAGCAATCGATTTAGCTGCTGCTGCTGAGATCGTTTTTCATTTTATTGTATAATTTATTAAAAGTTTCAACAGCGCCAGCAACAAAACAAACAACAATTTTAGTTATACAAACACTTGGGCCATGTGAGCGCGAGAGAGAGAGAGGCAGCGAGAAAGAGAGCGCCTGAATTTGATTTAGAATGAGGCGACAACAAAAGCAATTAACTGGTCACACATTAAGTTTTATTTATCGATGCTGCTTTATTATGGCTCGGTAGTGTGTGTGTGTGTGTGGGTTCGCCAGCGACTGTCATTTACCGTTCGTTTTACGGGTGGTAAATAATGGAAAACGTCGTAGATGGAAATCTCGGTTGGCAATAGCTACGGTGAACTTTATTCAACAAGATATTTAGTGAAAGAAAAAGCCTTTCAAGCAGATTTTATATAAAAAGCTCAGCCTAAAACGTCGATAGAGTTTAAAAATATGGATGGAGTTTCGAAACATTCTATCAAACATTTAAGAAATCATTCAAGACACCTGTTTAGGCAAAAATATTAAATATTAATGTTCCTAAAATTCCTGTTTTGTTGTAATAATTAACTTAAAATGCTTAAATATTTAAAGATTTGGAATTTTTCAGATAAAGACTATGGTCAAAAAACAAAATTATTAAGACAAATCAGTTTTTCGTAATTAGTTACAAAGGTTCATACTTTCAAGCAACAAAAGTATACTGAATTAACATACAGATTTTTGGGAATTCCCAAAAATAATTCAAAACAAGGGCTTAATTGGGAACTTAAACATATAACGGTAACATAAAATAATATATTTACGTGAAAACTGTTAACCTTATCAAGGTGCCACTGTAGCCATAAATAGCAGCGTGGGCCATAAACTAACAGTATTGGTTGTGCAGCCTAATTTGCATTATCGAGTGAATAATTGAACGACACTTGCTGGAATTTCTAGCTAAAAACAACAATCTAAAACTACTCACTAGAGGTCTACAAAGGTTAGTGTGGGATTATGAATATGAAAATGATGAGGTATGATAATGTGATGTGGTGTACTTTTGTGCCTAAGTATAGTATCTCCGGGTGCATTTCAAATCAATATCTGCGATAATATACATAGTGAGTATATATATTCACGGCAGACTGACTCATCGGCAGCCGGCGACGCCTTTTATCGCGGCGATCTTTTAATTACCTTTTTGCCGAGCGAATAATCCAGATGCAGATTGAGATTCCGTTTCAGGGGTTGTTGTGACTGCATTTACCATTCGGCATTTTTAGATTTTAAGTGCTCGAATAATCCAAAATCGGGGACTCTTATATTTTTCACAACAAAACGGCACAGAAACACACAAAACACTAGTAAACACAAAACACAGGGGTGGAGATTGCGATTTTCGTTTTTATTTTCGTTCACTTATTTCTTGGTTTTTGCTTTGGCTCTCACATTCGCCGCTCTCTCGCTCTCTTTTTGTCGCACAAAACAAACGCACAAAAACACGCTCTCTCGTTATATCTCTCTCACTCTCTCTCTCGCGCCCGCGCGTTTCGTATATACATATATCGCTGCCTCTGTGTGTGAGTGTCTGTATGTACGTGTTTTACGACGATGAAAAATGCCTGCTTCTTCTTCACAAAAATCAGGTTTGCTGCTCTCGATTTTTACACATTTTTGGCAATTGCACGATGCAAATTCAATGAAATTTGATAAGCAGACACTATATACATCACTCGGACACACTTTTCACAACAGTTTATTAATTATTTTCCACATTTTCTGGCTTTTTTGACGAGCGAAACGACCGAGGTTCGAGATCTGCCAGTGTGACCGTTGCCGTATACTATAAAATTACTTTTTAATAACGATTGTTATCGATGCTAACAAATACAGCGCTGGTGTGGACGTTATCTGTACTAAGTTGGAGTGGCGTTCTCGCTATCGATGGAGAGTGCACTTGATAACTTTGGTTGATGTATTAGCTATGTTGTTCACTAATGGTGGAGGTTGTACTCGCTAAAATTTATAATTCGATTATTATTTGATACGGCAACGCTGAAAAAAGGAGCGTTTTTCAAAAATAATTTAATGAATCTTAAAAAAAATTGTATGTGTAATAAAATAATAAAAACATAAAATGTTGTTAAAGTAAGCATACAATTTAACAAAATGTTTCTGAGTGTATAATTTAATTTTAATTGTTTATTAAAAAAAGTAACTAACTAAATTAAAGGCCCTTGAACCACATTTACCATTTATTTCAAAATATTGTTTTTTGTTTTATGATAAACAAAATAAAAAATTTATAAAATTAAATTGTTTGTAAGACATTTGAAAATTTAATATTTTTGAGAGTCGCCAAAAAAAGATAACAAAAAACTGAAGCTGGTGTAACTGCTAATTTTAATAATTTATGGTAATTAAATTGTTTAGAACCGAGATTGTGAATAACATCAACCTTGACTGACCAACATTTAGTGACATTCACTAAAATTCATTCACTAAACATTTCCGTTACTTCAGTTTGGCTAATGAAAAGAAACCGACCGGGAAAACAGGAATATTTCCTAAGCCCCCTAATTATCTGTTTTGCCCGCGTCCAAGTGGCAAATATCAATCACCTCATTTGTGATCCCATTTATCAGTATGTATAGTTCAGATTAGTTGCGATTTCATAATGAAGCCATAATGTGCGGACACACATAAACAACTTGTCAGCTGCGTCCACTCGAATTTGGTACTTTGCCAAAGTTATTAACCAAATTTTTGGGAAGACACCCAAACGCTTTGTACATTCGCAAGGCGCGAAGTAAACAAATAAATTTTGGTCAACGATTCGAACGTGACTGCCTAATTAACACATTTTTGATTCACAAAGTAAATTAAACTGTTGCCGAGTGAGACAGAAGGGGCGAACGAAATTTGGGTGTTTTTATCAACGTCATTTCGACGGCGTTTCACTTTTATTCGCACGAAATTGAATCACCGATCGCCTGCAAATCTTTTGGGCCGGTGACAAAGAATGGTAACCCATATTCAAAAGATCTTATCTCATACAAGCGATCATTTTGGAAAGTTACTAAAGAAGGACTTGTTAATCGTTGTGGCCCAAATTTAATTTATTACTCAATAAAATATTTAGTAAGATTAAGCGTTCTGAAAGAAAAGTCAATACTAACTTGTTTGTTTTGTTTGGTTTTTTTGGTTGAGATTTATTTTTATATTTTTTGAAGTTATTTATTTTAAATTAAAGCCTATTTTAAGTTTGAAAAATATTTGGATTAAACTTAACCAAAGTCTTTTTTCTTATATAATTTTCTTAAGTAGAATCCAGAATGTTGAAGTTTATAAATTCGATTATCAGCTATTGGTAACAGGAGTAAATTCACTTTTATTTGGGGCAGCTGAGGCTTCTACACATCACCGTTAGTCGGTCCGTTTAGGCCACACAAAGATAAGGTGCATCGATAACAATATATCTAACATGGATTACCTTGTACTGTGACAGTCGCTGCCGGCTTATCTTGGCCCAAAAACAACTCGAATTGTCCGCCGAATCATAATGAAACTTTTGTTTTGACAACATGCTGGCGTGTACTCGCTATCACCGGATTTCTAAAAATAGTTTTTCAACTTTACCGCAATCTGCAATGCAAACGATGACGTCCGTTGGCTGGAAAATTCCCTGCTCATCGCTAGAAAAGGGATTCCTCCCCAGATCGTGGGCTTATCATGCATGCTAATTAAGCTTATGACGAGCCAACCGAAACAAAAAACACATGGAAAACACTAGGAGCAAAGTTATCATTACACTTGTGCACCTGTCACCGTCATCCAGTTATCATTAAATAATCGCGGAGAGCGTCAGAAAACAGAGAGAGCGCTGCTTAAGTGATTATCACAAGTTTGCAAGTACAATACAGTACTTACCGTCATTGGTATTTTTTTTCTTAATAATTCTATGAGTCGACCAAATGTGAAGTTGTTTTACGCCATGTACATACTTAAATATTTGATTAATAACATAAAAAGCTCGCAAAACCAACACTGCGTATATGTGATATTTTTTAAACTTACCAGCAAAACGTACAACAATATATTTATTACATAATTTTGAATCTAATGTTTCCTTTATTAATGATGAAATTTAATAAAGGATTTAACAACGAAAATTTAGCTTTATTTATTTTTGAAACATAAATTTACTTTGAACACAATTTTAATCTTTATTAGGCATATGTCTTATCAGGAAATTAGGTTTTTGTCGCTCAATAGAATCATTATGATGTCTGAACAAAGAGGCTAATTAATTAAAATATTTATTGTTCGTCTTAGCATTTCATCTTTCGAGGCAACTTATGCATACCCTATGTAGTCATAATAATCATGATAAATCCACCACGTTGTCCACTATCCATTGTGTGTAGTTGAAAAGGTCCGTGAAAAGGCCAGTGGCATTACAATTTGAGAAGCCAGAGCTGATAATGCCAAACTGTGCGTTGGCCCAGGGCCAATAGTAGTTGATTTTTCTAGCTACAGGACCTCCAGTATACAGTTCACATGTCTTGTTGAGCCTGGAAACGGCGCACACTTGTCCTTCAGAAAGGGGAGAATCCCGGGAGCAAGTCCTTGGATTGTGATCGAGCAAAGGGACAAAGAGGGGGTCTACAGATTCACGTGAGATACTGGTCTCTTGCCTCCCGATTGCATACAAACCCCTCATCGCATTCGGCCCCACATAATATGTACCCAAGAGGATACATATTGGCTGGATGTCCACTGCAAACAAAAATCAATTGTAGTAATGCGTGAACGCGATCTCGATATAAATTTTAAGTTTTGGTTAATTTTAAAACTATATACTGAAGCTTACCATTGAAATGTACTTCTCTATCAAGTACCAATATACCTATATCATTCGCCAAGTTTGTTTTATTATAATCGCGATGAATTATGGTCCTGTTTACATGACGATCAGTTTCATTCGGATTTAAGATTTTGCCGTTTCCCAAAGTCACGAATCTAAGCCAAAATCGTGTAAACATTAATATAAAATGATATACTCAAAATTCCATAGAGGTACTTACAAATTTGTTCGTCCATCAATGCACTGCGCGGCTGTCAAAACGTATCCTAAAAAAAGGATTGTTAATGATTATCCTCCAACTAAAATTACATATGCATACTTCTATGAATAAGCGTGCCTCCGCATAAAAGTTTTCCAGAACTGTCGAAAATTTTTGCCATATAAGAAGAGCTAGTGTCATCATACCAATTTAAATCTGTGTTTAGGAGACAATATTTATCCAGAAGTGGTGGAAATCCATTGTGGCAAAGGACCGAAGCTAAACAAAGTTAGAAAAATCACAAAAGACTTCATTGTCCGCGAAGAGATTCGAAATAACTGATTGTCAAACACAAAATTAGCTCAAACGAAAGCCTCATGTGCGGTCGTAATAAGGCTTATCAATAAATACAAATAATCCGTTTAAAGTTCAAGGCAACCGAAATTATGAATTCTTTGATTAATTTTAATATTTTTGTTGTTTAAGCTGATAGTACAAATATTATATTATAATTTTAAAGCAAAAATTTAAAAGCATTTCAGTTTCCAAGTCCCAAAACAATCGTTAATGTAATTTGTTAACATTGTAGAAAAAATAACATCTATGGGAATATACAACTATACAAATAAATATATGTTTTATCAGATATATAATAATATCTTGATATAATCGCAAAAAATCAAATTGATACTCCCGAAAATATAACTTAACATTTTCTTGGTTCCCAAATTGATAATTTTTTTCATCAGGGAGTACACACTGTACCTGTAACGTTCTCTTTCCGCCGGCTAGACCAACGTGTTTACTATCACCATTATCACTCGAATTAGCCACAATCATTTAACGAATCCAAATCCAAATACAAATACTCGGAATGGAACTTGGAAATCTAATGACTGGCGGGAAGTGTATTACTGTTGTGTATTTGGTGTGTACTTCCAATAAGTGATTATTCCATTCTTTAATTCATTGATTTGATTCCAGTTGTGGGAGCCAAAACTGAGGGGAGCCACTCAAGCTGAGAAGAGACAAGAGACAGAGAGAAGAGAGTCTTCTGGACTGGAAGCGAGTTCCCCGAGAGAGCCATTTTGTATTTTTTTTGACGATCGCACTTCGGTTGCTCGGCAGTCATTTCATTTCCAGTCCAGCAGAGCAGTCACTTGTTTTCGAGTGCTGCTTGGAGTTGGTCGCTCGCTTGCTGCGCTCTTAGTTGTTGTGACTTTGGCTTAGTTCATTTAGTTAGTGCCTCCGTTTAGCTGCGAAAAGGCTGAAAAAAATATCGCGTTGTCGCCGCCGTCGCCGCTCTTTGCTTGTGTGCTGTGTTTGTGAGTGCCGAAAAGAAAAAATATATACACATATATATTAAAAAAGAGTTGCTATTAAGTGAAAAAATTATACACAACAACTAAGCGAATAGTTAGAGAACGGTTACTGTTGTTGTCAAGGGGCAAACGAATAGCATCTGGTGGGCATAAAGCCTCAATTGTGTGTATTTACACTCGGTGCTACCTCACTCATTTGCATTGTGACAAAACAAAAGCTGCCGTTGTCCCACAGACACAAAAACAATTAAATTAATAACTTAAGTAATAACATCCACACGAACGCGCCGGCAGTTGGAATTATAACAAGAAACATCTTAAAAGTTGATGAATTTTTTTTTTTTTAAATAGAAAAAGGCGATTCACAAAAAGTCAACTGGCAAAAGATCACGAATCGCGGTACACACACATTTCCATTTGTCGCAGGCGGAAAACAAAAATCACATACAGTCAAACTTCTATAACTTGGATTTCCACAAGACCTTCATTTCACAATCTTAACGCAAACTTTAAGCAAGTGATTTTAATTACTTGTTACTATATTACCACTTTTAATAATCTATAGCTCAAAACCATTATGAATTAAAGTTGTTTATTAAATTAAAATTGGTTTCCTTAATAGGAAAAAAACTTATATTCAAACAGTAATTTGTTACCACATTTTATAACCAATTCAAATAATTTTAGAACATTCTTTATTTTTCAAAAAAAAATTATGCTATATTTCTTAATTTTAATTGAGAGAAAAATAAAAAGGTTTGAGTATTTTTTTTTAATAAGAAACGATAAAACTTGAGAGAACTGTAATTATTATATTTTTTTAAGTTCGACTTACAGTTGTTAGACTGTACTTACTCACACACGTCACCGGCACACTCCCACTCTCGCACACACCCACCAATTCGCGCCCACGAGCTCTGGAGATTTGCACAAGTGCAAAGACACAAAAAAGAGGCAAATGAAACGAAAGAGGAAAAAAACAAGAGATATTTTGTTGCCAGCCTTGACTAGAGCGAAAAAGCCCAAACTAAAGTAGAGTCAGTTAAATAATTACTCGGAAATTGCACAACGTTGTTTGATTGCAGCCACCGAAAAAACAGATACCAAGTCTTGAATAAAAAAAACCCCCAAGACCAGTCGTAAAATGTTTGATAATTGTGGAAAGACATTCAGCTGATTGTGAGACGGACGTAAAGACAAAAAATAATTATTATCAGTGAGTGGAGTGACCGTACTTAGTATTCTTTATGTTCTTCGATGCAGGCGATCCAGTAATAAACAGAAAAAACAGACAAATTCACGGAAATGGATTACATTGTGAAGGCCTACAAAGATTGGAAACTGCATTCGCAGGTAAGCAATCGAGTTAATAATACTATACACAACCAAGGTTAGGGATCGGTTGGCGAGGTGTCAATCCACTTATAAATTCATAATTATTGTGAACACAAGACACAACAGGAAGCTGACAATCGGCTTACAATTAAGGCGTATACAAATTACAAATGGAGGGTGGCAAAGCAACTTACAAATTAATCTCAACAATTGAGACAATTGGTATTGGTGAAAATGTACAAATCCTAAACATTCAACTCTATACTCTGCTAATTTGTGGTTTATATATTTGTAAATAAAATTATTATGTTCACAAGGAGAAGTGCAAATTTTTATTTAATTTTGTATTATCATTATTACTATTTTGTAAAGACCATTTCAATACAAAATTAAGGACGCAAAGTATTTCACGAAAGTTTGTGCTTTGAACATGAAACTTTTATACATTTAAATGTGTACAAAAAGTAAATTAATTTGCTGTCTTTTACTCCCGAAACCCAACTTTTTCTATTGCTTTTTTGAGCTATAAATCTGGGTTTCTTTTTTGATCTTAAGCTCCGAGCTCTCTAAAATATAGCACTCATATCTTATGGAACTGGCAACAATCTAAACTTAACGGCTTTTGCCCTCTCGAAACGTTCGCCTGTGGCAATTGGTTAAGATGACGCCAATATTGTGGCTTTCTTGCAGAAATGAACTCAACTTCTGTTGGCTTTTTGTCTGATCATTAATATTTCTTTTGCATTAATATTTTTCTGTGGATTCGCGTGGTTGGGGAGAATGCGAAAGGCTTTGGAGTCACGGCAATAAGCGGTCGTTAGCTCTTGGCTTCAAGTTGTGGCTTTCGGCCAGAGTCTAAGCAACTGCAAGACAGTCGCGGCCACACCAATAGTTGGTTGTTAAATACATAAAGTATAGACAAAAAGTTATAAAAACCAATTTCAAGGTTCTAAATTTGATGAAATAGCGAAGAGCTCATGTAGAAATTAATAACATATTCAAAAATGAATTTATGGCAATTCAATAAAAATTAATATCAATGAAGTATAACTTTTTCTTAAATTTTATTTGAGCTATCATTTTACATATAATTTTTTTAAACAAATCTCATATTTTGACCATGAGTGTGTTTTCCCCAAGACAAACACCACGATCGACGGCCAGAACTTGGCTTATAGGAGGGGAATGGGAAGTGTCTGTGTGGCGGCAGTGCTTAACCGCATTTAAGAAAGACCTGGCCAAAAGACACTCGGCAACAGCCAAACAAAATAATAAATTATTCTGTGAAACACGATCATGTCGAAATGGTCTCGCATTACCCAAGAAAAACCACTCTGAATGAGCGTTACTCTTTCGATTCCTCGGCTTCTTTTCCACTCGCTCGAGTGTCGTTTTATTTATTTATTTATTTGCTGTGCACTGTGAGTGTGCGAATATGCTATTGGGATTGCGAATCCGAATGCGAATGCCACCAAAGTGTGCTAAGATCGTGGCCAGCGAACCAATGCGATGAGTAAGCCAGCAGCGAATACATCTGGCCAAAAGCAGCTACAGCCACCAACTTATGCGGTTCTCCGGTTGAATTGCAAATGGCCAATGAGTGTGCGAGTGTGGAAAAATAGCAGTGCAGCACAACCAGTGCACGTTTAAAAAATAATACCCAAATTGGTTAACAGTTTGGTACTTTTTCACAACAAAACACCAGACTTTTCTATGATATTTGTGGCACAAAGCTTAGAAATCGTATGTGGTTTTATTAAAAAGTCAGCAATAAGGTAGTTTTCTATTTTTGGAAAAAAAGAATAAATATCTCCTATTCATTACCAGTTTTGTATTTTTAGCTAATCAAATATAACAACTTTTAGATTGGTTCGATCTAAAATAATGCAATGACGTATTTTATAGGTGATTTTATTTTTGATATTTTAAAGTAACTTTCATCTTGTTATTTTAATTGATAAATTATAAAAACTGGTTAACAGTTCTCGATTTCAAACGATTTGTATCTGAATTACCTGACATTTAGAATATCAAATGGATCTGTTTCATCAATATATTGCTAAATTCGACTATAATAATAACTTTTTTAATTAAATAACTTTTAAATATTAGAAAAATATTTTTTTTCTGTGTTGAAAGCGAGAACAACAAGTTGAAGCGAGCACAAATTGCATTTTATACGCTGACTGCAGCCGCTAATTGGGCCAATGCACATTGTACAAAGTATAAAGTTAATTCTTGCTTCGCGTCGCATTCCATTTGGGCTTCTAAAAATATCCTTAACCTTGGCGATATCCTCTTTGGCCGAGGGTTCAATGCACCCTATCCGGTTTTATGGAGCCATCTTGCAGCTGGGCTTTTAGCCCAGTCTACACTATCCAACTTTGTCCTTCACTTAGACATGCGATAGTCCAAACATACACAACATTTATCAGTTGACTGGGGCACATTTACATTTGAATACTGGTGTAACCCTTCGCCTGATTGCGACCATGCTGGCTAGCTGTGGGTGGTTTTGGCCTTCGTTAATCAGTTAACTGCTCCGCACCTGCAGCGAACCGAAAGTCCCTCTGATTTGGTAATTGTTTGCATGCGGGCGGCCTAACAAAACGAGGTTGCTCTATTACTGACGGGTATTTGGCGATAACTTTAGGTAT